TCTAACAACCACAGTTAAAAGACAGAACTGTGGAATTTGTTACCATCAACATGTAACGGTTGATGTCCTCTTCCACTATCGAAATGGTACTGTTATTTCAAATGCCAGAATTGTTGAATTTTGATGCGTTTCCGTTCTAAATATGTAATGTTTTGCATGAAATCTTTGAATTGTTGACTATGTTAAATGAATTTTAGGTGCAGTGTTCAAACATTGTTTTTTCAAAATTGCGTTGCTTTGATACTTTCATATATATTAGCGCAACATATAGGTTCTGAAAAAGACCAAGTTATGTATCGTATAATAGGCTATTTTTCCAAGTCAAGTTTATTTTTTCCAGCCAGTAAAAAAAAAATCGATCTAACACAAATTACGAGAAAATGATAATTAAACAGTTCTACTGGGAAAGGGAAGTCGTTGGGACCAAAACTGGTCATCGAGCAGCGAAAACCAAGGTTAAATTTCTAATTGGAATTTAGAATCGGGAACCTACTGTTTTTGACGGTGTTATCCAACTACCGTAACATCGCTCACTAGAGGTGGTTGGTTACTAGAGATTGCAATGAACAGTCAAAAAGTCTACTGCTGAACGGGAAGTTTCCGAATCCAGCCGAAAGAATATTACCCTGTTGTTTATTCCGAATTTTCATGCTGACCATGAACATTGACAAGAATTCGCATTTGGAAATCATATTTGAATTGCTAAATAATATTGCTAAACATATGCCTAACTTCAAATTTCCGACTCGGGGTTATGTTTGGTAGCGAGTAAACTCGTTTGATAGTAAGCGCTAAGCAGTGTTGCATGATAATCGTGTTAATAATTATGTTTAAGAATTCATGCTCGAACGCTCTTTATGAGTCTTGCCTGACGCAATGAAGTTATTGTGTATTGTCATAAGGCAAACCACACCCTATATCTCGTGTATGTTATGTGTTAACCAAGTTGTCGTTTTTTATACCTACTTTTGTTCATACTAAGGTAGAGACCAGGATGACAGCCCATTTGAACCCACGTACATATGCACTCGTAAACCCCTAGGACATTTGCACCCACCGACACTTGAACCCATACATTTTCATTCATAGATTTACGCACCAGCGGACATTTGACCCCTGTATATCTGCACTCGCGGAAATTTGCACCCATGTACATTTGCACCCATAAACATTTGCATCCACAAACATTTGCATCCATGTAGGGGAAAGTGGGGCACGTTGGGACATGGGGCACAGTGGAAAATCAGCTCTCACACTGATACTATATCCGCAATCCTGTCCGCGGTTCGATGTTTCAATCCGCCCTTTGGTGAGTTACAACGTCCCCGCGAACGGAAAACGGAAGGGTAGTGCGGCGCAAGCTATGAAGTGAAATTGGTTTTGGAAGGTTGAAACTAAAATTTCACCGTTCCAGTTTTTTCTTTTTTCTACATTGGACTTTCCAACATGACAAAACACCGTCTGATATTATTCAGCTTTAGTCCACTGTAGACTATTCATAACGTTGGCGAGTGGATGTGCCTTCCAGATTTCGCTGTGGGATAGTCTGAAAATATTTGTTGCCTATGAGGAACAATGGACCGGGGCACAGTGGGACTTGCCCTACAGTGCACAATTCGACATTGTTTGATACAATAAGTGCTTAGAGACCTAGATATGCGGTATATTAAGTGTAATATTATGGTTTCTTTTGACCCATGGCCCAATATGGAATATATTCGAGAATCAATAATATTTCCAGATTTAGATTCGAGGGAAGAAATAATCAAATTTGTTTGCGAAACTTTTTGTCTGATATTTGAACTATTTCAGTTGAACATTGATTTAAAAAATATTAAAGCTTCAAATTTGAAGTCTCCCTGTTCTTTAGACGATTATGCTGATTAATTGCTTATTTTTAAGGGCATACTTCGTTGAATTTTGACGGACTGACCCATGGGGCCCCAGGGTCTGTCCGAATGTGCCCCACAAGTGGGGTACAGTGGGACACTTGACAGAGGTTTTTCAAAGCATTTTAGTAGTAAGATGTGTGTCGCAAGAAAATTTCTTTTTCGCTGAATGTAAACTACATTTACCCCTCTATGCATTAGTCCCGCCAACTTAAGGGAATATGCAGAATTAAAGGCTCAAAATATGCAAAAGAAAAAAAGTGTCCCAACCTTCCCCACTTTCCCCTACATTTTCACCCATGAACATTTGCACCCATTGACATTTGCACCCTGGACATTTGAAGCCGCGGACATTTGCACTCACGTACATTTGCATCCATGGAAATTTGCACCCACAGATATTTGCACCTATGTAGGCCTACATTTGCACTCGTGAACATTTGCACCCATGAACATTTGCACCCTGAACATTGCAAAAACTGATTAAAATTTGTAAACAGATTATACAATGAGTTGTTTTAATGTTTTATTTGAAGTCGCGGACATTTGCCCCCACGTACATTTGCACCCATGGATATTGGCACCCACAGACATTTGCACTCATGTACATTTGCTCCCACAGACATTTGCACCCATGAACATTTGCACCCATGGATATTTGCACTTATGCACATCTGCATTCACAGTCCGGAAGAATCGGGCCCTAACATTGTTTTGGGACATGAAGTTTTTTTTTATTGTTTAGAAATAATGTCGATGACATAAATAATGATACCCAGGTGGGTGTGGAGTATATAATGTTGAGCAATTATTTCTAAGCGGATTTCAAGTATTCGTACCAAGATGACGCACATCCTGAATCCTAGCCTGGTACACATACAATGTTCACGTAAAATCGACAAACGTGTATAATGACAAAAGTAAAGAATGTAATTATACACATAAGAATTCATGCAAGTGAGAGATTCATAGCAATAGATAAGGAATCGCGAAGGACCGTGACAGTCATCGAGTCAGCGACACCTGTGGGCTGAAGAGGGAATGACAAAAAAATTACACAAATTTAATCAATCAATATTAACAGAAAAACAAAATCGCAACATTATCACCAGAGAAACGACTTCGACTCGACAAAAGCAGGATTTTGCAACAAGTTGTTTACAGCAGTGCCCTTCAACCGGTTATACGGTATACCAAAGTGTATACCGGGCCATAAGTTGGGTATACAACTGATAAAGGGTATACGAAGGGTGTGCAGCCTAGATCAGGGCAAAGAACCGACCTGAGCACATTGTTACATCACGAATTATATAGATAATGCGGTCACGTGTCTGGGCTGGTGATTTCGGCTGCCATGCACTTCGTTTGATTTATGTTGAACATTATTCCCGTTGACGCTGAGGCCGTCAGTCAAATTTATAACTTGATCAAGAGTGATCATTATATTAACTGATTTTTATTTAAGTTTCCGAAACACAACTGAAAACTAACGGATAGAGTTCAAAAACGCAAAAACGAGGTAATGTTTAAGACCACGCTTGAAAATCTGTCTGAGTGAGAAAAGTGTCTGAGCGGATGCGAAAAGGGGGCATTGTTACGTCACTTTTTGCATCTTGCTGATTAGCCAATGTCACGAAGTAAACAAGGAAGTCGATGCTCGGAGAAAGGTCCATTGCATGATGAGATTGCAGTAAAATATGTGCTTGAAATTTTATGTTTATTTAGGCCTTAAATGAAAATTGGTATTTGTAAGGTATACAAAGTTCTTGAAAAATTGTAAAAGGTATACCAGATTAAAAAAAATAAAAAAGGTTGAAGAACACTGGTTTAAAGCACTTTCTACTCTTTGAATTGTTGCGTCATAAGGATAAGGATAATATATACATATTTATCCCGGGGGAGAGGAAAGCCGATAAGACGGCTTATTCATATGGCGAATCACGGCCTCCTGTTCGGTTACCATTCCAAGTCGGTTATGGGATTAGTTATATTGTTTGTTTTCGGAAGCATGGACTTGGTGGTAGAGGAAGCCGTAACCGACCAACGGTTACGTGAACCACCCAACGACGGCGAGGAGTCCAGCAATCCTCTCGCACATAACCATCCCTGCATGGGATTCGAACCTGCGAAACCACGCAGAGTAATTAGAGGTGCGGTGGCGAGCATATTCCTAACGCTTAGCCCGTTGAGCCACACCGCCGCGCCGCGTCATAATGGTGTCCACACCGATGCGGGCTGTTTTCCCCGATCTGTGTTAATGGATGAAAATCCAAATTGCGTTCGGGTTTGTGGTGGTGAATTCGTCTTCATCACTATTCATTCGCTATTTCGGCGCAAATGGCAATATAACCTCTTTGTCTTGAAAGTGTGGTATCCAAAGGGTGTATATGTTTACGAGTGCAAAATTAAGTAGGATAGAAGCGAATATCCGTGGGTGCAAATGTACGCGAGTGCAGTTGTGCGTGGGTGCAAATGTACGCGGGTGCAAATGTATTGCGTGTTCAAATGTGCGCAGGTGCAAATCTACCGGGTGCAAATGTCCGTGAGTGCAAATGTCCATGTGTGCAAATGTCCGTGGGTGCAGATGTACACTGGTTGAAATGTCCGTGAGTGCAAATGTCCATGGGTGCAAATGTTCAAGAGTGCAATCTGTATGCGGGTGCAATTGTTCATGAGTTCAAAAATCCGTGGGTGCAAAAGTATGCAGGTACGTGTAATTGTCCTGGGTGCAAATGTACGTGGGTTCAAAGATAATGAAGGCAGATACCAGATATAGACGATGTACGATCAGATGATTCATCAAATCTAACCTACCGGTAATATTTTTTATGACATCTAAAGCGTAAATAAATACTAATGCGACTGAAGTGATTCGGTAGGCAGCCTGAGCATCAGGCTGCAAGTTGAAAAATTGAGAAACACCGTCCTAATCAGTATACAATTCATATATAGTAATCAAACATTAATATAATAGTATTTTAATTTTACATCAAAACGAACGCAATTTAGAAACCAACGACTAACATATCGAAACAAAGGAGTCAAGGACCCACCGCTGTCGCTGGTTTGCTGCAATAACACGCATCAGCGATTAGAAGTCCACTTTGTTTCCTTATTCTGAAACCCCGCGAAACGTGGACACGTGATCTGATCCTGGAGGTCTTGCAAACTCTTCGTTCGTTTTTGCCGTTTTGTTTCTGCGGGGGTATTTTTTGGTTTAAATATAGTCAATATGATGGATGTGGACATTGATGAGGAATTGAGGGAAGCTGAACGCCAATATTTGGATTTTCTTGATGATGAAGTCACAGACCAAGGTGTGTATTCTGCGTTGGTTAGAGAAATGATTGAGAAGGGAAGATCCCGAATTGTTGTTAACATAAACGATCTCCGGCGACGAAATAATGTGAGAGCTAAAAAGCTTTTGGATAATGGTTTTGATGAGCATGGTGCTTTTCAACGTGCTCTGAAAAATTATGTTGCTTCCATCAACACTGAATATGTAAAGCAACACGAGGAGTTTTTTGTTGGATTTGAGGGAAGTTTTGGGTCAAAGCATGTAACTCCTCGTACCCTAACAGCATTGTATCTTGGTAGCATGATATGCCTTGAAGGCATTGTTACGAAGTGCTCACTTGTTAGACCAAAAGTTGTTCGTAGTGTTCATTATTGCCCCGCTACTAAGAAGACTTTAGAAAGAAGATACACTGATATGACCTCTACAACACCTTTTGTATCAAGTTCTGTGTACCCAACTAAAGACGAAGAAAATAATCCATTGGAAACCGAGTTTGGATTATCAGTTTACAAAGATCACCAGACCTTGACTGTGCAAGAGATGCCTGAAAAAGCTCCAGCGGGACAACTTCCTCGATCAGTGGATATTGTTGTTGACAATGATTTAGTTGATCTCTGTAAGCCTGGTGATCGTGTCCAAGTCCTTGGAATATTTAGATGTCTACCTGGTAAAAAACAAGGCCATACTTCTGGTGTTTTCAGAACTATCTTGATTGCAAATCATGTAAAACCTCTTAGCAAAGAGGTTATACCAATGTTCTCAACCGATGACGTTGTTAAAATAAGGAAATTTGCAAACCAAAAAGGTGCTGACCCGTTTGAAATTCTTGCCCATTCGTTAGCTCCCTCTATCCATGGCAATGAATATATCAAAAAAGCTGTGCTCTGTATGTTACTTGGCGGTACAGAAAAAATTTTGCCAAATGGAACAAGACTTCGTGGCGATATAAATGTTTTGCTGATAGGTGATCCAAGCACAGCCAAATCACAAATGTTGAGATATATTTTGCATACAGCACCACGAGCTATAACAACTACTGGTCGAGGAACAACTGGTGTTGGATTAACTGCTGCAGTGACTTCAGATGAAGAGACGGGGGAACGCAGACTTGAAGCTGGTGCTATGGTATTAGCTGATCGTGGAGTTGTGTGTATTGATGAATTCGATAAAATGAGTGACATAGATCGTACCGCAATTCATGAAGTAATGGAACAAGGAAGAGTCACTGTGGCAAAAGCTGGCATACATGCAAAGTTAAATGCTCGATGTAGCGTGTTAGCAGCGGCAAATCCTGTTTATGGTAGATATGACCAGTACAAGACTCCTATGGATAACATTGGAATGCAGGATTCTTTATTGTCTAGATTTGACTTGCTTTTTATTGTTCTTGATCAAATGGACCCAGAAAATGATCAAAGAATATCAGATCATGTGCTTAGAATGCATCAATATCGTGCATCAAATGAACAAGATGGCGACCCAATGCCAATATCGATTGGTGCAGATATTTTGTCCACAGATGATCCAGACTGCGAACAGAACAAAGATCAAGAAACGCCAGTATATGAAAAACATAATAAATTGCTGCATCGTGGATCTGGCAAAAAATCTAAAATGGTGAGTATTGCCTTTATGAAGAGATATGTTCATGTGGCAAAAATTATAAAGCCTACTTTGACAAGAGAGGCTGCAGAATGTATTGCAGAAGAATACACCAAACTCAGATGTCAAGATCAAGAGAATAGTGATGTAGCCAGAACCACACCAGTCACTGCTCGTACTCTTGAAACTTTAATTCGTCTTTCAACTGCGCATGCCAAAGCACGTTTGTCCAAGAAAGTAACTTTGAAAGATGCTCATGCTGCTATTGAGCTTGTGCAATATGCTTATTTTCATAAAGTGATGGAAAAAGAAAAGAAGAGGCGAAGAAAGACTCACGATAGCGACAGTGAAGATGAAGTCATTGAAAGTCAAAATACCTCAGTCCGCAAGAGGAGAAAGCGTGGGGATGGGAATGAAACCACTGGAGATCCAAATGACCCATATAATTTTGATTCGGCCGAAGAAGACACACCTGATGTCAGTGCTGTGGGTCGTCCTTCGCAACAACAGTCAACTGTTGATGTTTCAATGGAGGACAGTGAGCGTTCCACAACTGCTATTGATGAACAGAAGATGAATAAATTCAAGAAGTCACTTTTTGCCAAATTTGAAGTTGAACACACACAAAGCCTGCCCACAGCTGCCATTGTTGAATGGGTCAACAAGGATAGTCAGGAGTTTTCCAAGGACGATGTTGACACCTGTCTTTCACAAATGCAAGACAGCAATCAAGTGATGTATACGGATGACACTGTATTCCTCATTTAAAATCCAGGGGAATACATTCAATTTCCAGAATGTGTACATCAATAAACATATTGAACCTTGGAAACAAGAGACAATTTACCATTTCTTTTTACTTTATATGCCATCATGTTTGCTTTCTGCTGTTGAATTTGTTATCCATAGCTCTTTCGTAAATGTTCCAAATGTAAATCTGTACAGATAGTTTTGTTATTGTGAAACTTATACGCAGTGCTTGATTGGTTCCATTATGAGATTAGTTCAGCAAATGAGCAGGCAAGAAAAAAAATTAGTTTATTGCAATGTCCTCCACGCTGTTGTAGGTTTTTATCCAAGATTCTATAACATGTTGCATAATGCTAGATTACTAATAGCAGTCAGTGTCAGTCAACCACTTTCATTAAGGCCCACTACAGGCAAGTCCACTGGTCTTGTCCATCTGTATGCCATTAGATGGAGTGCATTGTAGCAAATTACAAATTCTCGACTTGTCAGAAACTTGTTTGCTAGTTCTATAACTGGGATTTGGGCCCAATGGGATTGCGCTGATACTCAGCCTATCCTCACCGACATACTTGCGATTGGTGCCAGCCAGGATATTTGTTCACCAAAGACGTTTGTCTAATAATTCGTAAGGCCAGTGTTTCATTATTCTGTTACGTAACAGTTGGCATTTGAAAGATTAATAAAAATGTCCCACAAATAATTACCTCAGTATATATGTTCCGCCATTTTATTAAAGTAATGCAGCATGAAAAGTACACAAAAACCGCACGAATGAATATAGCAATAAAATCAATTAGATACAGATGTCAGTCAATATCATTCCATAAGCACATAATGCTAACATTTGCAGTTCAGGCAAAAAAATCCAAGCCCCACTTCTCGTGTTAAAAAGGCAAAACCTACTAAAATCTGAATAATGTCATGACATACTGCAAAATATTAAGTGAAACAGTATATAGATAGCAATTAATTCACTATAAGCATATTAACTACAAATAGAATAAGAGTTGAAACATACTAAATATAGGCAAATATCAAAGTACAACTAAATAAGCACAAGGGCATATAACATAGTCTTAAATGCAATTTGAGACACGTTTCTATTATTATATGCAGAATTCTATATAGTTCACAGCTGATAGTTCTCATGGATTTGGTACTATTTGCTGTACAGGTTTATAAGTTTATCAGGCTTGTTATGTACTGATATACGAAACAGGGAAATAGAACTTGAAACAAAGGGGGCACAACTCCAATTAAAACAACGCACACGACATGACTGATACAATATTTTGAATGAAATTGTGCATGATAAGACTATTAAATGAAGATTTGTCTTGTTTTATCAAACTTTATGGCTGCAGAAAATGATGATTAAGGAACATCCTGCCATCTGAGATATTGTGGTAATACCGTGACATTTTGAGTATCTACATTGCCAGCACCCAGCATGAAGACAGATAAATTATGGGACGGTGTCAATATTGGTTTAAGCTCATTGTACTTGGGTTTCACCAAACAACATCATATTTCTGAATGATTTGATCAGTTACGACTACTGGATAGTGACAAAACAGGCAAATGTTAGATTATTTGAAAAACGTTAAGCATTTAAAATATCTAGGGGTCCAATTGCTCTAATGTTATCAATATTTCCAGACTGACTAAACTGAGACAATATAACTTAGACCCATTTAAACAGAAAAAAATCATGTCATGTTTCAGGTGACAAAATTAACTCACCTATGTTAACCAGCAAGACACTAAATGGGTAATAATATATTTTATTTTACCAATATATCTGAATAATATAGTATATACCCTTTTTTCAATTCTCAATATTATTTTGTGCATCAAGATTAGAAATGAAATCAGAACAGACCCACAACAACATATTTGACAATTAAAATTATTGTACAATCTATCACCAATACCTAATCAGTCACATGGAAATCCATAAATTATATAACCAGGAAGCTGTAAAAGTAATTCATATAGTTCCAGGATGTAAAACACAAAATTTACTGTGCTTATCTATAGAGTTTGATTGATAAAAGCAAAGTATTTGATATTGAATGTGAGAAAACAAACCTGTAAATTATTGTATCACCTCGATTAAAATGAATTGATCCCCAATGGATGTTAAAGTCTGTCACCATAAGCTAGTGTAGTTTACCCGGGGTATCGTCAGTAACGAGAGGTTACGCGAGTTACTATTTAAATCCAGGAGTTTGTATTAAATGATGTATAATTATAATCAAATACCTTTAGTATTTAAACTGGTTGCCCTTTAAGGTCAATTTTATTTTGCCAGTATTAGGTTTGCTTTTATATACATAAGAGTATATTACCATACGGATAATGAAAGAATTAATTGAACTATTGCACAGGGGTTCTTCGAGCCTCCGAATGTTTTATTGGGGTTTTGCTAAGTCTAAAGGTTGAAAACCACTGGCTCACACAGATGTAAGCATGTTTGGCAGACAGCTTTCACACCTCTGATATAGACGACAAAATTTTAAGACATTTTTAAGGGGGCATTCGAATCAATAAAAAAATTCAGTAGTTATGAATTTATAATCATGTTGCGATAAAAGGGTTTGTTGTAACATCATGAAAATACATTGAACCGGTTGCACCGCTCTGCGGACCCCCACCTAAACGCACCAGATTCAGCTAGTGCTCACACAAATATATATAATGAGACTATTATAATGTATAAACAAAAACTTGTGAAGATAAAAATAAATAGGTTTGTTGCATGATATGACTCAGTACAGTGATATTTTCAGCTGGAGCAACAAAGCAATGCAAATTCTTTTTTAAACCAAAACCAAGCCTGATATTTAAAAAACATGATCACTCAATATCAATAGATATAATACCAAAAAGGTAACAAATTACAATACAACTTGATACAAGACCATAATATGCATATTCCCGCAATTAAAATGAAAGCACAAAAATACAGAACTAAAGGAGGTTTTATGAAATGAAGACCATTGTCAATGAACTTGCTTGATTATAAATCTGCAAATAGATTTCATAGCACTACAGTTGTAAAAAACGCATAATAAGTTTGTCTATTGTAAGTGTCGAGGGCGTATTGGTAACAATATTGAATTACAGACAGTCTAGTATGGTAAATAGGGAAATATCGGTCCATTAACATAATAAAAGAATATAAAGTTCAGGTCTATTTATACTTTATCAATTTTAGATACAGACAAGTGAAAAACAATGAAACTCTAATATAATAAAATTCCAAAAATATCTTGAGCTTGATCCTAGTTTGGACTTCCTTTATTAGAAACCAGATAGTACTGCATTGATATAAATCGAAAGGTACCGTATAACAGAAAATTCAACATTCAATTCACGCAAAGGGACAGAAATATCTATTGAAAAAATAGACATAATTTTATTACACAATAAGTTTTTATTTTACAAATCCAGAATTTAAATTAATATAGTTTAGTTAATGCATTTTCGATTTGAAAGCTGTAACTAAATTCATTCTATATTATTTAAAATGAATGCTTTGAATAATAGGTTCATTATATTGCTATGGCATAATCATTTCTATTTGTGCCAAACCATCATGCTAATGTAAATTTTGATAAACCCTCAAGGATTTGTGCATGGTTTATTTTTCTTTAACTAAAAGCAAACTATAAATTAACACCAAAATATTTCATTATAGTTCTTGTGTTATCAGATATATCCCACTTTTTCAACAAAGTGCCGACTATTTGAAGTTATTTTTCTTTTCTGCTGAAATTGATCACCGTGATCATCTAGGTAGGCTGGTGTTTTTTAGTAACCATTTCATATTCGGATCATCAGAGTTACATTCATGCATCGAAGGAACTTGTGAATCAGACGGCATTTTAGACATACACTGTCCTGTGTTAGCATGCCGTAGAGTTTTAGTTGAGTCATCGTATTCCCACAATTGATTTCCTTTCATATGATGACATTTCACCATCATGACTGGGCCATTCCTTTTTGCCACATCGAGGCATATGTCATCGGATCGTATTTCTTTGTTGTGAGTGTAAGCCCAAACCTGATTTCCACCCATATTGTGGCAACTAAATATGCCACACTTCTCATTTTCCTTTCTCCCCATTGTATCCAAACACAGCCCAGAATTTTCATTTCTGACTTCACCAAGAGACTTGTAGGTAGAAGGTATTTGAGAATCTGGATAAATATTCTCAAGATACCATTTAAAAGGCTTGCAATGTAATTTTTCTCGTAGCCTCAGTCTTTCACTGACATCACCATATTCTTGTTTGAGTACGCCAGGAGAAATAATGTAAAAGAAATTTTTATAATCGTCCATCCAAACTTCAGCAAGTCTTCTGTTATTTTTGTTAATTATATGTCCAGTTCCTCCAGGAAACGTGTATGGAGTAGCTTTACGAAATACATGCCCGACATGAGAGCATGTAACAATCAAAAGAGTACCACCACATTGCCAAATACGAAAAGAAATCTCCAAATTTTCACCTCCCCAAATATCCATTCCGGGATCATAAGTTCCAATTTTTTCAAAATAATCCCGATCTATAGAAAACAATCCACCAGCCATGGTAGGTGTTCTAACAGGTAAGGATCGGTCATTGTTACGCCGATCCATCTCACGCTGCGGCACTGGATACCACCGGAAATTTAACTTCCAATTAAAGCCACCATATGTCATGTCCGAACCCACCATAAATTCAAAAGTATCATCGCTAATAACATCTATAATCGGACAAACAACAGTGGACGAATCTTTTACTATTTCAGCAAGCAAAGGCTCAAGCCAGCCTTCTGTGCATTCACAGTGAGCATCTAAGAAAGTTAAAACTTGGCCCACTGACACAGCAGCACCCTTCAATCTGGCCCGAATAAGTCCCGACCTTTTGCCCATTCTAACGACTCTAACAGTAACAGGTAATTTACTCATATAAACCTCTAATTTCTTGCCAAGAAAGTCCCGTTCACTCGCATCATCTACTAGTACAATTTCTTCTAGAAGATGCCTCGGAGATCTGTTGATGATGCTATGAACTGTACGAAGCAGCGTTGACCAAGCTTCATTGTGAAACACTATAATGACAGATGTTTTCGGGAGATCTTTCACAGGATATACCTTTGATTTGCATCCACTCATACGAACATCAGGAAGTGAACGATTAACAGAAATCATCTCTGATGCAAGCAGGTTAAATTGGTTTATTTTAAACTTTTCTTTTTTCTCTTCCTCTTTGTCTTTAGGTATGTGAACTGCTTTGCCCATTTCTCCTGGACCCCTAGGATTACTGAAAACAGGAAGAGCATTTCCAATTTCCTGGACTTTCTTAGCAATGAAGTCGGCAGCACCCCCACCGCCGCTATTTCGTGTATTTTTTTGAGAACAGTTGGAAGAACAGTCCGTATAATTAAAGATTAATATCACATCAAGCATGACCCAGCATAACGAAGTGAGAAGGATAACTTTACAATAACGGCGTCCGCATATTTTCACCATATTGATTTGTTCTTTGAGTTTCAAACAAATATGAAAACTATTGTTTGATAAATTCACATTTTATAACTATTTTTATGACACTAAACAAGTAATATTTTAGTTTGATAATTGCAATGTTTTATTACGTAAATAATATGCTTGCTGCACAATACAGCAATAGAGGAGAGGAATAGCTTGCTTGATTTCAGGTATTCGTCTGCGAGTTTTGGACGACATACTCTGGAGGGCCTTATTACGCCACTGTGGCGTCGCAATGACAGAATTTTATGGTAATGTAGTCAGGTGGGGGTTAGGAATGATATAGGCAAAAATTGTCGAGCCAGGCCAACTAGAAGTGCATGTGGTACAGAACTATACCAGACCCCTTTTTTGTAAGTGACAAACAATTTGTGACATCGATGCGTTGGCACTTTCCATTAGTGATACTTCATGTATTTTTCACTGAAAAGAGATTCCGAAGATTGATATATATATATATATATATATAATTATGGATATTCAAATCTCACAAGTTGCATGTATGTCTATGTGTGATACAAACAGCTTATTATCTAGAATTCCAAAAAGCTACGCGGCACACTTGAGAATCTCTCAGTAGTGTGCCGCGGCACACAGTTTGAGAAACACTGCCATAAACACGAAAGAAAAAAAATAGGGTCTTGTGTAGTTTCCAACCTAACGTACTTTTAGTGAGCGGAGCATAACAATTTTTTTACGTGTCAATCCTAACCCCCCCCCCCCTGAAAATTATTATGTCAAATTATTACAAAAATTATGTCACTATGATGTCACAAATACCTCATAGAGCTTGCCAAAGTATATTTACGATTGCCCGAGGTGGCATCAGCCTGTCTGCGCGTCTTGGATGACAGTTCGTATAGTTTGAAGGGCTCTATTGCATCACTGTAATGTAATTTTTGGATGACGCTGTCAGGTGGGGGTTAGGATTAACATATGAAAAAATTGGGACCTCCCGAAGTATGTGCACCAAGATGGCACACAACCTGAAAGTAGTATATGTGTACCGGTTAGGATTCAGGTTGTACGACATCTTGGTGCGCATACTTCTGGAGTACCAAAAAATGTTATGCTACGCCCACTAGAAGTAGGCTACTTTAGGTATTAAACTACATTAGACCCAAGTGCTGAAGTGAGGATCACAAGTTAACTCATAATATTTCTTTTACTATTTATTAATTCGAAATTTTGATAGGTAGCCTATCCACTTTCGGCAATCTGGCAATCCTTCCGTACAGCTGTACAGACAGAGCTATTACCGTACTGTACTACAGTATTTTTATACCGTACCTGACAACTTTTTTGTTATTTGTTCGCCAGTTTACTGAGTCGTATTATAAGATTCTTCTCGGTTTTTTTCAATTTCCAGAGTTTGTATGATTTATCCTGAAGGAGATGGAAGCCAACGTACCGTTACCGTAAACACAGACTCGCGCACGACGAGGCCAGAAACGTGCCTACATACAGACATACGGTACAAGTACCGTACAGTGTACCTTTCGCACAGTCGCATAAGATTAGATACGTTTATTTCGACTCCATAAGAAATCTACCTGTAGACTTGATAAATTTAGTATCCAGCAGCTTTTGACTTTGTCTAAAAATTCCAAACGACTGAACGACGCACAGACCATACCGGTACCGTATCCTCGCTCATCTGAAAGTCATATTTAGACAAACGTCACAAGCTCTGACGAAGTTTTTTTTGTGCCAAATAAATTCCAATGCCAAACGGAATTTTTGTATTGAGATTTTGAAATGGAATTATTTTATTTTGAATACAAAATTTTTTTGTTTCCATGTTTTAATTTTTCAATTTAAATCCCATTCCCCCCAATATATATGAAGATATAGTAAAGCTCTGGCGAAGTTTAGCAACAGCCTACAACTCCGCATTGGAGATAATAACAATATTGCTCATTTTATCCTTTAATTATCTTCAATTTCATCAACTCACCACCGATAGTTGCACAATAATACTTTTTTTCACTTACAACTCTATCTTGGTAGCGTTTGCGACACCGGACGAGAGGCCGTGGTTCGCCATATGGATAAGCCGTCTTATCGGCTTTCCTCTCCCCCGGGATGAATATGTAAATCCTATTCGTATTTCTATTTCTGTCATTACACTGTGGTACTACACATATTGGCAGATTATATTGGGCCGGTTTTATTAATAATCTTTATCACTGACCCGGTTCGGCATCTGGGGTCAAGGGTCGGGGAAATGTTGCAGGCCAAAAGTCTTAACTTTCAATTATCCATTTTGAAAATAGTGTGAAAAATGATGGAGTATTTTACCCAAAATTCGACAAACAAAATATTTTAATTCACTTTCATATGACTAAAAAAAATATTCAATTCCATATTGCTGTTTTGGTACTGCACCTTCCACTTCTGCATTTGACCTTCAATGCAGTAATGAGATTGAGTCATACTTCATACTTCTTTATGTGTACTGCAAGATATGAAATATGGTTGGAACGTAATGCAGTTATTTTTGAAAATGCTAATTCAAGTGTAAATAATGTCATAACAAGAATTAGAAAATCCCTTTCAGCAAGGAGAAATATGGAACAATTTAGGCATAAACCTAGTTTTATAAAAGAACTTGACAAAATTTGCAAGAATCTATGACTAATTGTATAAATTTTTATTTTTCTCCTATCGATAATTTAAAAACTTGTAAATTAATGTATACTTACTGATAAACATGGGAAACTTTATCTGGAATCAGCAATGGAATAATATGAATTGCTGGATAATACTGGATGATGTTTATGAATATATTTGTTTATTACATGTAACTATGTTCTAAGTTTATTATTTTTTTTTCATTTATTTATTTTTACAAAACTGTTATGAATCCACAACGTGGAACTTCAAAAAAAAAAAAAGAGATTGATTGCTTCATATTTTTGGCTTCTTGCCATCTGAGTATCTTGTATTCACTTAGTTCAGTAGTTACTGATCCATAGCTACTTCCCGACTTTCGCAAGAATAAAATGCTCCCTATTTTCATCTTATTTTAGAAAATTGCCAGTTCAGCAGTTGCAACGTATTGAGATACAGTAGGCACTTTGTGGCATGCTTGTCTGCGGTAGGCGAAAGTGGCGCACTATCATTATTTTTCTGGTTATAATATCTGCATTATGTATATTTCCCCTGTACTCTGGAATATTGCATGAAGAATCTACAGATTCACACATTGCCAAACAGAATGAAGTGTTTGTGGATGTTCCCTCAATTACAAGTCCAGATATTGGAAGACACTTCAACCCAAAGTTGCTAGCAGGTTTAATGGCTGATATAAAATCAAATAAGTCCAATAATGTAATAAATCATCAAAAAGTACTAATGGTGAGTTTTTTATTTCCTTGGTGGTTTTATGTCTTGTAACTTGATAAAGTGGTTTGCGAATGTCATAGCTTATTTCTATATTACCTTTTACACCGATTTTCTCAAAAGTATGACCCTATCACTATTACTGTATTATCAGATTTGCAAGGTACTTATTTATATAAGTTTTTTGCAAGCAATGTCTCGCAACTCAAGTTTTAACAATATGTTACTGGTAGATGGTTTGTGTGTGCACCAATGACTTTTAAAGTTAAGCATATGTATAGATTTATAATTTTGAATATCTAATATTTTTTGTCTTTTAATTATTCAATTGGTTTGTATATACAGACGTACTAATAATATACCATAATTGAAGACTTACATATTGTAATTCAGTTAACTTGACCGAATTGTTTTATATTTTTACAATCTTTTATTTGAGAAGAGTATTTTTTATATTTCTATGACATTCACATGAAACATTCTTCAGCAAACTTTAGGAATCTATGCCAATTTGTTGCTATAACTGATATCAACTTATGATATCATAATTTATTCAGAAACAGGATGTTGACAGAGATGTTGTCAACTACAATGTTCATGCTTTTTATTATGCATGGTATGGTAATCCAGGACAAGATGGGGAATATTTTCATTGGAATCATGAATACCTTCCACATTGGGAGAAAAAGATATCTGATAAATATCCAACTGGACAAGCTCACATTCCACCTGATGATATTGGTAGGACAATGATATTTAAATAAAAACAAAATGTGTGTGCTATATCCCTTATTTTTATAAACACTGTAACAGATGGATGCTGTTTCCAATGAACCAATGTGACTTCTACATTTGTTAGATGATTGTTATGGCGGTATGGAAAACTGAAATGCTTTTTTTTTATGGGGACCCAATAGTTCCTATATTCGTCAGAAAATAACAGATAATTTTAACATATTTTTAACTTGGACTTTTCTTATCTGTTATGGCCATTTTCCCAGGAGATTTTAATCAGGATGAAGGCCTCTGATTAACTTGTGTGGGTTCGCAGGTTTGAATCCTGTGGGGAGATAGTTATGTGCAAGAGGATTGCTGGACTCCTCGCCTCTGTGTGGTGTTTCACGTAACGCACTGGCCAGTTACGGCTCACTCCACCATGCATCTGAAGCAAATAACTGGCTAACTAACCCCATACCGATATAGACTGGTAACCGGATGAGAGGCAGTTGGTTCATCATATAATTAAGCTGTCTTATCAGCTTTCATCTTCCCTGGGATAAATATGTCAATCCCAAGTTTATTGTCAATGCCAGTCTGACGAAAATAATTTAATTCACCGGTAGATTTTAAAATTTTACTGTAGATACAGGCTATACGGTATGATAAACCTGAACTTGCATATAAATCAAGAGCATGGAATATCAATCTCTTCTCCTTAATTGTTTAAGGTTCGTCTTATTATCCTCTACTGGGCCCTTATAGTTCTTCGGATGAAACTGTAACAAGATCTCACATGATACAGATGCAACAGGCCGGAATTGGTTTGTGTTTACTATTATTGGCCTGCACTACAATATTGTTATTCAACCAAATCTTTTATATGAGATACCTGATATGAAAGTGTTATTTGCTTGCAATAATCAATATATACGGAAAAAGTGACTATGGTCCTACGTACAGAAATTATTTTTTGGCATGTAAAATAAAACTCGAGTTAGAGTTGTGTTAAAGTTATCCATGAATTTTTCAGACGAAAGACGTATAAATAAATCCTATCCTATCCTATATGCAAATCATTATTAGTGCCTTGTAAAATATAGTAAATATAATAGTTAAAATAAATTTCCTACATAATTTGAATCAAGATATTAAATTTGTAGTTCAAACTAAACTTCTCAAAATGCCTATAGTTCTATAATGGATCTTGTTTTAGGTGTTTTAGCTCTTTCTTGGTATCCACCTGGGTTGGCTGATGATCATGGAAAACCAATTGAACATTACATTCCAACTTTATTTGATATTGCAGATCAATATAATATAAAGGTATGACATGCTGTTTTAAAATTGAATAATGCAATATACAACCCACGGCATAATTATTAAATCATATGGAGGGAAAATATATTCAATAACTATATTATGTATAGGCAGTATATTGGTAGCTTCTAACAAATCTTTACAGTGATCAACCTAGTATCAAACAGTTTTGCTATAAAGAAGCAAGTTTATAACTTTTGGTGTTTTGAATGATTGTTTATGTTCAGGTGTGCTTTCATATTGAACCTTATAAAGACAGAAGTCCCGAGAGTGTGAAAGAAAATTTAAAATATATAATAGAGACGTGAGTGTACTTCTGATTTTTTTTTAGGTTTTTTAAATTGAGAAAGAGAAGTATACTGAACTAAACAGATGGTTTCTTCTGATCAGAATTTGACCCTGGTGTTAATATTCATTTATGATTCGATAAATCCAATTATTTTGTCTCAAATCAGGTTACATGCTAAATTTTGTAAATAACCTGAACATATTCTAAATTTCACTTGGTGAGATCTCTATTCTTGAAGTTCAATTTTTTTTCCCCTGATTCTACCAAGTTTAAGTAAATACCTGTAACGAGTTTTAATAAAAAAAGTGGGATTTTACTTTTTATGAGGCAATGCTTTGTGTATTTTAGGTATGGGGACCACCCCGCATTTTACCGGACTTCCACTTCCGAAGGCAGTAGAAAACTACCACTAGTTTACGTTTATGATTCTTATCTTATCCCTGCTAATCAATGGAGTAAAATACTGAAGAAGAGGGGTGAAATATCTATAAGGGGATCTGTTTTTGATGCTGTAGTTATTGGACTCCTAGTTGAGAAAAAACACATGTATGTGCATTTGGTTGCAATTTTCTAACACCTAGTTGGCGATTTTCGTCATACAAGTACGGTACCTATCATTAGTTACACACCTCATTGAATACCTCCAATTATTGTCGCTATTTATTTATTTTTTTTCAGTCATCAATTTCAATGATAAAATATAGCTTTAGTAGTAATTTTGGTCATTTGCAGACTAATATGTTATATATTGCAGCTGGGAGTTATCTAGTGCCGGATTTGATGGTTTTTACACTTATTTTGCTGCTGAAAAGTTCTCGTATGGTTCCACAAGAAGATATTGGCGAGAAATTGAATCATTTGCTATTGAAAACAAAATGATATTTATCCCCAGCATTGGACCAGGATATGATGATACAAGTGTTAGGTAAGATGTGAAAATTGTTTTGAAAAGTTTTCATTTTTAAAATTAGTCAGAAAATAAGTTTCAGCATTATTTATCATATCTTGTTATTTGATTAAGGAATAATAATAAGGAATATTCTACTAATATTTTAGTGGAATAATTTTAGTTTCAAATGCTAAATTTTAATCATAACTATCTACTATAAAGGTGGATATTAAATAACCTCTAGCGATCTTATATATGTCGGAGCTATGACTACTAAATATATACTGTGGACGTGTGAGCATTTATTACCTGTGCAAATCATGTTAGGCGTTAATTCAATAAACTCAATTTTAAAATAATTTAACACTATAAACTTTTTGAATATTATTCTTTGAAGTTTTGAATATTTACTGTAAATGAAGTATTTTCTGCCTTCTCTCAGACAAGACTAGTTTATATAAGAACCTATAAACAGAGACTAATTGATTTGAAAAACATGCCAGGTACTCTCAGATCAGTAAAAATTGCCCAAATTCTCTTTCTTACCCTAAATATCAAAACGTTGGTCTGACTGGACATTGAATTGTCAGACCATAGTTACATATTCAAATATTTGCCTGCCATGCCAAGAAGGCAAACATCATGACGTCCCGATTTCCGCAATAAAAAGTTTTCATAAAGCGGTTTATTGTATATATTCCAGTATTGTGCAGAATTTTTCAAACACTTGTTGATTGCATTGTAAGTTTGTAACTGATCGGAATCTCAATGCTTATGTTTCAAGGCCTTGGAATAACATAAATTCCAGAAAAAGAAATGATGGGGCGTATTATGAAACTGGATGGCACAAAGCAACCACATTGTCTACCGTAAATATTGTCTCCATCACATCATTCAATGAGTGGCATGAAGGAACACAAATTGAGCCAGCTTCCCCTCAATCAAGACATGGAAAATCTGTTTATCTTACTTATGAACCACGTGATCCAGATTATTATTTAAAATTAACTAAGAAATGGTCAATGAAAATGTTAAATGCAAGTCGTGATGTTACTTGATTGGGGTTGTAGGATTGTGCTTGGCGAACTTCTAGCACTGGTGTTTTTTTTGTTTGGTTCTGGTATTTTCAGTTTTAATATTTTAGTTTTCACTTTGAATTGAATTTTAATCGGACACTTCCGAGATATTGTACAGTTGCTGATTTTATTTTGATGTGGTACAAAAAATGCAGTTTATAATAATGTAATGTTTCAGTATTGCAGTTTTATATAGATTGATACATAAGTTCTACTTAAACTAAGGAAAGCATTGTTGAACAGTTCACTAGATCAAGTTTATACCAGCTTTTCATTTGAAATTTTCTAAATCGAAAATGTAGTTATTTTTTTTAAAAGTAAATGGCTATTTCCAGTTATTTTATCAGGTATGTATAGTATTGACTTGAGTTCCAAGGCTCATAGTATTGACTTGTGTTCGAAGGCTCATGCCAACCAATTTTTATTTGTTCCACTGTTGAGGCAATAATTTTATATGAATCACTTTGTGAGTACTGGTCGACTCATCTGTAATTTTTAAGCTTGGGGTAGGAGCCTGATAACTTGCTTTGAGCAAACCCTGTATAAGATGTCAATAATTTTATTATAATAAGTTTCAACTACATTAAAAATAATTGGGTATCAGACTGGGTCAAAAATCCAAACTTGAAGATCAAGGTGAATATACTTATATGATTTGTGATAATACCCAATGTGATATTTTTCTACCCGATACTTTCTATCCAAATAATATATTTTCACACAATCACAAAAGAATATGCATGCACTTCCGTAACCACTGTATTATTGGAAATTGTTTGCATTTGAAATTCAATATTTAATGAATGTTTTTAATTTTATGCATTGTGCCAAATAGAAATTTTTGTGAAAAAGAGCGTATCGGTAATAGATGTTTTGTGTTACTAAACACAAGTTGGTATGTGTAATCCGTGTGGTTTTCAATTTGCTCAAAATAATAAAGATTTTATCTGATGTTAAGAAATATCCGACTCTGTAAAGGGTGGCATCACCCAGAACAAAGCATGACTATTATTTTGTAAGACGATGTCATTAAAAATGGTTCTAGATTTATCCTAAATCACTGCAATGCATGAGGCAATCATTTATTATTTTTTTTTGATAAATTTCTGATATATGCAGCCAATGCAGATGCAAGTATAAACAATATTCTCAGATGATCTACATTTCTTGTTTCTGCTGTATGTACTTTTTCTGCCTTGTTGTATCAACTTTCAGAGGCTTGATGCAATGTTCCACTGCTTTTTATGACCAAGACATACCGTAATGAACATTTTTATGCTCAGTTATATTTTAAATTTAAGCCATTATGGCAATGACATCTTGAATGAAAATTGCTCATGCTATTTGGCATCAGGTTTTTGGGATTTTAATTTTCAAGAAGGAATGAGTGTTGAAGAGGCAAAAACTTCTATAAAAGAACGTAAGTCAGCTGTTTTTGGATATATATTTCTCTTTTGTTTCATCGTTTAATTAACTATAGATTTTTAAAAACCCTTCAATTTATACCTCTGTCACCATTTGTCTTCCATTTACAGCAGCTGCAGAATCTTCTGATCAACAACCACATGATTGTGAAGAATGTGAGATCAAAATGGATGAGACAGACAACAAAAGTTTTTGGGAAGCTCAAAAATCATTACTATGGCAATCATTACCATTGCTTGTTCTCATTCTCATCAGTATTATTTTAGAGAATGTAATCTCTATCTTATTGTTTGTTGCACTGATTTCAACATTTGATACAATCAATGATTTCATTGTGAAGCAGTCTAGTGGGCCTGTAAGTAGTATTTTTGCTGTGATATATGCATAATTTAGGACTTTGGCACTCAACAGAAAAAATTCAAATTCTAATAATTTTGAATTGGAAAAAAGTTTTGTTTAAGTTGTAAAACTTTCCTATTCATATCCTCTTATGAGATCTGTTGGAAAAGTATCAAATTGAGAGATCTTTTTTTACAAATTATCATAAAATTAATGGGCATTTTGGTACTGTTTTTTTATGACTGTTTATTTATTTCTGTTTAGATGTCTGCTTAGTAATAGAAAGTAGATTATGTATAACTCGCTTAATAAATTTGATAGAATCCAGAGTCTGGACGTTTAATAAAATTTAGTATATTCTCAATGTGAATATTAAACTTTTTTTTTTCAGAAAAAGATTGCCAAAGTGAAAGCATTACTCCTTTCCGTATATCTTGTTGGATGTATATGCTTGTCATTTCCAATCATTAGGAAACATTGGTAAGTTAATTGATACTATGAAAATTAAAAATATACATTGTAATTTGTATAAATAAACACCAATCAGTAAGAATATTTAGAAAATACCTGTTAACACAAATTTTAGAAACGGTTGTGAATTCTAGTTTTAGTTCTGGTCCATACTTCTTATATAGCCTACTTGCGTACCATTCAAAAAAGCATCCTGTTTCAATATGCAGGGTGACCAAAAAATAACAGAACCCATAAATTTCCTAATTGCTCACACGAAAATGAGGAAAGTTTCAGTGAACTTCGACGCTTTGCGCACAAAAGTTATGTTCTCTCTAGAATATGTTCCCAAAAACCTGGGTTCTGTGTTTTTAGGGGTCACCCTGTAGTTGAAAGTACTTTGTGATTATGGAGATTTCAGATTTGTTTTGGTGAGATTTAATTAATTTCTTTCACAGAGGGATGATTCCATTATAAACGATGAGCTTTTCAATAGAATCTTTTCACAATAGTTCACAGTTTTTCATGAATCAATATTTGATTCAGTTCGGAGCATGCCAGCTAAGGTCTTGAAATATTAAAATAGGAAATCTTCCCACTTGCAGGTTAATCAGGATGATTCACTTTTATTCATGGTGGCGGGACCACGGATCATTCTGGTCAGGACTTTACCTGGTGACCATCATGGATTTTCTTTTCAAATATTTTACAATGTTTATCAAATGCTTGATACTGTTGTTAAGTGGAAAAGTCATTACAGGACAGAAAAGGGTGAGTGAGCAAGGTTGATGAAATTGTATCATTTGGTAAATGTTCCATGGAAATTGTATGGTTAAATTTGTGAGTGAATCATTTAGCTGCACTTTTGTCGAATTGAAAACCGCTTTTGCGTTCACAATTACTAACTACTTGCCACTGTCAAATGTTCAGTAGTTGAAAAGTAATATTACTCTGTGTTTTTTTTTTCATAGTTTTTACTAGTTTGGTCTCACACACCTTAGGAGCTAAACAAATTTCTCACACTTGTGCTTAATTATCGATCCCTTTGTTGAGGTATGTTACCTTTAAGGCCTCAAGTTCATGCATCTAAAAACAAATTAACTGTCTAATTCCATACCCAACATAGACTAGTAACCGCATGAGAGGCCGTGGTTTGCCATATGATTAAGCCGTCTTATCGGCTTCCATCTCTCCCTGTATAATAATCTATCCTAAATTATAAGTATATATCATTGTGTGTTGCATCTTTTGTACCTTTAGTCATCATTTTGCCTTTATCTTATTATTCAGGGCAAAATTTATATGGCTGTTGAAGGTGTTTCACAAATATTTCGATGTTTTCTACCAATACCTGAATGGTCAAAATATATCTTGAGATATCATTTTGGATTTTCAAGTGTCATATCTTGGATTATCTTTATTATCTATGTTATTATGAAGGTGAGTTCAGGTTTTCCTCTTTTATTCAATATTCAGTCAGAAATGAGTTACAAAGCTTTATGTGTAAAAGCTACCAACATTAGAAAACTCATTTTCGTATATGTAGTAATAATTTTCAGTTAAATTGGTGGAACAACTGGTGGTAAGTTAAATTGGTGGTAATAACTGAGTGCTAAAATAAAGTTGAAGATTGTTTATTGAAAAATTCAACTTAGCTTGAAATGACGGTAGTTGACATAGACCAGGTTCAAAGACGACAATTTTGATGAAAAAATCGTATTAGTTAGGAATTTGAATTATTATCTGATCATGTTCCAAAACAAAATGTGCAATTTCGCACATAGGTTTGTCACAGGAAGTTTTACTGTGCCCTTCAAAATATAAGCTGCATTCTACTGTATGAACTATTCACCTATTAATATTGCTAGGTGCATTTCTTCATAGTTACCGGTACTTGCCAAATCGACCAATATAATATTTTTATAATTGACTTTGTAACAATTTGATGATAGAATATGATGACATTTATTTTAAATTTTCAAACAATATTCTTCTTCTTTTGTAAATAGTTGTAAATATTTTTAGAGAAAATGTTTGCAATAATTGTGCAATTTTTTTTAAATGCCATTTTTGAAATACAAATTCTTGTTTTTTTCCAGCTGAAGACTGTGAAAAATAAAATATTTCCTTTAATTAGTGTCTTAAGACAGAGAACTGTGACAGGAACAGAGGTTTGTAATGTTAGTGACTTTTTCCCATGAAATCGTAACTCTAATTTGTTACACATCGTTTGTGGATTCGATGCATGGGTGAATTGTTAAACTGATAGGAAATCGAGCCGTAGATTTCTGACCGTCACCAAGAAAATTTGGTTTGTTTGTCAAATCATGCCAATGACTGTTTTCTCTGTTATCTGTTTGTTCCAAGAAAATGAATTTAAACTGAGACTCCTTGCTTTTGAAGTCAAAGTAAGTAATCTAACCTCCTTTAAAAGTGAAATAAACAGATTGTAAAACAAGGTTTTTGTATATTATATAAAATTCAAATTGAATTTAGAAATTCCATTCACAATTTTTTTTACCATACTTGTGTTTATGCAGCTCCAGCCAGCTTCTGCTGATGATATCTCTGCATTGCCTGATGCAAAACTATGTCCTATCTGCCAAGATCCATTTATTGAACCTGTCAAACTTCCATGCGAGGTTTGTTGTTTTTATCGCCTTGTCTATGCTGAAAAATGAGTAGTTTTATTAATATATAAGCGATGCAAATGTGACTTTTTTTGAACGCAAGCTTTTAACTTAAAATTTCGCGTTTGAATTTGCTCAACACAGAAGAGCATAAAATACAAACATAGAAGAGGGAATGTTCAATCACTCAAACCAATATAAGGATTTCTTGTGTTAGATAAAGATGTACAACCATTTTTCAATAACATTTCTCTGACTAAACCAAATCTATGTTTGGATGGTTACAATTGTAACAGTACATTATAGCAATGATTCATCATACTCAATGATTGATGTATCACTATTTTAAATTTAACTGTTTTTTTTTATTGTTTGCAGCATATCTACTGTATGGATTGCATTTCCGTATGGTTTGATAGAGAGCAGCATTGTCCTTTTTGTGCATCCTATTCCATAAACTCAGTTATTCTTGGATTGCAGTCAGCTATTACACCCCTTGCACAATACACAAGCTCTAATCGGAAATGGAAAACTGGCACAACAGATTATATTATACAATTTTTTTGAAGTAATTGAACCAGATGGTTGAGTGGATGTCTTTTAACTCAACCAAATCTGATAGCATCAATGTTTGGGTCTGCAGTTTCAGTTGTTTCTCATATGTTTTGATGCTGCTACATTGTATACTACTTGGGCCATAGGGTGGAATCTTTTATTGGCCAGGCTTGTATTTGCTTTTGTATAGCATCCACTACTTGTCTTCTACTCCACTTCTTGATGCTTTGTTTATGATGGAATATATTACACAACAATCAGGTGTTGCGATTGATTTTTTGTCTTGTATTGAGTTTAAGGTTCAAAACCTGCTCTGCGTCTACATTTGATTTGGTCTAATACATATTTAGTTTGTCATATAAGCATTAGAGAAAATGTTGTTTCCTTTGAGATCACTTAGAATATTCAAATCTTTTCAACTTAATTTTTCCATATAGTAGGTGTAGCTTTTCTGCATTGTTTATTATCTTGACTGATGTTAAAAGAATTCAATATTAATGAATTGTCTTAAGTTCAGAGTTATTGTATATATAAATAAAGTTTAGAGACTATAAGTCGCTGGTTTCAACGTAACCACTTCTGAGATGTTTTTGTGTGGATCAGGATTTCTGAACCATGGTGGGATTCAAAATTGTAAAAACGGGTTCTCTTTTTGTATCGAACTCGCTATGAACCGTTCCCCTCATTTCAGAAAATGTAGGTATGTCACTAAGTATTCTGCATTAACAAGGCATGCTGGTTAACTTTTGAAACGACAAATATTGTGCTAGTCGTCAGCTACGGTGCACGTAACTCGTTTGGTAGGTGTCGTATGACGTCCAGAACAAGGGAATAGCGCGAACAACACGAATTCCACCACTGTCCGTGAATCATGTTCAGCTCAATCTCGGGACTTGAAATTGCTGGTCTTGGCGCACCTCGCAATTTTCTAACTTGATCGGGGTCTCCGTTCATTTCCAGCTAGTGCTTTTGTTTTATTCGTTTCTTTGGTCACTTATTTTTATACTTAGTTACTGTGTAAGATTGAAGATTCTCGTAAATTTAAAAGGTGGAGATTTCATAACTAGTACAACGTCCATTTGTGCGGGAAACATAACGGTATTGTAATGCTGCACGCGAAAGTTTCATTTCTATCTAATTCAAAACATCTCTGATATTTTGGCGCAGCTCTCAATTTCATTAGGAGTTCCTTTGTGAACGCCGGTGACGCATTTCGTGTAAAAGCGGTGTGCAGGCCCTATAATAAACCTAGTATTGTCGCAAAATCTCATAGAAAGTGGTAGAGATTCGTGGGTATACATTGGCGCAAAAATGCGTGGATAAGGGGTTTATGTCGAGCCGAGAGCCGATAAGTGAACTTTAGGGCATAAGACTTCCTCTCTTGTGGTTACCAGTCCGACCGATATGAAAAAATGCTCCGTATGCATCAAATTTGGTGACGGAAGTTTGAAATACCAGATTAATAACTCGGTCTGTTTCCGGATAATTGTAATTTGACGAAGTTTGATGTCAACATGAGATTTATTTCGGCACTGGGCAAGCGTATGAAGTGGGGATTCTTGCTATGTTCTGGGTTACGAATTTATATATAATTTAATACTTTCGGCAAAAGATTGGAGTATTTATAGGACCTGAGATTCGGACAAGTATGGGTCACGAGTCACGACATTTAGAGATGCTCCAAGCTTACGGCGACCATTATGTCGTACTTATTTGAACGGTGAAACATGGGGGTGGCGCTGCAGGTTGTGTGGCAAATTGAAATATGCCTAAGATAACGCTATATTCGGCCTGATAATTATGTAGCATTCCAATGATGCCTGTTGTTTTCCTGACTTCGGAAAAAATGGTGGTATAGCCTCTTAAAATACCATTTGATGATTAAGTTTTGTCAAATTAGCTGCCCAATGCGCAAAGCCGACCAATACATTCTAATCTAGTGGTCGTAATTTAGAATTGTAAGCTCGCATCGACAGGCCGATTGCAGTAAAAGTGGAAACAGGAAAAGGCACAGACATTCATGTACCTAATTTATTTCGTCGGTTTCTCTTACAAAAACATAGAAATTTAGAAAAAAAAAAAACTATAATGAATGTTTGAAACGCAGTATTCCAAGCGTTCCTACGCGCTCGTTTACCGAATTCGGTAGGTACTAAAGGAGTAAATGTCGTTTATCATCATTAAAATAAAACAGGAAAAAAACTACCGTACTAGTCGTACAAGTTATCCAATGGGTGTATATATAAGACTAGATGAGTGGCCCTAATTAGGAATGATAAATTGGCATTGCTCATTGCTGTCGTGTACACTTTAAATAACAAGAAAATGGATTTTATCAACGCAAAAACATTTGATGGCTCGCGCTTCCTCTAACTCTAGTATAGCAATCTATGGGGAAAACTAGCTAATACACTTGAATCTGGTAGCAATTTGATATGGGGAACTCTGTAGGGAATTTTGTAAGCAATTCCGACAATGGTGAAAGTTGGGTTGCTCCTCATAACGAATATACATAATGATATTATTCATTTGGCCATACAGCATGGTCTGTTTCAGATAATTTACTTTTTGTTTGTGTGTCTCTGTAAGAGAAATATGGGTACTCCTGCTAACCTGGTACACACCATAAGTTCAGGTTGTGCGCCATCTTGGTGCGCATACTTCAGGAGGTCCGAAATATGTAACCTATATGTGTGTTTATTCGTATTTCCCAGAGCGCCTGCAATTTACCATTCTTAAAAAGGGCCAAGAGACTAGCATATTGTATTGGTCGACTGTGCGCCTATGACAGCTTGGACAATTTGCCTAAAATTAATTAGGTATTTCGTAGTATTTTTAGAGGCGATAATACCCATTTCCATTTTTTCAATTCGAACGTGCCTACTTTTAGTCCGTCTCAACTACTTTGAAAACTCATTTACTGGAACTTATAACATCCGCCAACTATTGCTGAGAGGTTAACTAACTAATTGTGTTGGAATACACGACGTATTTTGTCGAATAAACGAGGCAGGCGTAACCAAACAACGCGAGACCACGAAGAGTGCTCGAGAGAAAGTGAGCTAATGTGATTACTGGACAAATACGCTTTGCTATAATCCGTCAGCACGTTCGACGGCGGTTTGCGATGCCTTGTCGGTGGTGACGAAAGTGCATCTCTCCAGCCTTACTTCGTTTGTTACTTCACAATATGTGAATTTAGCACTTAGATTTAAGTGACTATTCCGGGAAGAATGAGAAATAGATTGATGTGTTAGTGAAAAATTCGTCACCACGGAGATACATGACGAATGTAGAATAAACATATCAAATATATTATGTATGATGCTTTGTTTTCTTACTGTAGGTGCTGATATTTTAAATGGGCAATTAGCGTTTATGGTTTACGAACACCTTATTCACGAACGTGTCCAAGTTTATTTGCACTTGAAATGCATTTGCATCGAGTACATGTTAAAACGAGATGTGTGATGGATTTTAGCGACTTTTTAAGCCAGATTCAACTTCCCATATAGAACGGTCTCAAGTTGTATTTTTTGCGAAAGCATTTAATCAGTACACATTTAACTTGAGATAGTTCATTTGGGAACAGCTCATATCCACTATTTACAAGCTGGGTGAGTGAAGTGTAATGCCGGTCTGTTCAAAAGCATTAAAATCTTTCTATCTGATCACATTTTATTATTCGTGATAATGGTTTTTATCCCGAGATCCCATTTTTGAAATTTGTTCAATAAAACGGCTTAAACTGTGTATGGTACATTTTATGAATACCATATTCGGCAGTGAGGTGTTTGCCGTGCCCAATAACATATTTGTGGACCTTATTGCAATGTGGAAACAATAAATGAAGATAGTAAATAAGATAGATAGCAATATAAATGGCTTTACATTATCAGTAGCCCGTTCAGCCATTTTCAGCCTGGTCGGGCAAACAGGAATACAAACAAGAAATTTTTACTAGCATATGTATTTATTGACTTATTGGCAACGACTAATATTTGGGGGAAAACTGCTTCTTTGGTGATACCACTCACCTGCTGAAACGAAAGCATTCAAATAAAGATACCTAATATGTATTCACGCAATAGACAACAGAGGTGAAAATTTTCCTGAATTCAAAACTGACCAAATCAACATGGTCGAAAATATTTGACCTAGCACCTATAATCGGTGCTATTCAATTAATATGGAAATTATTAAGGTTTTTGCGTTTAGGAAAATAAATTTGAGCTTGAAATCAGTTTTTAAGACACCGAGGATTTTGTGCGGAGTTAACCAGCCGTTTGTTATTCACCCATCCCCTCTCTTTCGTATATCCATGTGCGATATTCAGTGCTTCCGATATTGACAGACTTATAATTGATGATGAAAACGACGAAGTTCAACCAACCTTTCTTGAAATAGTCGAATTGTGACTCAACTGTATTTTCTTACGTGTTTTTTTTTTCAGGTCGATCCGAGAGCTTACGGGCGAGTCGGTAAACAACTGTTTAGGACATTCCAATTAAACCACAATAATAACAGTACTCAGTCAAATACAATTAGCATAATATGTGATTGGACCCGCAAGCTTGTTCAGCTAAACGCCCACTGGAAGGACTAACACAACTCAGTTCATTCAACAAACTGCACAAACCTAAATCATCAGTTGTACCAGGATTTGCGTCAGAACATTCCGATGATTGCTATTTAATGCCCCAGAAATCAAAACATTGTAGACGAGACGAAACGTCTGCCTGTAAGCTATAAATAACTTCGACTGCCGAACAACCGTTTTGCCGACCACGAGAGCGTAAAACTCTCGCCAAAGTGTTTGCTTATTGCCGTCGGAAATAAGGTGACTAACATCTGGTTTCAACTTTTCACCTCGTCATTTCATTCTCATGAGGATACTTGCCAATCGACAAAAGTTAATCACTCCAGCATTGAATCAGAATACCTGCTCAGATAGGAGGACATATCGGATTTTCGAATAATAATTGTCAGAATGGCATGGATTTCACTACTTCTGTATTTTATCAGCTACTTAATTACGCAAAGTACCTGTGTTGACAGCCCACAAGGTAAGTGCAATAAATTATATAATACATTTCACTCACACGTAGTACGAAGCAATGCAAATTACGTATAATATCAGATCTGATGAATATAATTTCCAAAATATTAATTCTAAGTAGGATTCACTATAGCTTTGTAATATTTCTCGTGGTAGAAAAAAAATACCAGTTCAGGATTTGATAGTTAATCATTTAATTTGTATGCATGGTACGGGCATTACGGACATGGACAAAGAGAAATGGACCTGCAGTTACACCCTGCGACGCCTAATGTTCGAGAAATCTCATGACATTCGAATCTGCTAACCTAAACTGTCTAAAATCCCTCTCCGACTGTTATCGAGAAACAAATTTTATTTTATGTATATATAATTGTTTCTTTCCTAAAGAGTTGGTACCTTTTGAATAATGATAATGTTATCCAGAAATACTCACCGCTTCTAGTTTTTCTTGGCCATTTTTCTAGAAATTTTTGTTTGCTCGAGTCATTTTATATGACGTACAACACACGCCCTCAGCCAGCGTCTTTCCCTAGGTACATATGTTTATTGTGTGATAAACTTCACTGGTATTTTAATAAAATATGGCTATTGTGATATCTTGTCATTTCAATAGGGAAACAATACTATAAAACGTAAAAACCTAAAAGTTTCTGACATTTTCGATTAATGACATTTGGGATTTATTAGTGATTTATGAGATATTTCGTATCAGACAACCGTATCTATTTTTAAAGTTTTAAAACATTTTATCGTTATTCTGTATCTTTCTTGTGCATCATAATGGCTTTTAGTTTAGTACGCTGACGAATTCACCCTCTTACTTGTGAATTCGAGACTACGATAATATTCAATTGTACTTATATATATCAACGATAACTTGGCTTGTTCTGCTATTTCTCTAATAGAAACGTGTGTACAACTTTTAAGTGGACCAGACACCGTAATTGAAATGATCGGTGCAAATTATACCTGGAATACAAGTACGAGAGAACAATTATATTCTCATATCCAGTTAAAACAGCGCAGTCTCTTATCTCAGTTAAAAATTTTAGGTTACAAAAGAGACAAAAAATAATTTAATTTCATTGTCTATGCGTTACTAGAAAATATATAACCTACATACTTAAGTCTGAATTTGAATTGAATTGCAGGCACTCAATTAAAAGCAAAGTGGTGTGATATGATTGGTTACCCAAAACGGGATATTTCATGAAAAGTGCTCAGTTATACTATTAACAATGTTGCTCATATTTGATAACACACCGAAATTGTTCTCGACAATTAAACATCATTTTCAAGTATGTAATTTCTGTGGTTGACTGGCGCTGTTATTGAAACAAAGGTTCATACCGAGGTATACTAAAATAGTTGCGTTTCCTTATGTAGCAGGAATTATATGATAGCCAACCGCCACCATATCAATGTTAAATCGTGTTTGTGCTTCGTTTGGATATTCTGTAATGGCGAGTGTAATACCTAAAATTGAACAATGGACGGTTATGCCAAATGATACTTTGTTCCCTTGCGAATAAAATAAATACGATTTGGAAAATCCACTTTAGCGTTTTATGTTTCGTCCAGTGATAACAAGGCCCTATCGGTTTTAGTCGATTTCATGGGAAAATATCATATTCTGTTTATACTAGTTCCGGCTTCATTAGCCACAACAATTCATGGTATTCAAATATGTCTGACTTGTACACAGTATTACTTTGGGCTTGTTGGATCCTTTTTTTATATTATATGAATGCCTTTAGTTTGCACCTATTGAACTTTAGTTGTTTCTTCTATTAGGGGTTCTTTTTCTGAAGGTGTGACATTCTTTACAACATGTGTCAGTCTTCATTATAATAAATATTATTTAGTTATTTTCTAAGTAATCTACCGGTTTAAAAAATTTTGCAGTATAAATTCGTTAACTCTTCTTCAATTCGATAAAATGAAATATCTAATTAATATGGTGCACTTTCTGTACGAAGTTGTCGAATTTATCTTTAGATTGGATCTAATTTTCTACAATTAAATATTTTTGTTTGCCCAAAACTTTTCATATAACATTGCTGCAGATGTACAGCAATTAAATTCAATCGTCAACATTTGTCAGACGGCGATTTTACTAACTTAGTATTGAGGTATTTTTAGGTCTGTGGAATATTATCAACTCCACATATGATTTTTGAGCATTTAGCTGTGCGATGGGATCCTCACAAATAGAATTGACTTTAAAATTTAGGAAAATTTTAACCCTTTAAGTGAACTGTAGAATGCGTGATCGAGTTGTTGCAATCTTTTGAAATACGCATGGGATTAACGACTATTGTGCAACTAGCCTACATGATTTTATTCCTTAATACGATTTGCATACCTTCGTCAATATATTATCTGGTACAACGAGCATGCATACCAGAGGACATGACATTTGACCCCGTTTGGCAATCGATATTAAATGATACTTCTAACCCGGTTCTCTAGTTTTGTCGGATAAGTAATGACAGTTTAAACAGAACTCGATTTAATACTCTTTGTGTAAACAGGAAATGTTACCAATGTCCTACAACGCATCAATAAACTAATCATTAATGCCGTTGCTTCTCCGAAAATTTGCTGACAGTCATAACCTTGTAATTGAACTTTGTAAGAAAATAGTTTCGTCAGTTCTTTTTATCGCAATTTCTAAACGTATTGCCAATAGAGCAATACTTTCGTAAGCTTTGTTGATCGCCCAATTAAAACTATTTACAACTTGTAAACATTATGTGATGGATTATTCTGTAATGCGACGTAGGACATAATTTACGAAGAATTATATTCAATTCCGAAAAGTTGATGGTTTCGTAGGCCATACCACCAGTACAGTTCTGGTACAGCTCGCTTTTTCACTGATGACATCAATGAATTTTTAAAAGCTTCTATTTAATCGTGTGAAGCAACCTTTTGAAGTAAACTACGTAAAAATTTGATTACATCTTTTAGAATCTTGTAATATCAACGACCCATTTCTTTCAAATTCATTGGTGTATGATTTTTATTTTAGTCCGGTCTAAACGAAACTTTTCGTCAAGAATGGTTGTAACACGAAGAAATTTCTTTGTTGTATTATGAAAAAGAGCTCATTTATTACTCTATATAGGTACACTCGCGCACCATTTCTGTCAGTGATACCGTGAAAATATATTTCGGTTTCCGGTAATCATCCTATTTTACCGATGTTATACATTTCCGAAGCATGTCATTATTGTTATGAAACACAAGTTAACCATAATAATATTGACTACATACGTATCCCATTGCCGTCAAAACTATAATATCTCATTCTCTGGCACTCATTCAAATCTATTCTGGGAAGGGTCATTAAATCACCCATCATACTTAGCATGCATTATTAGCTTTGCAACACGATAACTGCTCACTTGTAGCGTGCAAATTTTTCAAAAGCGTATTTAAAAGGGAGAATTTCTGATGATGAAACTCCTCTGCCAAGCTTTTTTTGATTCTGTGGCTTTATAAGCGCCAAATAAAACGGCCATTTATTTGTCCGGAATTTCACCAATATGGAACTTTAGGCCCGATACCCATTTTTTGTCCTCTTTTCCAATCCAGGGCGATAATTTTCAAAATTCATTATAGTTTTTAGTTTTTATTGGTAATATTTTTAACAAGAACTTGAAAATGCTCATATGATAAAAAGAACGAAATAAAATAAGATATTGACATTGGAGTTAGAATCAGGCCAGGATTTCCAAGGATCATTTATCGGAACTCACTGTATTTATTCATGTGCCAGTGGTATAAGGTGCATGTTTATTTATGGCGTAGTACATGTTATGGTCAGATTTATGCGCCGTTTCTTCGCGTGAACATTCATAAAAAATAATATATATCTAAATCAGATCAAGATTTATGTATTAAACTGAATGGATATTTTTGCTGTAATTATCATCGCGGAGTACGACACGAAAACACGTATTTTTGTGGTAATATATCTTTTCTCCCAACCCACTGCGCATATAAAACCACATCTACCACTCCTACCCATATTTCTTCGAATATTATAGTTTAGTTTGGCAGTTGTTACAAAATACAGACTGATTCATTCTGTGTTATACCATTTCCCCCTCATATCTGTCATTTGGAAACGCCTGTAAAGAGAAGTACTCCTTTTTAAGATAATCAATTGGCCAATATTGAACCTTCGCGTCCAAACGCCTCTTGGACTGGTAGACCATCTTTCTATTTAATATCAAACATCCTTTAATTTTATACTTTGGTTTCAATGATTAAGCACAATCATACACAAGTAAATATAACACCAAGATTTACGGGAGTCAATCTGACGTTGGCAATATTGCTTTCCGCAATATTCAGCAAATATATATTGCTTACGAATGATAACTTCAATTTGATAGCTAGAGCGACCCCACTGGGAGCAATGTGGGAATTCGAAGTATTCATTTTTAATATTACTATTTGACTGTGCCAGACAGTAGAGCACTCATGGGGACTTAATATCTTTGTCAATGGCGAGAATTTGATAAATCAATCTACTTGAATTAATTTGAATCATGGTAGGCCCAAGCATGTCCCATATACTCTCAATGAGAAGCTCGCTTTCTTTGTCGACACCTCCGTCGCGCTTGTGGATTCGGTTTCCCTTGTCACGGGTGAAATATTTACTCACAACCCCTGCCGTATTGTTTCGCGACTTGATCCCGTCCTGTGGTACGTTAAACTTGGCCTTTTAGCGTGGATCACCTTTTACGCTATTTTTGGTAATGTTTTTTCTCAATTATCATAATATGAGAAGCTAACCATTAGGGCTGAAGACTTTCAAGAAAGTACCAATTTTAGAAATTGGAGCGTTTGTTTATTGTTCGTTTTCGGCAAATTGACACTCTCACCTTTTGCATAATAGTCATAATTCAATGCCGTAACGTGATTATATTATCAGACTGCATAAATATAATGTTGCACACCTGCGTTGATGTATTTGTATAACCTGCGTCATCGCTGGAACGAAACCATATGTGGGGTGTGTGGTGGGTGTGACACGAAATTGTTGAAAGCAATGCACATGGTTTTTGTCCAAATATGAATGTTGCGATATACTTAAGTGAAATCACAAGCTAACGGCAGTACTTTCTGGGTTGTCTAAAGTTGTGCAAAGTGCCTTTCTTAAAAAGAGTCTACAGTGTTTAGAAAAAAGTTAACTAATATTGCAGTACATAATAGATATAATGCAATATTCATGCAATAATGCAATAAACTTCTACGATTTCCACTTACAATTTTCGATTTATTTTCAAGGTCACATCAAACATTTTCCCTCGTTTGACGGGATATTCAACGATGTCAAAGAAGCCTCTGACTTTGATGTCGTGCATCCTTTGCGTTTGGATGCGAGTGGACGATTTCTCACACATGACGTTCACTACGTCAGCAAAAGACGTGGTACAAAAAAAACTCATTTACGTAAACGACGTCATATACATGAACGTTCACCACAGTCTACTGCAAGATTATTGTACAGCATTCCTCATGGAGATCACATATTAACATTAAATCTAACTGAAAATCTTTTACTCATTCCGGAGGAATTTGTCACTGAAAGAATAAGAACAATAAACAAAACAAATGGAGATCTATTTTCTTCATCAATCAGTAAAACAAATCGCTGGCCCTGTCACTTTCGAGGACACGTGGAAGGACAGAAAAACTCAAGAGTGGCACTTTCTACTTGCAACGGCCTGGTGAGTAATTATATATATAAGTCTAGATCTGACATGGACAAACTACGGCCCGCGGGCCAAATCCGACCCGTTGGATAATTCAATCTGGCCCGCCTGCTGCTGCCACAACCAAACTAAAACCATATTTTGATGTTTTAGCTAAAAAATAACTCAAGGACTTTGTTAAGATTACGATTAAATTTAGTTTCGGCACGAGGCATATTGTTTTTCACTCTTGCTTTTGTAACTCTGTAAATATTGATCATAAAGTGTAACTTTTTACGTCACACTTATATGGCCCGCCAGCAGTATGTTCCCCAGCTTTTCTTTTTAGGGGGGGTGTTTCGAAATTTAGGGGGTGGTAAATAATTTGCTATTAGAGATAAAACAAGAACAAGAACAAGAACAACAACAACAACAACATAATATTGAAACGATCGTTATGTCCACTACGTGTCCAACTAGGCTATTTGTATTCTTAAAAAAATGGTATGTGTTTAAGAAACGATGTACATGAGGGGCCCCCAGGTTGATTGACGGCGAGCCAAAATCCACAGCAGAATAAAATTGTAGGGCCATAAAAGGAGAGCGAGGAAAAGTGCGGGACGTCACGGCTGGGGTTCAGGGCGCGCTCAAGCGCCCTGTGAAAATTTTGAGAAATAGGCACCAAAATAGGCTCTAAGCTTGATTTTAGATACACCTAGCATCGCAGTTTGTTATGTAATGAAATCAATAATTATAATATTTAGCTGATAGAATTCCCGGGGAATAGAAAACAAGCACGGCTTTCAACCGTAAATATATACTACTACGTTTCAACAAGTAATTTGCAACTGAAGTGACTAATGAAGTTACTTGCTCATCTGCCATTGTATGAATGGCTACTTATGGCTTGTTTTGTTACACATTTCACTTTTTTTTCGAACATGTTTGTTTGACTTTTGTATGAATTAAGCAATGAATTAAATTTTGAAATACGCGCGTCAACTGATCATAATGTTGTATTCCTTCAGAACTGAAATATTTTTTGGTAAGAAGACAAATCGCTGAAGTTTGATTCTTTTCAATAAAAAAATAAAAACGCTGTCATTCATATAAAAAACGTCTGTTTTCAGTGCCTAGGTTTCGTTTTGTGACATCTTTAAGCTTTCCTAATATACGGCTGATATCTAAAATACTGCAGTGTGTAATTCTAATACCCATACGTATACATAAGATACCGGTATAATTCAATTGTTACGAAATAAACGTGCTTAAACTGTGATAATGATGTAACAATAGACGGTATCTAAAACTCAAAAGGTACCACATGAAGGGTTAAACTATTTCACTCAAGTTCGGCGGGCCATTTTAAATCGTCACGCCGGCCGTAATTGGACCGCAGACTTCGGTTTAGAACCCCTCATCTACACTGATAAATATGCCATAGTCGTTATATTTGAATACAATTATACTTGAGTTAGGAAATACAGTGTGGAATCGCACCTCAAAATTAGGGGGGGGTGTTTGAAATTTTAGGGGGGGTGTTCACCCCCTATAGGGGGGGGTGTAGGGAAATCACTGCCCGCCAGTCGTGGATGGGCAAACATTTTGGCCCCTGCTCCAAAAACCTTGCCCACCCCTGGTTTAGACATATTATTATATTTTCGTAAAATTAGTTCATATTCAAGTGTGATTTAGTGGGTAGTTCATCGTTGATCAGAAGATATACCTGGTATCGACAATTGTTCACAATTACTGGTATAAACCGGGTTGAATTGACAGTGTGACATCAAGCACCAAGTGTAAATATCTCAAGTGTTATAAAATAAGGGGCGAATATTATTTCCGCATATTAAGTGCTCAAGCATCCGGCCAGATAGACCACCAGCGGTTGACAATCAATTTATTGAAATCTTTAATATTGAATTTCACCCGAAGAATAAATAATTCATATCTTTGACAAATGGCATTGACAAGGCATAACAGCATAGCTTTTGAAAGAATCATTTTTGAACGTTTAACTATAGTTACTCGAAAATAATATAATTTTGATGATTAACTGTTACAATGATTTGTTGATTTGAAGTTTATTATCGTTTGCTCATAATCTGCATCGCTAATATAGGCTCGGTTGAGACCTGATTTTATTAGTTTCGTTTATCAGCGCCGATAAAACGGTTAACGAGTGATTTGTTTACCCAAGTTCATTTCTAACTTCCTGTCTCTATGCCACCATCCAATAAACTATTCTATTAAATTTATGACTAATATGCACACCGGTATTGGAAATTTTGATTCCTATTGCTGAGGCTGTTGTGAAGTTCATCTTGATAAAGCCAGTATCGTTTCCAGAAATATATCAGTTGAGTCATAATGTAATTGCCTGGAATCTGCATCAATTTTCATTGCTGTGTGTATAAAATCCTTGAATTTAACCCGGAATCATACTTTTGTATGTTCTTTTAACTTGTGGCTTTGTCAAGTGGAAAACAAATAAAAAAGACGCTATTTTACGCTCGTTTGCCCTTGGGGGTAATCCCTTCGATATAATATCTTTATCGTATGCCCATTAATGGCTTTAAAACTGTAGTGCTATAGTCCGATCATCTTTAACGAATGCCGGTAACTGGTTAACTATTACAATATCTGACCCAGACTGGTAACCGTGTTATCGGTTGTGGTTTGCCAGGTGATTAAACCGTCTTATCGACTTTGCCCTTCCCCAGGATGCATATTGCAGTCCTACCCCACCCTAATATGTCATTGATTAATCAACTTTGACACTATGGGGCTGTTCCACAAAATGATGCCTTTGTATTAGTTGGAATGTGGGGAGAATATACATATATATGGTAATATTCATATTGAGCCCTACCAGATTATGAACGAACAATTTTTGATCTAAAAGTCAAGATATTTCGGTTTTGACCAGCCTCAATAACTTATTGTTCGTTGCTTCATTGTCAGCTGAAAACTTCATTAATACAAATCGCTAAAATTGAGCTAAATTTTTTTTTACGAAGTTGGTTGTATGTTATCTGAGATTCCAATGGCCTACTTGAGCATACTTTTAATCTCATTGAGAATGAAACTACTCTGTAAGTACACATACCACGCACCGTTATTTGAAACTGTATTTTATTATGATTGAATAAGCTACCGAACCACAGGTATGTGAGTGAGCACAATGATACAAGCCTGTAGCTTATTGAAAGAGTTTACGAGTTTTTGTAAGTATAATCCATACATTCGGGATAGGATGAGATTTTTGAGCTAAAATGAAGCTTACTTTCCTGGTAATTAATGTTTGAACTGAATGTTTTTCCGATTTTTTTTTGATTGTGCTAATGCGCGATATATCGCGACTCAGAATTCAAATCTCACACTTGGTATGATTTCGAACGCGTATTCCGGAGCGTATTCCGAGGGAAACATCCAAATACTGTAATAGCGTGATTGGTTACCATATATTCATTTTCTTGAATTACCTTCAGTTTTATTCAGCTATTTCTGTGTGTATGTCATCGATGTGTTTCAAATAGAATATTGGCCTATAATAATCACTTTAATTACGATGAACCATGGCGATTGAAAATTTGCGCTAATATACCATTTTCCTAAGGGTTGCCTAAAAAAATTGATTCGTTATTATAATCATTCTATAATATTCATGAGTTATAATTATGGTTTGTTTAATTTTTATTTTTGAACTGGCTAAAAATCCCACCAGAATTACAAGAATATATAGTCCTTATTTAACATTAGTATTTTTAAAAAAGCGAGCGGTCTTAGGCCAAGGTCGTTTATCATTTTACGAACAAGATTTGTTCCAAAATTCGAGTTTATTTGAATCGACCGGAAACTTACAAATACCCGTTCACAGATTGAGCTGAGACCAAAAGTAAAGCATTCGCAGACTTGGGTTAATATTTGCGTTCGTTCAACAAGGTATTTTATATACTACGCGCGTGTTCGAACCTAAAAGGATAAAGGCGGTGAGACGACATTGTTTGAACAAGAATACGATGTTTGAGTTTTAAGGTGAGACATAAATTCCAATTGAATCTTCTATCACACGTTAAATTTTAATCGAAATTTGCTGGCACATATTTTGAAAAATTTCCAATAAATTGACATGATAAGAATATTATTGAAATCAACTTGGTCGTCGTCGGAAATGAATTTGTAAACTGCATTGTTCTCGTTTTGTAAGTTTGAATAACGAACATAAGAGCATTAATAAACTTTGTAGTATTAAATTTAATGAATTTATCCAACTGGATAAATAAAAAGTACCACGGATGGCAGCAATAAAAAGTACCACGGAGTCCAAATATTTGAAGAAAATATATTTGGAATCTTATATGAACGACTGAATTTGTTGCCAGCATTGTTGTTTCTTCATATACAATTTCACTCCAAACAAGTTTCTAAACACACATCCAACTAATCACCTTGAGTTAAAATTTAATATGGATAACGAAACAGCCTTTTTCTGTCTGCCATAATTTCTAATTACATATAATTACTGTAATTTGAATTGTGTGTAGTATTGATACTTGATATACATACACAGTGACACAAACATTTGAAACGATTGATATAGATTTTGCAGAAGACATATACATATTGGATACAATCGTGATAAAATGTCTCACAACCTTAATATTTTTCCTATTGGTATTACAAGATTTATCGATATTTGACTTTGGACTTGGTGTTTTGGATGCAGTATAAATTGTGGGGCCAAGCCTGACATGGGCAAACTACGGCCCGCGGGCCAAATCCGGCCCGATTGGTAACTCAATCTGATGTTGCCACAACCAAACTAAAACCAAAGTTTGATGTTTTAGCTGAAATATAGGTAAAGGAGTTTGTTGAGATTGCGTTTGCCCAACCCCGCCGTTAAACATTTGACTGCATGACATGAAAAGTTTGTTTAGCGGATGTTAGGCTAACAAATCCTGTTTACAATATGTGTTTTATGACATTGCAGTTAGTAAGACGCTGTATTAACTGTAATACTAAATAATCTGTTTGCGATATGCCGATCAAAAAAAATTGAAATAACGACATATATGATATACGTATTGTATATTTATGTAACTGGCCAATGCCAGTTGATTTTACTGTTTTATTCATTTCATTCCGACAAATTTTATCACAAACTATTTAAATTAGATGTTTACTAAATAGGCGTAATCGGTATATAAAGAGCACGTGGGATATTTTGCTCACTGTAAAGAAAACCGTTACATCAATGATATATGCTCGTAAATGTTGTAGCTTTTCTTAAAATATTTACTAATGTTCACATATTACATTATTTTACCCTACATCTCAGTATTGAAATTATTGCGTTTTCATCCACATTTTTCCTGACATTTTACCATCTGATATGGTTTCTTATAATATGTCTACATCGTTTATTACGGCTAATTCGTTGAAGTTACGACTATCAATCAGTTCATATCTTTCGAAACGCTATGACCGAGGAACTTGGGATTCGGGCTTTACATTCACTATATATTTACTCTGCGAGTCTTCATCGTCTTCTGCGAGCAAAATTTGTGTAAATGAAAATTAAAATAGTGCATATGTATACAGATAGTTTTCAATCGATGTTTGCAAATTGCAATATTAGCCATCAATGACGTAAGACTCAATGTGCAGGTATTTTTTCGTGTTAAAGCTCTTTGTTGTAATCGTAATGGTATCGAGATTTAAGATTCACAATCGGAAGTGATAAAAGAGCTAACGCGAATTTTGTTCTGGTGGTTAAATTAAATAATTTCCACTGATATTTATCTACAAATTAAACTTGTTCACTCGTGTCCAGAAAAATCACAGATTGTGTTTAAACTAGTTTTAGTTGTATTAGAATATTGTATTCGTGCTCTTCTAACTTGGGTTTTTAAGCGGAAATTTGTTTTTGAAGAAAGAAATATCAAAGGTCAACATGTCATGATTTTTACCAACCTATCCTGCTTTTCTTACTACGGTTCACGTCTTCTATTAGAAACGGAAATGTATAACTGATAGATGTTTTCAATACACACATCTATCGATGACAGAATCGTCTGTATGCTCCAATGACTGACTTCAATCAGAATACAAGACTTTCTGTCATTACCTAGACTGAAATGCGCTTGAATATGCTATTTAAATAAATTAAACACAATTCAAATTGCGATTATGAACATTGAAAATTGCTTTGGGGGTCTGTCGTCTTTAGAGTCACCGACTCACAGTATATTGTAAATTAAATGATTTGAACGAAAAAAAATCGGCGTTTTCAAATGCATTGAAAGTGAAATTTATTTATTTTTCTTGAAGTAAAAATTGAATAATATAATTCGCTCTATGAGCTTATATTTGTATATCTGTATAGGTTAGTCATATTTTGTGGTTGTCAGATCTGTCGACTGCTTTCAACTGCTTTATATGCTTAAATTCTAAATTATTTAGGATGTTACGTCGTCATTTTCACCAAGTTCGTTGTGTTTGTTGTCTGTCGTTCATGTTATGTAATGTTTACAAAACGGAAATGTACATTCGACAGGTACACATATCCGCCAATGACAGATGAGGGGATTTCAAATAGAAAAACATATCCAGAATTCATAGATAAAACAATGGCCACTGGGAATGAAGTCAAAACATAAAAACATTTTTTTAAATCATATATGTTATTAACAAAATATTGCGCAGTTAAACAAATGTAAATTCACTATGACTATAAAACTTATAATGGTCTACCCAATTCGTCAGGCGGCGTCACTTTTGCATGTAATGTGAATATTTGGCCATTTTTCAATTAATTTATCCTTAATTTATTCGAATTCACAAAGTCACAGTTCTTGCAAAAAAAAAAGTGCGCTTATAGTAAACACTGCCAGAATCGTTTCCAGAAATATATCAGTTGTGTCATGATGTAATCGCCTTGATTTTCAGTTGCTTTACCGGTTGGACAACGCGCTATAAGCTATAGGCGTCTGCACTTTTTGCATGCCATATGCATCATGGGCCATTTCGGTTTATTTATCCCTAATTTTCCCGAATGCACAAAGTTTGCCTCGAATGCTGCATCACAACCCATCTTTTGTTGCTTGACGTAAGGGAAAATTTAACCTCATATCTTACCTTACGGTACTGTCAGAAATCGATACAATTTAAATAATGAAAATCTAATTACATTAGCCAAATAGATTCTGAAATATTTATCCAAGAACTCGTCGTGTGTGGTTCAGACACCAGACGCGAATTTGTGACTTTTTGAAACTCGAACCAAATCGTGGATCTTTTGTTGTAATTACTTTCTGTAATAACATCGATAAGGATGTGGAATATCTAGCAGACACTGACTCATACTTGGGGTCCTATTCCACGTCGCCAACCTGACATATTTGGGTTTTTGAAGCAAATTTTCATTTCACAAGTCATTTTGCTGAAATATTGAAATAGAGGTTTCAGTAATTAACTTGAAAAAAAAAGGATGATACGATGTGCCAGGATTTCTTCCGAAATGGGATGTTATCAGATCGACACATATGATTTCCACTATTTGACTCTAGATTCTAGATTGCACATGAAAAACTCATTTGTAGTTGATATTAGTGTAAAACAAAATTTGCAACTGGGCGATTCAGACGCATTGTTGTGACGATTTCTTTCGTACACAAGCATGAACTAAATCTATCATGCAATTGTAGTCATTTCGTAAATTTAGCCAAATAACCAATCCATTACGTCCGAAGGTTTTTAAACTGATATTGCGGATGAACTGCACATATTTGGTCTATTCAATAACCACGCCACTGTAAATTAAATTTATTGTACGTTCTCATCGGAATAAAACAATACATATTGGAGTCACTAATACGGGGCGATATCGATATTTTACCCACACACTCCTAGTCGATTTGTATTGTTATATTACGCCTTTGATAAAATTTTGTTCACATATAAACGATATGAAGATGGTATACATCACGATTTTATACTATATAATTTATGAATATAATATTTAATTTGTTTGCTTCAGAACTGTGAACGTAATTAATCAATTAGTAATAAAATTATATTCATCACATTCTTGAAAGATTGTGAAGTATTTGTAGAGTGTTGAGACATATGATTGAACTTTTCATCTGATACTCGTCGAATTAAATTATATTTCTCGTGAAAATGGAGAATAATTTTTCTAAGATTTCTACCCACTATATACTAGGTAATATATAATATGGCTTATTATTACATCTGGCCATGGTCTGTAAATAAGTTGAAACGTAAAAGTTATATTGCAATGTGTTTCGCACCCATTCCAGTATATATATGGTACAAAGTCTTTGGCATATATGTTGCCTGTTTCTTATGCTCTAACATTGCAAGCTCCAGCGAAAGATAGAATTTCCGGGTTTATCAAGGCATTGAATAAATATATCGCGTGGTCGATTGGTTAGAAAATCCGGCTATTATAGTATTATAGCACCATTTCAATAAATCTCTTTTGTATACGGCTCTTCACAGTTTGAATTTATACATGGTTATTTCCACCTGATCTTGCTTGGCTAAACAATAGGCCGGACATGATTTTCAAGTTGTCATGATTACAAGTAGACAGCGTATAGTTATCACGTATAGTTAGGACCATTCCATCTACAATCATACTTGATTAAGAGCATTTTAGGAAAGCCGGAAATTCCAAATAGGATTAGGGTGCTTATAATTTAATAGGCACACTTAATATTTCTGGATGAGCGCATGGTATAATCTGAGTTTGTTCTGAATTATCTCCTAATCGTTTTGGATTTGTGAGAGTTATGACAATGAGAATTTGTCTTTCCGATACCTTATCTAACCAAAACGTCTTATATTAGACGGTATACAGAGTAAATCCGAGATAAGAAATAGATTATTGGACATGAAATGAAATTTTTTTTTTTTTTTTTTGAGAAATCCTTTTCTTAACTTTTAGATCAATCGGTTTCAATTACTTAGGAGGGAAAAGTCGCTTGAAAGCTTTTACATTTATTTTATTTAAATTTTTTTCAGGGTGAGAAATGGGGGCTAGTTTTCACCCCGAATTAGCTTGTTTTGCGTATATTGTATCATCGCGTGACATTCCGCCACACATGTCCGTAGATTGTTTCGGCAAACTCGGTGCAAAGGCCTCACCGACGGGCTACCGTGATGAAAAATATACATTTCACGAGGTAATATTTTATCACGTTTGGTTGGAGCGGGAGAGTATGTTTTTATATATTTTAAGGTTTCTATATTCAATATTCAAGAGACTGGCTGCACACTTACACAAATATATTTCTGTAACGTTGACTTATTGGTCAGACAAGACGGAACGTTACAGTAATACATTTGTGGCAGTGTTCAGCAAGACTCTTGAATTAATTGGGACAGTTATCACTCGTGCCACGGCATCCTTGCATTTTATACCTACGGATCCGCCGGCACAAAAGCATAAAAGAATAATAAGCAGTTAGTCCCGTAGAAACAATCGATATTCATTATTGTTGTAAAATTTCAATTTCAGACCGGTCTTCTTATCACAGAAGAAGGAGAATTTTTCATAGAACCGATAAAGGATCCGACGCATTTTCAAGCCTCCACAAATGCTGACCCAAGATCTCAAGCACATAAGATATACAGACGAGACCTATCTTCAATATTGGATAAAGCTGAACCGATGCTGCATTACGAAAAACTTGTCAATAACGATAAATTGGCGCGTTTGAAACGTAAGAGCATTTTTATAATGTAGGTCATATTTCTAGACATTTTATAACCGAAACAAAAAGAATTGAAAATTGATTTTTTTGTGATTTTCAATATACTTTCCATTCACTTGTTTCTGCCAGATATAATTATTATCAGTTTCTAACTATTTAAATTCCGTTGATTATCCCCTAATTTTAGTTTTTTTTTTTAGACATCAAAATCCAACCTTCAAGCAGCTCAAACTTGCATGATCCTAACACAATTAATCCATCACAGATGAATAACTGGTACTCTTTATATGACGATCCCCACAAGAAAGAATTTTGCGGTGTTCTGGGTGAAGATTAAAAATAATATTCGGTTCATATTATTATACCGCCTTTGTAATTGTGCTTTTTAGACATATTGTCGGTTTTTCCTTATCGACTTTACTTATTTTTATTTGTCTGTTTGTCTGTCTATCTGTCTGTCTGTCTGACTGTTAGATGCACGCGATATCTCACGAAGGCGTGGTTGAATCTGCTCCAAATTTTGCATGTGCATTCATCATATCTCGGACCAGGAGCCTAATGATTTTGGATGAATTATGTCGTATAATTAGCGAGTTATTAATTAATTAGTGATGGGACACGCGGTGTCACTATAGAGTCTTGAATCGAAACCGCAGTTTCGATCGTTAAGTCTTCGGTTTCCGACCGATATTCTCGTTTTTATCATTATCATTTTTTTTGTCCAGTGGTCGATTATACACCACGCCCCTGGTGCCGGCTGAAGATTCATTGCGCTCTGGCTATATATAACCTTGGAGTTACCGGAAAATGCAAGTAAATTTGAGCGTGTTTTTTCTTAAGTAATGATGTGTATGCGACGAAAGTTTCAAAACGTTGCATTAATGCTCTTCCGGGATAAACTTGACTGATGATAAAGATAAATTTAGCGTTGACTGAAGTGAATTTGCGTAAGATTTGGAGGATTTCCAAACTAATCAATCTACTGTGTTGTTGAAACGACAGCTGACTCAATCAAGCTACGTCAAATGCACGACCGATCTGGAGTCTGAAGTCATCATACACAGTGCTGACGAAATCTAGAGTTTTAACGAGACTGTGACCTTGAGCACTACTTGGCGAATTCCACACCATATCGTTCTTTTGTCGGATTAAATAGCTGAACTGGAGTAATAAAACGCCTTTTTAATATAAGATATTTTAGTTTTGGTTCAGTAAGAGAATTAAATACACATAGTCTAAAAATCATTCCATGAAGTTCATGTTATATGTTTTCATTATCTCCTATTCAAATTATATAAAAATTTCGTATAACGAATTCGATGCTGTAATTCGATATTGAATTTTCACAATATCTTCAAATCGTGGCGAGTCCGGGCTTTTTTGATTAGGGTTGGGATGGAATTTGGCTTGTAATTAGCAAACAAAATATTGCACAAAATATAAATAAATCTATTTATTGTCACTTTCCTATATCACGATAAAAAGAAAATAAACGCAATTATATTAATTGGAATATTAATTGAAGCTTTTGGAATTACTTCATGCTCGGAGTTTTCTGGGTTGTGTTGTCCTTGGCATATATTTTGTGTACTGGGCATTTTGTAGTCAAATAATAATATTATTTAATAGTATATATCTTATTATCAATGGAACTTTTTCTAGAAACAAACTTTACCCGTCAATCTTGATTTGGACTAATGCACTAAATGCGTGTTACGATTAGCAACATGCTTTCTTGTATATATTCTGCATTGAACAAAATATTGTCACAGCTAAAATGAAGTAGGGAACTCGAAGCCCAATATTAGCAAGATAATTCCTTATTCGATGTAAGGAGAGGAAGATCCGGATATGCTTAGCGTCGCAAGACCTGTTTCTTTTGATAAGTGACCTATTTTTGCTGGACATTTGTCAAGGGTCAGCAATCTGGAATTGCTTGAAGTGACAGGAATTAGCAGATAAGCAGTGTTTGAAATACCATGCGGCAATGAATGCAAAAAATTACAATGTGCTGAGCATGGTCTAAATTCGAATTTGCTCACTTTTTGTAGTTCATACTTGGACAAGACGTGGGTGGCTATACTATACCCTTTTCCATATGGGACTTGTGATTGAATCGATATAAAATCACAGTTAGTGTTTTCTCTTTTCTGGCAGTAGTATTTCCTCAAATAAACCACTGTGGTTTGTTTTACTATCTTTCCTTTTCGCCAGCCACTTCATATTAGAAATATGTTATCTGGGTTAATGGATGACACATAATATGCACTTATGTGACTCACTTCAGACCCACTTACTTTCACTTTTTTTGTGGTTTGAGACAAGAATCTGCGGCGATACAAATTAGGAATATGTAATTGTCGAAACTATGATTTTTGTCACCAAAAGGAATTGCTATAGTATTTCTTGTTTATTTAGAGTAATGAATTCTATCAACCCTATACGCTGTGTGGCTATATCTAAATTGAATTGAAAATCAGAAGTATTATCTCATTTCCGTGCTTCACTGGTTGAATGTTTCGGTTGGTTTTTACTCTGATAATTTAAATTACTTGCAATCTTGAGTTGCGCAAATTGACTGCTCGTTGAATCATTCATGGGTTTTCCAGTGAAAAATTTTGAGTCTATGCATGACCCGTCCGGATATTCACAAAGTGTATGATGTGATGCTAAATTTTGCATCTATAACTTTCTTGATTTAAAAGAATTATAGATGTATAAATTTAATATTCATTTTCAGATACCAAGCGAAGATATCGACGAATCATAAGAAAACGCGAGCAATGGGAGGCAAAACGTGAGAGCGCAAGTTCGGGGAACGGGCAGCAATCTTCCGTGAGTTCAAGTGAGAAATCACGGCGGCGATCCAGAAGATCTGTCAGTGTTAAGCGCATGGTCGAAATGTTGGTTGCCGTGGATAAAAAGATGATTGAACATTATGAAGCAAATGAAAACGGAGGCGTCCAAAGATACGTGTTGACCATCATAAATATGGTGAGAATTTGAATTTTTTCCAGCAGTATAAAACCATATGGCCACACCTAGCAAGAAAACCGGCGAACAAGCAAAACTAATGAATTAAACATGGAATGTCTGGAAAATGGAACGGGGTTTCCATCGCTACTTATTTTTATCAGAAAATCTTTTAAAATTTACAAGTGAACTTATCTTATAGACAATGCATAATTCATTTTAATATCGGAAATCTCAAATGTCACAGACAGTCACTTAACATATGCAATCGTCATTCGTAAAAGATTTGTAAGAGATATCTGACGCATACAAAAACAAAATATTTGCGCCCAACACTGTTCATAGACTCTATGCCACCAATAAATAATGAGCTGTGACGTTGCCTTTTCGTTAGATACAAATTTCGTTTCCCGAAGAAATTGTCTTGTTGGCCACGATATTGTAAAGTTCTAAGATATCAGTGGCGGCTCATACAGAGCCTTTTTCAAAGTGAAACGCGTGTGAAAATGTCGTATATTTAAATAGATGGCGAAAAAATATCAATTTAGTGTATTTCTTCTAATTACACGAATTGATTGAAAATAGTACAGTTGACAACTATATTGTCGGTGTTCCAAAAATCTTTTCTGGTAAATTTCAGCAAACGAGTTTATTTCTTTTTACCATGTCAGTCATCACATCACGATCTATCGATGTGTAAATCAGCATAAGTACTTTTGGTTACTTTCTGTGTACAAGAATTCTCAAATAGAAATCTTGACAGATAACTCGTGCGAGTTAGGTTTCATCCTTTTGTCAACAAATAAATCCATATTATATTTCGCAAACAAATCAAAATATTTTAGTTGCAGCAGACCATTGCAACTTGATTTTTAAACTGGAAATTGATACTTGGGAAACTAATGAATCTCGGCATATTGTAATCGCTAGTCTCATTTACAAAAGGAAATACCTCATTTTTTATGTGACTGTCTCACGTTAGCTCTTCTGTTTTCGTTCCCAGCGACGAACGATTTGACGTCATCAGATTGGATTTAAGTAGATCAATCCAGTTGCTAACTGTGCCCAAGTGGGTCTTAAGTTTTTAAACATGTTCTAAATCTCTCCTCGACTGAGAATCGGGCGGATTGTTGGCGATAAAACTATTTTATTCCCACAAACATAGGAATCTAACAAGCATAAAAAAAATTGTTAAAATGGTATAATTTAAGAAAATGTTAGGTTATAAATTAATCACGGAAATAAATTTGAAGGTTCAAAATTTTATATCTGATTATTTTTTATTATTTTTTATGTTTTATTGAATAAATTTCAATTAAAATTATGTTTTCAGGTTTCGGAAATATTTCGTGATGCAAGTATTGGAAATTCACTCGAAATCAGTTTAGTTCGACTCGTTTTGTTGGAAGATGAAAAGGTTTGAATGTTTGCTCTTGAAGTTTTACTCATATTATGAAGTTTATAGATATTTATTTCTTCAAGAGTAATAGTTTACGTTGCCTAAATTTTTCATTGTCCCGGTAGCAGGTTGTTCTAAAACGAATGGAAGCCGGAAGATGACCATTGACATGACGATTCAGTGGTTAAAGCATATAACCGTCAGTATTTTAACTATACGCCTATCAATCGTCTTATTTTCAGCTATGTTCTTAGGGCCTTAGCAGTTCAAGATACGATTAGATTCTAAAAGATATTTTCCCGATTTCATTCAATTCATTATTATACATCTAACCTCTTGTCTAGAGCCTTGTTGACCGCGGACGAGTAAAACAAGTTAAAAATTGATATTTAATCACTTTGATAGACTTTAAAGTGTTTCAAAAATCACTACAATCAGATCCGTGGGAAAGTATTTTATATTTGTCGCTAAGAATGTCGTGGCTTTAGCTACCTATCCTATTTCGCTAAGTAACTACGGCTTTTATTTCCAAAATTTACAATATTTATTTGGCAGTTTCCATTTGTCGTATAAGCAAAGTAATCCTGTCTCTCTGTATAGATTTTCATTACCTTTTGTCGACGACTTGGCACCGATGTCAATTTTCCTTTTCGGTGATATATTACAAATAAATACCTGCCAAATATGGCACTTGATTGAACAACACTCCTTAAACGAACAATGGTAGAAGAGTTAATGTCTAAAGTAATCTGTAAATGCTCGTGGTAAATCAGATCAATGCTCAAAAAGTACCGGAATCGAATTTCCGTCTGAATGTTGTGGGGTTTAACTAGTCCTCGGGAAAAATGCAGCACCCAAGATCATATTCCAAATTCTCACCCTGAAGGCGTCTAAAGGTGTTCATGACTTCAATTTTTACTAAATTTTGGATTAGCGTCTAGCAAAGGCATATATATTTGTAGAAATTTACCAATTCTAGTTGAAACTCACGGCTTGAAAATTCAAGACAAATAATCCAATCATTCAAATTCGATTACTCATGCCAGATCTCATTGTGTACACGGGGAATACGATTGAAATCACAACCGTCTACCTAAAAGAACTTGAAATCTTAAGTCCACAAAAGATGGATTATCATTATGGACTATCGCTGTCGATATTGGTTTAGGAAATTTAGTCTCTGTCGATGCGAGATTGGATAATCCTACCGGCGGCGGACTTGACCCCGACATGACCCCTCGTGCAAGGCGGAACGCATCTGAAATTCCGCGGTGAAAGCAGATACTCGTTTTCTCCTTTTAACATGATATGACTTATTTGAACTGTTTTGTGGTGATCTTTTCTCTTCTATTGTGTTAGTATAGGCAAGTACCCATTACGTTGCCCTTGACATTTTCAAAACATATGATTTTGAATGTTTGAAAAAAGATAGACTGCAAGATATTTTCTAGGCCAGCCCTGGTACTATAACAGATCGCAGATTGAACGCTCATCGCAAGCGCGATTTGTTTCTGTACAGTGTTGAAACAGAACCATTTCCGGTTCAAATAAAGTCTTCATGCCTCCGTTTAAAGTAACACTTATTTGGTAGCAACAATGCTTTAATCATGGCGCCTAGACAAAGGTTTATCACGTTCATATTAACCTTGGCGTAGGCACACGGATCCTCTTATATTCAATTAGTGCTTAGTCATTAACACTGAGTTTTCTTTGACTTTGATATGGGATTGCATACTCTCTATGCCAAGTTAGGTGGTGACAATTTTTCAGGTTCATTAGGTATTAACAACCCACATTATCGAGTAGCTGTCAAATCGATGATTTCTCTCGCCGTTGTAGAGTGTTTAATGAATTTGTCACTAAAATCTCAGTAACGAAAATATAGACGTTCAATATATGGTATGCCGTTTCCTGTCCGTGATAGGCAACAGTTAATTCGTGTGGTTTTGTGTACAATATTATAACTTGTTTTCATTTATCAGATCCCTTCTAATTGATATTTGAAAACGCAATGGCAAAATACGTTCAAGATTTGGCTGATAATTATCGAAATGAACATTATTTGTTCAGCTAAGATGCGGTTTTTGTTAAGTCAAACGTGTTTATGATTGATCTTGTTAACCACTAGATCTTATTTTCGTGCTTAAAGCAAATTCCGCGTCAAGTAAAAATTTAGAAATTTGGAAAATCATTTTGGTTTCCGAATTTTAGGTATCTTATATTAAAAAACTAATCTCGCCAGTCGATGCTATTTTTAAATTGTAAACAGGACACTATATAACGATAATTTGGTTTGGTTTGGTTAAAAGTAAAAATATCAATTTAATTATGAGAATTATACGCTTGAATCAATTTTCGAAAAGCAGTTTGATAGGACTATGCAAATAAAATAAAAATAAAAATTCTTCCTGTACTCCTGGTATACAGCAGTAACAGCATATAATATACCGTGGATACTGTTCTGTTTTCATGACACCTATTTATATTTCCGTTAAACTCAGTGGTGGAATTCAAGATTGTATTCCTATCTCTGGGGTCGTGAGAATGCATCTCTTTTACTCTGCGAGGTCTTAGCTCTCAAATTACCAGATAAATCTTGTAATTGTCAGAAATATATATTTTATATTTACTTTATCAGTTTATTCATTATTTCTTTCTATTTGGCATTCTACCCGTGAAAGTAACTATTGAATCAATTACAGAAAGGTCCGAAAATCACAAGAGACGCAGAAAATACGTTGGACAATTTCTGCAGATGGGCTAAAAAAGTGAATCCCAAGGACGATAGCCATCCTAACCATCATGATGTTGCTGTTTTACTAACAAGGTATTGTTAATTTCCGAATTGTTTGATCATCAATCCAATGTTAATTTTTTCAGCTTGTATTTCTTGTAATATGATTGGGAATGTCGCTGATATATATTGGCTTTGTGGCGATGGGGTGTAATTCGTTTTTTACAGCATGAACAAAAGTTTGTTAATTAAATAAGTTGTCATCACTGGCTTAAGATGTCGGGTACATACTCCATGTGCGTCACCTGGATTCTGGATCTTCAAAAATTATCTCTGCCTGCAAGACTCTTTCCGTAGTCAAACATGGCAAAATCGTATAGAGAAGAGAAAAGTTTGCGCAGCTTGCGTGCTATAAATAAACAAAAATGCTAGCCTTGGTTCAATAAAGGAATAACATTCATCGTATATTAGCTTCAAATATCAACCCCGTACACATGACAGCCTTGCTCTCTTACCTTATATACTTAGAGTAAGCCATTTCAAAGGCATTTGTATATACAAATTTCCTTTTCCAATTGGTCGTAGACTACATAGTAAATTACTAAACGCCTAATCTCACGTTTTCATATATTGCAGGCAGGAAATTTGCAGTCAGTCTAATAAATCATGTGAAACACTTGGTCTTGCTCATGTTGCTGGAATGTGTCAGTCACACCGTAGTTGTAACGTTAATCAAGATACTGGATTATCAGTCGCTTACACTGTTGCTCATGAACTCGGACATAAGTGAGTGATTACATTTTATTGATATCATTGAATTGATCAAATCCGCATTAATTATGAATTTTTAATTGGTGTACCATCGTCTACCATTGAGATAATCTTGTGCTTGGAAAATTCATTAGACTACCGCAGTTTCACCACCTCGGATACAAGAATGTTGGCGAGTGAATTTTTAGTATATGCTTATAGATAACAACGTGACCTTATATACAATTATGCTACCATTTATGGGCATTATTTGAAGACTGATTGACTTGGTGGTATTTTGAAGTTATTTGTTGTCATGGCATAACTTCGTTGACGTTTTGGAACGTACATCCAAAACCTCTTACCTTTTGTGAACGTGAATTATTTGATAAAAAAAGAGAAATCCATTATCCAACAGTGAATATGATATCTAAAATGGTTTTCCATTGCCTAACACAATATATGGGTACCTTCTTAAAGTGCTGATAGAGCTTAATGGGTAACAATGTCTTATTCGGGTAAATTAGAATATTCACGTAACTGAAAATTTCATTACAATTTGTACCGTTTTTTCAGCAGTGTTTGAAAATTATTTTAGTTTTATATGAGAGATGTCAACTATATGGCCATACTTAACAAATGAGGGTAATCAAGAACGAGGGAGTAAAAGTAAATAACCATATCTCAAAAAAAAAAACTTACGACCCAGCAAAAGCAAATGTCAAACATTTGAGATTTTAAAAATGCATTTAGTTGATGCAATACATTATTGTTGACAGCGGGGTTAAGGCAAATCCATTAGAAATACGATCGCTAAGAGAATATTGTCATAATTAACAAAACAAATCACCCGGTATTTAGGTAAAAGGGTCTATCAGGTTCACTACCATGTGTCTATCACAAAATTGTGAGGTTCGCCGCAGGTTACCCTGTGCTAGTCAAATTTATCCGCCATGGAAAAAGAACGATAAAGTATATGTGTATTCTGATATGTTAACGAAGTGGAGATTATTTGTAAATTTCCGCGCGATTCACTTCTTGGTTTTATTTTATTATGTTATGTTTATATTTTTGTACCTTGAATAAAATATTTTTTTCTTTTGTTGAGTTTTTTTTTTGAACCATCAATTTATCAAATTCTAGATTAAATTGTTGAATTATAATTTCAATCTGTGGTTGTAGATGGCTTTTCGTATAGTAGCGACATGGGGTTCTACATGGTCATCCTAAAAACAGAATCCAGGTGATTTGGTACATATTCTGAAGATTACATATTGGTCTTACTCTGTTTCTGTTTCATTGTAAATCATAACTTTTGTACAAAGCAATTCCTGAAACTTTTGGATGCAATTATACACAAACGGAAGTGTTGAATAAACTTTCCTCATTTCCCTAAACGCAATTAAGAAATTTATAGGTTCTGTTTCTTGGGTCACCCTGTAGTTCGGATCAGCCCAAAATCGAGGCATGAAATAACCCAACCCATATAAAATATACCAAACTTGTTGGATAACGTCAAGTGCCGCCCTGTAACCTATTTCCTGGCACTGTTTGGCGTTACGAGTTGAATCCTCATATTGTTATAGAAAGCACAAAATGCTCGTGAAATTTTTGTACCTTAGTATATTTTTATAAGGGTACTTTATATAGACAACATCACGTAATGGATGTGTTGTTGTGTTGAAACATTGTCTTGTTATAAATATTTTATAGATCTCTTCAATCTTGACAGCCGTGAACATCGGTAGATTACAAACCAGCTCCCGGTGCCAAGATTGCTATTGATAAATTAAACATCGACAAATGACGAAATTTAAAATCCGATTACGGTATTTTAAGATTCACTTGTAAATATTCAGTCATACTTTTCCGAGTTAATAGAGAATAAATATATTGCAACATTATAAAACCCAGCGTTGGTTTCAAAAACACGGAGTCACCGCATCTAGTTATATCATTCGTAAATTTGTTCCAAATTTTAGTAGTAAGGAATTATAGGTGTCGTCGTGGTCTGTAAAGGAGAAAATATTGTTAGTTTGACTTACCAAAGCATTGCTCTGAATCCCGTACTGGTCATATTTCAAACTATAGAACAGGCTGTCAAGTATCACTAACGCTCAGACTGAATTGGAGCTTAATTCCAAATTTCGAACAAAGATCCGTGTGGGGGTTAGCGATAGGAGTTTCAGAGTGGGTCACGGCCCGAAATTTTGTCCACACACTTCGTAACCATAGCTTAAACAAACTTAGTGTTACTTTCATACAATTGATTTATTCTCAATATTTTTCGTTTGTCTTTCAGTCTATCCTTATTACCAAATTGAGCTTTATTTCTCGAAAATTATATTTTACGTGGCTAATCCTCGGAGTGTTCGAGATGTAAAAAAGGGGTATTAGATTTATAGTACAATAAACCTGTCTGAAGTTCAGACCTCCCGTCGAAATTTCTTTGTTTGCCCACTTTGTGTAACGTGTTTTCTTATGTCATCAAATCCCATGTGTAATGTCTAGCTGTTGTATGACATTGCCGAACGAGGTTAATACAGCTGTACCTCGTTGTTGATCCGACCGCGCGAGAATATCGAGGCTAATTTGCGGTTATTGTTGAATCATGAAAGCGTCTTTGACCAAATCATGGTCACGTACTTCCAATGTATGTTATTTATTATGTGTTACTTTGTAAGTCGTTTAAGAGACACATGTCAATGCTGCGAGCCTGCGACTATCGCTATTATCTCAAGAAGAACGATCTTTTCTCTTTGGCATTCGTGAGGAATATGTGGAATCGTGCAGAATGACATTGATGTTCGTATTGTGTTGACTCGGTAAACAAAACTGCTGCACCCAAGTCATATATTTCAACACCATATTCATGGTGATATTTTCGATTACTTTCCAGTAGTTAGATAGATCTGATTTGCCCTACGCTTTGTTGGTCGAACTATTGGTTCACTCAGTTACTACAATGAAAATTTCGCTCTGAACAATTTTACAATTGGACCGGGGATTATTGAACATTTTTAATACATTCGTTATAATTTCACGTTTCTTTTCAGCTTCGCCATGCATCACGATGGTCAATTAAATGATTGCAGACCTTCACCAAAATACAATCATGTGATGGCACCTCACATTACATCCAGTAGTCTTCCGATGGTATGGAGTTCGTGCAGTAGGAAATATATAACGAGGTTTTTGGAGTAAGTACTATGACTGTCAGTCAACTGACAGTTATTTATTATAGTAGTATAATACCAGTGCTTATTTCAATACGGGTCAAATGATGAAGTACGCCGTGATTTTTTTTACTTACAATGAAAGACAGTAGCAATCTGCTTCATCTACAACTATACACATATAGTAGCAAACCTGCTTAGTTTTTAGAAGAAGATTCCTGACCGAATTTAGGATGTATCAGTACAGTTACGATTGCATATTGTAGGGTTAGCATCTCTCAATTCCTATTGATTTTGGTCATCAATCTACAGTGCGCCGACGTGGACTTATAATCGGTCGAAATGATTTATTACTCAATTACTAACGGTCATGGACTTGATGGAATTTATGGCCGTGCTCATATTGTACTGGAGTACATTTTTGAGTTTGTAATACCACTTTCTTTACCTTAACCATCGTATTTTAAATCTCAATCGTTTTGCAATAAACTCGGCTCTTATGAGATTTCAAATTAAGGGGAATATGTTTATTGGTGATATAAGATTTTTAACACCTCCCGTCCATCCTTGAAAAATGAAAATATCTTATTGAATTATTGTGCTGTTTCAAGTTGTTTTTTCGCGCCCTGGTAATTATAATACCACCCATCGTGCCCAATCACATCTGTCTCAATTTTTACATCTTTAATTGAGTAAAACAATTTCACAGTATTAATCACTCAATAGTTACAACATCCACGAATTAAATTTTTCGATTTAAAATTCGGAAAGTCATTAATCAGAGAACAACTAGAATATTGCCATTTTTGCTCAAGTCTAAGATTTTGGTGTAACGTGACCGGTAAGATTAATCAAGGTTGAATCTGAGTCGTCAATTCTCGAGTTTATGACTCGAATTCGCGAAAATAGAAAGTTTTTTTTCTATTTCAATTCCCAGTCGAATTTACCGTTAAGGAGAATAAAATTCAATTCAATTCCTCAGGTCAGGGGTCACTCGAAGACTATTTGAATAAAGTTTGACAGAGAAATAAACACCGAAGTCACGATTCGATGTCTTTCACCCGATTTCAAATGAACATGCATTACGCTGGGATAGTAAGAAATATGATCCAAATTAAACTAGAACCGCTCAACACCGATTCGAAAATAATTGTACTTTGGAAAAATCTTGCCATCCTCTCCCCACTATGCTGGCCAATTTCCACAAAATTAGTATTATTAATAAGAAATAAGAAACAACGCAAGCCTATTCACTTACCGTAATTAAAAGCATTTACAACTAGTGATTGTCAATTTCTGTGATATCAGCGTCGTAGATTCTGTACAACTTCATAATTGTACCGTAATTTGCTCATACTTACGTATTTGTCGTCATCGATCATCCTTACCTTTGTTTATACCGGCGTCCTGATTATGATTTATTTAGTCGACTTTTATAATAATGACTCAAAATGGTAATCCATATTAGTTGGTTATTTTTTAGGTATTCTGATTTGTCATATGATCCCTATCGGTTACAGTTGTTCAACGCATGAATAGTGCATAACCACTGCTTTTTATGTGGGCTTAACTTGGCTTTCGAGTTCATCAAGAATTCTGGCTAACATGTTGAAATGAGATAGATTGTATGGTAATTGCGAAAAGTGAATATGACAGAAATTATTGAATTAGATTTTCAGGAAATGGGGCAAATATAATTAAGTATGAATCGCCTCGGCGTCTCAACTTTTAAAACACCTGCCGAACGAGAATTAATTTCTTCCTGGTCGAATTCATAATTCCGATTATCATACCAACAATCTTGCATGGGATAGACATGTAGAAATGTACAGTTGCATTAGTATTGCTTCCACACTTGTGAATAGCATTTCTATTAATAAGAGATAAAAATAGGAAAAAAAAATTTCAAGTTTTTAAATTTTCGTAGCAATCCAAGAAACTGGAGAGAGCATATATATAACTAAATCATGTAGATATAGATTCTGGAAAATTGAAGATTTTTTCATCATACTTTATCATACTGATGATATGGGTTATTCTACTATTAAAATATACGTCAAAACGACATAGAAAGTCACAGTATTGGAGTTTACTATAATAAATCACAGTGCCGTTGTCAGAACAGTTATATGTCCCCAACCTGGTTATAAGTGAGTGTTTTCAGATTGCGGTATCGAATGTGAAAAACTAAGATTTAATTTCAAGCACTTGATGACAAGAATTTTAGGAATGTCATTTTAATATTCACGTGATAAATACTGAAATTGAATTTTGTGGCCTCTTATGTACTGTTAACACCGTCTTTCAGTGAACTTCATGTAATCTCACAAATTCATGTTGTCAACAACTTAAAAGATTAATCTAAATAAGTTGTCGCAATTATGCGGTATTATTTGTTAAAATACAATCAAATTATTATCACTCGTATAGTTTATTAGTATGTTCTAACTCGTTCACATCACTAAAACCCCTTTGCTGTGAAAAATAACAAAATGCGTATAAAGGCCAATAAGCGGGGCTTATTTTATATGGAATATCATGAAGATCAAAGCAGATTAGAAATTAAGGCCCATCCAAATCGATTTGAAAAGTAGATGATTGTAATCTGATGACTTAAATATTTCCCACAATTGCCCCACCTATCCCACACTTGTACCACGTGTACCACACTTTTCTCCCTTGTCCCACATTTGTTCCACTTTCCCCACACTTCTGAGCTAGAGTATTGATATATACACCGTCGGGCAAATGATTAAATTAACCATGAGAAGTGTGAATCAAATAATAGGAACAGTTGTGGTACTGGTGGGATAAGTATAGTAAAAGTGGAACAAATATAGGATAAGCGGGACGAATATTGAAAACGAGGGGGGTACGTGGGTGAAGTGGACGACGTGAGACAAGTGTGAGAGTTTTCAGACACCACCCATAACGGCGTTTTAGTAGTCTACTGATTTCAGACAATAACGGCCAATTATCTTCAAATTGTTTGTTTTGCAAACGTTATTTATACACGTAGCCTAGTGTATCTGTCTCATTATCAAAATATGCAAGACACTTTAGTAATTCAGCATGTCTATAATTGCTTGGTCGAGGCTAATTTGATTTACGAAGTCTACTTTACTTGCTGATGATAACATCATTGTTTATTATCGTCGCAAAATACATTCATTATCGTTAACAATTCGAAAATATAAATCACTTACGAGAAGTTGATTTTAAGCACATAATTATACAGTTGTAATATGTTGTTTTAATTACAATACAAGTTGCTCAGAGTTTGCGGTTTTCAAGTGTCAAAACCGCGATAATTATTGACGGCACTTTGTTTCGTAGATTAACGTGAGTGGCGCTGAAAAGATTGTATATACTGTAAATGCATTTTGAGGCTTATACTTTACTTCGTTGCTTCTTGTTTTTTATATTATTCAGGGTGACCGTACATTTGAACCCACGTACATTTGAACCCATCTGTATATCCGCGGGTTCAATCCATATGAGGGTGCTAAAACCCATGGGTTAGGGTTAGTATGGGTTCAAATATCCGTAAAACAAAAAAATTTCCATGGGTGCATTAGTATGCAGGTGCAATTGTCGTGGGTTCAAATGTACGTGGGTTCAAATGTAACGGAACCATTATTCAGAGTTAGGGCATATTTTTCTATTTGACAATAGTATATAGAACGTGCGCGTTAGCTAATTGAAAATTCTAATTTTGGTATATGGAAAATCTATTCGTTCCACTTGTTTCCAAGATTATATTTTGATCGATAAGTATTCTAAATATGTAAACATGGTAGACCGACATTCTTGGACTCAGACAAATAATACGCCCACTTCACCATGTATAATATATGGGTTCTGAATATGAATAAAACGGAACTTTGGAAACTTGAATGTCTCTAAATCAAAGAGACGAAGACGACACACTTGAAGAAAATCTACTTGGATTTTCGTATATTTAAAAAAGATTCCCGTTATTCATATTATAAAAAACCAAAGAAATATGAACTTCTTTTTTCCTCCATCGATGAAGTGATTTATCAAGGTCTCGGCTCAATTAATATTAGTTATGGAATATGGTAAAGTATAAGATAGATTTAAAAATGCGATATAGAGGCAGTTATGTATGTAGTTACCATATAAGCATAAATCAAGTCTAAGAGTGTGTTATAGAATAAATATTTTTGTACCACAAGTAAACTATCTTGAAACGTTGTAAAAAATATTAATCTAATTATCAAAATTCTTTCTAGGTCGTTTTTGTGTTGCACTGTTAAAAAAAATAATGCTCACGTCAATAGAAATTGAAACTACCAATCATTTGAAAAAGAAAAAAATAATAGGAATTTCACTATGAAAATTTAGGTAAATTCCTAAAACTTTGATTGAGACCGGAAATTCGTTTTACAGTGCAATTAATCACTGTTTCGAAGTTACATATTTTTTTACAGTTTATTATTACAGTTCATGTAGATGAAAACGTCGATTCTCTATAGAGATATGTAACGCCGTGAGACTTCTTAGTGGGTTACCGCAATATATCATCGGATTCAATTATAACCACAGCGGAACCCAGAAACGTGTTTTATTCAAAATAGGACTTTTATCGTAATCCTGTATTATTCTATATTATGGTATACAAGATCAGATGTTTCATTCAAAAAGGGCTGTGAGGCAGGGATCTTCCTTTTGTGGGTACTCCTCTAATGTGTGTACCAGGTTAGGGTTAGACCATAATTTTAATCCGATTTTGCTTATTTTAGTCCTATTACGAGTGGACTGTCTGTTTTAGACAAGTAAATATACCACGGCCCACAGGTTTCAGTCCCTTTACACAACTTGATGTTAAGTAGGCGAACAAAATTAGTTAGTGACATAGCGTATTAACAAGCGATCTGTACCCTGAAAATATATTACTATCATTCGTTATAAGTTCAAAAAAATAACCAGTATGTTTACCAGTTTGTCCAGTACGCATGCTACCAGTGTGTAGTAGTGGATAACCCTTGCTTTAATGTCGACCTTCGTTCCGTTTGAAGTCTGCGTTTGTTCCTTTTCCAATTTATTGTATATATTACATAAGGAACGGGTATACTGGAACTGATTCCTTTGTTTCATCACTCCTAGATGAAATAATGTGAAGTTTAATGATAGTAATTAAATACTTATCAAGCACATATTTATTGGCGGTTATCTCTTGATTCATGGCAGATACCCAACAACACGTTTCCTTCAGCGACGATATAACCGCAGCTGCGTCACAATATGGCCTAACATTACACAAACATGGGCGATGAACCAAGATTCTCAGACAAGATACAACAAACAAATACTGATAACAATTGAAAGTCTAAATAACGACACAAATTTTTGGGAGAAAAGCTCTCATAAACCTTCAAAATAATATTATAGGAGTTTGTTCGCCACGTGTGGGTCATAGATGAAATGCATACGCACGGGTAGCTTCATTTGAGGCCATACATAAAAATGCAAATATCGTCTGATAAAAGAATTTATGATGTGGAATGTGTGAATGGTTTGTGAAAGTTGAAATATTTTGCCACAAAGCGAAATCCCCATTTCAATAAAAGGATCATATAAAGCAGGCAAGTCCTGATACAATCAGTGCATAACATGAATTATATTTGACACTTACCACTTACCACCAATTCGACACAATTTAGGCGCTTTTAAAAATATTAATATAAGATTGATAGTATATTTATTGAGTTGAATGTAGTCTTGTTGCGTAAGAATGCTTTTGTGGAAAATACACGTGACAGCCGTTGACACGTGAAGCGAGAGATGTTGGTACTAGTGTGCGAGATCTGAATATCGTTGGGATGAACCAACGTGGTTCTCAATCGCCGGTTCGCGTCAACCTTTCTGCGGGTCCGCATCGATGGTCTGACCATTTATTTTTCGAGATTTCACTCCTATTGATGTGTAGACCAAACTTGGCCCTAACCTTTTTTCTATCATTTCAAGCCCTGAACAGTCGAATGCCATTGTCAGAGTTTTGGATATCGCTTGAAAGAAATATCCTGACCTCAGTGACAAAACCATTGAACAATTTTTCATTGTCTTGAATTAAATTGCCTGCTTTCCGATTGGCCATACTATTGTCGTAATTACATTCAATGAATTATGTTTTTTCCATTTTAGGTTGATTTTGTAGGTTCACCGGTCCGCAAAATTAGTTTTGCAATTTTCCCGGCCCACAAACTAAAAAAGGTTGCGAACTACTGGGCTAAACACTTGCTCATCTTTTGGAATTATGTTTGATAAATATTCGAAACAATTTCGCATGCCTGGAACACCGTTTCTAAACCTAAATGATGTGGGTTTTATATATAATTCTATTATTTAGTAGGAAACCAATCATGTTTTTCTCATTTCATTTTTATAGTCGCAACTGGGGATTCTGTCTCAACGATCAGCCAGCCGAACAAGATGAATTCACTCCACCTACAGTATTACCCGGTGTTATATATGATGCTGATCATCAATGCAGACTCATGTTTGGTGAAAAATCAAAATATTGTCCTGGAATTGACGTATGTTTTATATATATTCGAAGTATTAGATTGCAATAATGATTCGTGCGTGTTATGATTTGTGTAAAATCCATGCCGAAAGCTTCGACCAGTCACTAATGTTATAAAAAATTTGGCAGGCCTTTTCCAACCAAAAAAATCGGCGCTCCAGAAGTGTGTGTACCAATATTGAGATAACTTATTTTGTTCGCCTACTTTACATCAAGTTGTATAAAGGGACTAAAACTTTTGGGCAAGGGGTATATTCACTTGGCTAAAACAGACAGTCCCCGAACTTGTAATAGAACTAAAATAAGTAAAATCAGAATAAATTATGGCCTAACCCTAACCTGGTACATATACTACGGGAGTCTAAAAATTCATCTGTCATTCCAATCATGCGGTTGCGAATTGCTTAAATAAAGGTCGTTAAAGCTATAATAATGTAGCTCTTATGATTAACAATATGTTTAAACAAGAAGGGTGTGTAATAGCAGCTGGTAATGGATGTCGTAACACAGTGTTATGTTAATCATCTTTCGACGACGAGTTAGGCAATATTCTCACGTTGTGATCTTGTGCGTTCAGACTTTGAGAAACGTGATAATTGGTGTGGATGGGCATGTTCTCAGCTCCTGGGTGAATGCATAAATTTACTACCCTAAAAATAACATTGCGCAATTTATTTCATTCATATTTACACATTGATTGAACTATTGTGAATTTTTTTCTTTCTTTCAGGATATTTGTCATCGACTATGGTGCTATCACGGAGGAACGTGTAGGTCCCGACTTCACGCTGCAGCGCCTGGTACTAAATGTGGAAAAACAAAGGTAGGACTAGGATTACAGTTGTGTGATTCTGACTCTGATGACCTTATGGCCGTATCGCTCCCTCCAGTCTATACCGAATTAACTTGCATATTTTATTTGACGAAACAATAAATCTCTCCCTCTCTCTCTCTCTCTGTAATCGGGAATTCCTTCGTTCATTACACAGTAAATCATATAATACAAAAATATAAATCGGATCATAATTCATTCGTGGGGTGAAGGTTTTATTGACAAATTTGTTACAACATTAACTGTCTTAAATCCGAGCCACATTTAAAGCTAATTTTATTTTTTTCCGAAAACTAAATATATCGTAGCATTGTATATATTAGTTTTTAAGCTCCTGTAGTATGTGTACCAAAATGGCGCACAACCTGAACATAGTATGTGTACCAGTTTAGGGTTCAGGTTGTGCGCCATCTTGATGCACATACTACGGAAGCGCCGTTTTTAAATTATTAAAGTTTCACACTTGAGCGCTCGATTGGTGAGATTCCTATAGCTTCAAAATTATAGTATAAATCGGTCTGTACACTATCTGTATTTGCTCAACAAATTTCATCTTCTAATTTTCGGATTTATGATTATTAGCAGCTGACGTGGTAAATTCCTGTGGTACCACTCGCGGGATTAGTTATCGTTTTAATATAACTCTGGCGTCGATTCGAGTTGATCTTGAAAGCTGCTAAGGCTAAGGTTTATAAGGGTTATTTGATCTAAACGTTTATATGTTTTGATACTTAAATGGATTCAAGCGCATTTTGTAACACATTCATTTTATCATAAAAACATATTTATTCACTTCTAAGGCTAAAAATTAGATCGCTTTAATCATATAAAAAAAAACGATTCTCAGTATTCAATTCACGATAAAATAAATGTTAAACAAGTACTTTTATATATTATCACTGTCATATATCGGTTAATTTTCTCAATTGTTATAATATTTTCCATCACCATTGACTTCAAATAAGCATGGGCAATAGATGTGCATATTTAATGTTCTATCACTGGGCAATGGTCAATCTTACTTATAGATTTTCAAATGCAATTCATTATCTGTATAAAAGTCCGATAAATTCTTGGTATTTCTACTTATCAACGCTCTACTTACTAACGATATAGAAGTCTGGTAAACAGATTATCGAGGCTTTCAAACCTAAACCGGTGTTATTTTTTGTATAGTCAACTTGAATCCGAGATAATCTTCTATTACTTGAGTTCTCTGGCCTATGACCTCTGGGGTCAAGCGTCAGGTTAATTAGCCTTTACCTGCCAGGATGGCCATGTGAACTTATCAGGTGTCGGAATTTGAACTCGGTGGGTCACTTTTTGTTGCAACTTACAATAATCTAAACCTGCAAAGGTTCCTATTAAATTCTACTAAAATCCAATTTAAGGAACTGTATTTTTGTCGGTAATCAAAATTGTCTCGCACTTTTCTCCCTTGTTGGTTTGTTTTAAACGTCTTCAACGAAAAATGCGACATCCTTTGTGACGCGGCCTAACACGCAAAGGCAAAACGGACGAGGGCTATCTCTAAAAAAATACTGGTTGCGCTATAAACGCCGCTTAGCGAATACATACAGTATGGAAGATGAAGAGGAAGCGTTGCCGGCATATTTTAGCCAACTCAAAAGTTAATTGTTGCAATAATTCATAGCTGATCGCCTACCACTTGAAAAGCTTCCACGTACCACTAGTGGTACGCGGATCACAGTTTGAACACCACTGATCTACAAGTTATGTTAACACACCTATGGGTGCAATCTCAGAAATGCCTGTTGTTGTTTTGGGAAAGGAAATATTATCTTGTATTCTGTGTAGTTTATCAATATCGTTTGGTAATTTAGTATTATTGTAATGCATATTTATGCACTCGTTATAAACTATTCAAACTGTGGAAAAGTTTGAAAACACTAGATGAAGATTGAATAAATAATGAAAACGGAGTTGAAAGAGGAATGAAGGGTTCCAAAATAGGCATCTGGAAGAATATGTCGGTATATATACACAAAGGTTGGAAACCACTGACCTATGTGAATACGTACAAAAAAGATAGTCGATTATATTAATTTCATATTTGGCACACTATTTTGGTTTATTTTTTTAAATAATCTCAAATGGGCCTTATGTCAATTTTATTTTATAATGATTTTATGTTAATTTGTCAATTCGTTAAGTACACTTACCCTTGCACAGTTTGAAACATTTCATACATACATTATTATGGGGATGACTCCTCATCGTCCTAGCGTGATTTACGTAATCATGCATGTATCAAGGTCTTACATCACCATCCAAGTTACCGAACTATAGTTAGCTATTCTGTTACGATTTCAAGTAGTGACCGCACTAACAACGTACCTGGAAACCGGACTACCTCTCACTCGCAGAGCCTTGCTAGAAACTTACTATGACTATGTATTACGACATTACTTTTTCCGGTGCCATGGCGTTTCATTGGAGCTGTGGGCTTCTTAACTTGTTTTTATGTTATCACTAAATATACTTGTTTTCTAACTGCAATTTTGTTTCATTTTAGTGGTGTTATGATGGAAAATGTATTTCCATGTCAAAAGAGGTGAAAGTGATTGATGGTGGTTGGGGAACATGGAGTGCTTGGAGCAGCTGTTCAAGAACATGTGGAATAGGAGTCAGCTCATCAATCAGATATTGTGAAAATCCTCTTCCACAGAATGGAGGAGAATATTGCGTAGGAGAGAGAAAGAGATATAAGACATGTAGTAAATGGGTAAATTATCAAAAAATTATTTTTTTTTATTTTTTTTTAGAAAATCCCACCTCTGGCAGGAAAACCATTTATATATATATAGCTTATTTTTAATACATTAGTGTCAAAACTTAGTGGATAACTTGAGACAATTAAGTCAAAACTGACAAGAAAACAAATGGGTGGGAAAGAATTTGACAAACATGCAAAGTAAAGTTAACAAAAAAAAACATTTGTTTCTGAGACGTTTTCAATTCTTCGCTCCAAACAAGACTCTAGGCCGGTATAATTTCAGAAAAGACTAAAATATTTTGGTTTTACATCTACTTTAATATATCATGGGTATGGAAATTTAACCTTCGATCCCAATTTGGGACGCTAACATAGTGAGGTGTTTACTTTAAGCCCTGGATGTCCACAGATAAGAAATATGTATTTCACCCCCCGAATTAATGATAAATGCCACAAGGCCTAAACAAAGAAACCTGAATATTGGAATTATAACTGAACTGAATACTAATATAAATAAGTTTTTTCTCATTGTCTCCTAATAATGTGCTTTTCAGAGATGTCGAAAAGGCGCTAGGTCAATGACCTTCAGAGAACAGCAATGTGCTTCATTCAATAATGTGAAATACAAAAACATGACTTTTTCCTGGAAACCAGTTGAAAGTGCTTGTAAGTATCATAATGATTCTAGTCAGTACATTACCATAAACTTGTAGATTGATGCTTTCAACTAATTATTTATTATAACAGTGTATCCTTGTGAGCTTCATTGTTACACACGAGCAGGAAAAATTCCATTTGCAGACAGGTTGCGAGACAAAGTTATTGATGGAACCAAATGTTTTCCAGGCAGCGATGATATTTGTGTTGATGGCATATGTAGAGTAAGTTATGCAATTATATGAAAATAACTCTATTGGCAATACCTTACTTTCTTTAATTCCAAGTAAATTATAATACTCAGGATTTAGGAATGTGGTAACTTATTCCATGGGACACTTTACATGGGTTTGCTGATTTTTTATTATGTAGATTGTAGAAGGATGATAAGAATAAATCCATGTGTCTGGTCAATTACTCCCATATTCGTTTGAATTAGTATCTTAGCGAGAAGATCTGCCGTGATCAAGACATAATCGTTTCTTTTTCCTGTTGATAGGGCTTTCCAAGAACTAGTCTGATTTTAATGTAATATTTTATAGAGAGTTGGATGTGATAAAAATATTGGATCAAGAGCATTAGAAGACAGGTGTGGTGAGTGCCATGGAAATGGTTCAACATGTTATAAAGTGAGCAAGACATTCAGTAGAAAGAAAGGAGAAGGTATGGAAAGTTTAGTATCGAGAGTTTTGTAGAGCTTAATAATAGTTCCTTGAACTGGGAATTGATTCATCACAAACTAAGCCAATTTAGTCCGTTTTTAGTGTAAACTAAAAGAAATTTTCAATTAAATCTAATTTATGTGGCTTTGGTACCTAATGTACGCACTGTGATTAGCACTAACAGGTCTCACTCTCATATAAATTTCTGTTTACTTTTTACAATCCCCATTAGACTGAGATTTGGGGCGTGAAAGGTGTTTCTAGAAAGTTTCATAAGCTCCTATTTCTGTTATAATGAGGTAATAGGTATATATTTGTCATATCTAAATCTCACACCTCACTATGTACAATACATGATTTTGTGTTCAGAATATACTCCAATAGCATTACTCCCACTTGGTGCTAGGAATGTTGAGATATCAGAGGTGGCACCTGTCATCAATTTTTTGGCATTACGTCATGCTACAAACAAAAGTCAATATTATCTCAACGGCAACTACATGATACAAGTAAGTTTGTGTTTGATGTAATCCCAGTATCAACTGCTATTTCCTGTGGTGTAGTTTGTGGTACATGTTGCTGTCTGGTTATCTGTGATGAAATGAAATTACATATTTGGCGACAATACTCTTGTTCATTGTTATGATTTAATGAATGTGAATTTAAAGGAATAGCTTAACCACAAATTATACTGGGTATTAAATCTGGATTTTCCCATCAGTTGAATTGTATTGTTTCACTTATCATTTCTTTTGAATATGATTTATTATTATAATTCGATGTTTGTATTTTTTTGGATTGTATGGTAAGATGCATACAAAATATCGAAAAAATCAAAAGTAGAGCATTACTCACTTTTTCTTACTCGAACCTACCCATTAAATCAAGTCGTTTTATGATCTAGTTATAATATGACTTTACCAAGAAGATCTTTTCAATTGATTATGGATGTAATAATGATATTTTTTTTCAGTGGGATACCAAGTTTCAACTTGCAGGAACGCAGTTTACTTACAGAAGAATAAATCAAACATTAGATAGAATATCTGCACCTGGTCCACTAACTGAAGAAATCATGGTAGTGGTAAGAAACGAAATTCATTTTGAATCAAGGTCTATTTTTGCAAACACGATGCTGTTGTCGCTTTGAAAGGATTCCTTATTTTAAACCATTTGGGTAAATTTTTAGGTATAATCATGTGTGCACTATTAATTTATGTTCATTTTTATGAAGTGTATTCAGTTTCATGAAACTTATTTACATTTTTATGCTCAGTTACCATGCTATCATACACATTTTGCCCACACTATCATAAAAATGAGCAAAAACCAATCTGACTTTAAATGCCTTTAGTTGATTTTTGCTATAATAATGTTTAAATATTTATTTATGGTAGCGCAAATGCAATCATTGTTTATTTTATATTAGATTTTTGTTATTATAGGTAAAAACTGAAAAATATAATTAAACTTCATTTACCCAATGTACGTAGCTTTAGATCTATCAAAAGGTCTGGCTATATAGTTACACTCTATTGTTGTCATAGATTTTATTTGTTGAAGAGAATCCAGGAGTATCAATTGAATATACAAAGCCATATGTTGTAAATCTCAATAAATCAGAAGAAGAGGAATTTCCTGAATTTAAATGGAAAATTCAAGATTGGTCTGAATGTACGCAAGAATGTGGAAAAGGTAAACAGTGTTCTTATTTCCAGTCCGATTTATTTGATATAATCAGATGACTAAATTGTTTGACTAAATAAATACATTTCCACACTTTTGACCAATACAAGAATACTTTAGCTACACACTTAGTAAGACCCAGAAAAGCATACTTGACCCATAAGCTGCAATGCAAATGTCCAGTATTTAAAAGAATATCTCGTGGAGAAGAAGTAAAGTTAAAGCAATTGTAATAACACAATTGCTTAAATAAAAATTAATGGTAGTAAGTAGTATCATAAAGTCATAGTACCATAAAGCATAATGGCAAATAACAAGCAAATCAAGTTTTGTTATGCATAATCACTGCTTTCCCATCAATTATCATTCCTAATTTTTGTTTTATCATGCTTAGGATACCAAATTATGTCAACGGTTTGTGAAGAAAAGAAAGCTGGTATAGTTGATGATTTCTTTTGTAATGATATCGAGCGACCTAAATTCAAGAAGAGATCTTGCAATGATATTTCTTGTCCTCCCAGGTACTGAATTCATTTCTTCGCCATTTTGAGGTTGTCATTACTACAATATGCATTCATACTCATTCTTTTTGAAAAGCTATTTAATACCAATTAGGTTGGATGGGGGTCCTATCCATCAAAAGTATTAACTATTGATCTCAAGCATACATAGAAAAAGCATGAAACTGTTTGTATACTCAATAATTTGGTAATATTAATTTGGTTATGAGGCTTAAACACGCGTTTTAAAAAAAATTTTAAGTTCCAGCAGAGGTTTGGGTCATTTCTAAAACAAAGAAAAAAATTCAGATTGCAACTTATAAACAACGCAATATCACACGATGTATGGGGTATTGATCTGTTTAAAATTAGATACATTTTTTCAAGCTCATTTTGTCATCATAAGAGAGGAAAGTCGATAGGACAGTATATTCATATTGTGAACCACGGCCTCTCATCTGTTATTAGTTAGCCATTTATTTTGTTTTGAGATGTATGTGTGTAATGCGTAATGTGTCCACATAGAAGAGATGTATGGACTTTTTAGGTAAGATGAAATACTGGAGAACATTTGGCGCGGCGGTGTGGCTCATTGTGCTAAGCGTTAGGAATACACTTGCCACCGCACCTCTGATTACTCTGAGTGGGTTCGCAAGTTCGAATTCCATGCGGGGATAGTTATGTGTGAGAGGATTGCTGGACTCCTCGCCACCATAGGGTGGTTCACGTAACCGTTGGTCGGTTATGGCTTCCTCCACCATCAAGTCCATGCTTCGGAAAACGAATAACTAACCAGTCCCATACCCGACTTGAAATGGTCAATGAGCGAGAGGCCGTGATTTGCCATATGGGCAAGCCGTCTTATCGGCTTCCCTCTCCCCCGGGATAAATATGTAAATCCTATCCTATCCTATTTCAAATATTGCACCATGCTAATACTGAGTAATGTATCACATGGTTTCACAATTAGAAAAGTTGAGAGTTTGAAAATATAAAAATGATTTTTTCTTTATATAATATCACAGATGGTCATCATCACCTTGGGAAGACTGTTCTATCACTTGTGGATCAAAGTCAGGAATACAGAGAAGATTAGTTATGTGTGTAAGAAGTGTAGGTGATGGTGATGAAATTGCACTGAATCATACTTTATGTTCTGAAATGGATCGACCAACGAACAAACGAAGATGTAGATTGAAAACAGAAATACCATGCCCAGTATGGAGATCTGGTGATTGGGAGCGGGTAAATTGCAACATGTCTTTAAATTTATTTCATAATCATTATGACGAAGCGTCAAATATAGACTATCAAATTACGCCTTTCATAATATGCAGAGAGATTTCATCATAAAAGAGAAATTTTTAGTTATTGTGTATTATATGCAGCTTATTTTTGCAGAAGTATTTTTGACATTTCTGAATTTATACTTTTCATAATATATTTGATGACTAATCTGTCAATCATGACATGCTGTTGTTTGACTTTGAACTATCATGGTGTTGTTCGATTCCAATTCCTACACAATACTTAATATATATCTACTAATTTTGGAAATTAAATTCAGTTATGGAACTCATCAGTTTATAAATATTCGAACACAATTTCAATTGTCGCAGACACAAATAAAGTAATCAAACATATAGAATCGCCATTGTCATCATTGCGACATTTAGCTAACCATATTATTTTATTTCAATCTTGGATATAGGATGGTGACTATTAGCGTATTTTGTGTTCGCTTAGTATTGAATCATTTATTTGACTGAAATAATATAACCAAGTTTTATTTCAGTGTTCTGAAACATGTGGAGGAGGTGTCAAAAATCGCACTGTTGAATGTGTAACATATGTAATGAATGAAGTTATAAATCTGGAAAATGTTGATGATGAAGCTGACTTAATGGATATTGAAGAAATTGACATTCAGGACATTGATATGACTGGTGATGCGACTTTGAACGAACGAAAACAACCGGAAAAAAATTCAGAGGAAGTACTCGATTCTTCGGAATATGACAAACATGAGATCCTGATGCGTGCAAAGGGTTTATTGTCGAGTATTGAAATGGATTCCCTTATGCATGAAATAGATTTAGATGGATATGATGTAGAGAAAAATGAATTATGTGATTCTTCAAAGAAACCATTAACTCAGAAAGCATGTAATTCTGATGCATGCCCGACTACAACCAGGTGAAAATAATTTATTTTTGTAGCGGTACTGCTGTGCAAAAGTGGTTAGCAATAAATTAAGATTTTTTTATAAACTTGTTGGTGGTCATGACTGGCAATTAATTCAGGACTCCTTTTGCATGATATGCATTTTCATTTTCAGTTGATTTAAACTCGCCTCTTTCCTCAAGTCCGTTCTCTTGATCGATCGGTAATAATTCTTACAGCTTCATATACGATGAATTTTCTTTTTCCTGGAATGATGGTGTCATGTTTTTTCATTTCATCTTTGTGGCCCAAAGAAAACACATTTAATGGTCGAAAAGGATCATGCACTAAAATTTTCTTAATTGTATTGGCTAGGGTACCATGTGCATTGCTTGATGATCAAATTCAAATATTTTAAAATTTCAGTCCAATTGTGGAAACTTCTGTTGGACTTGACTGGGCAACGTTTTCACAATTTATCAATACATCCTCAGAAGATGAATTTGATGTGATTGCACCAACAAAACATGGTTCCAGTTTTGACACAGTTAATATAGAAAATGATGAACAGGAGATAGCAACGACTTCCTTGTCACCTTCGACCTCTAATATTATGGAAAGATCTTACAACAATAAAATTCCAGCTGGTATAATCAATAACAGTACAAAGATCGAAGGGCAAAGAAACTCAGAGATACTCAATATTGGTGAAATTCCAATCAGTGAACCCATAGAAGTTTCAGTTGATTACACTGTTACAATAACAAATAATGAAGATACATTCCAGGATTTTTATGATGACAGCAACCTGCCAACCAAATCAACAGACGCTGCTGAAGACAATTCTACAAAAGAAAAAAGTTTGGAAAGGAACAAAAATGAAGATTCAAAATATGATGAAACTTTGGTTGGAACATTGGATAAAATGGATGATCGTAAACAGCATGCAAATTTCAATAAACAAGAAAATGAGACGGATTTAGTCCATTATAATTCTACTGAAAATAAAGATAATAGGCAATTGCTCAATTTTAGTGATGCTAATTCAATTCCAACACAAGAAATCATGAAAACAAATTCTACGAGTACTGAAATTGTAGTACCTGACATTGTGAAAGATAACGGTAAAGAAGAATTCAACAGTAATGACAAGAACGCACCAACACAGAAAGTAAATGGAGTAGTTGATGAAGGTGAATTTCTTTTTTTTCATTCAAAGCAGTCATTAAATGAACTTTGTCTTGTCATGACATTTTTTCAATAATTTAGATAGAAATGCAAACAATTATGATACACTAACCTATCCCAACTGGGAGTTGAGGTTACACAACTCCCTACCCACCTTCTACGCCTTTGTGTTAGTGGATCTTATTTGTAGCAAAACTTGGCGAGACTGTAATACAAATCATTACCCGGCAAAAATCTTTTGAACTTTTATCCAAGCAAGGTTTATTGTAAAGACCATAATTTATTGCTGGACAAATAACTGAAGCCGTCATGTCAAAAAAATAAATTCTAGACTTCAATACCTTTTGATACAAGTTTAATGAACTGTATTCACAGATACAGAAGTCATTACAGAATCAACAACCAGTCATTTTACTACAACAAGCAAGTCTCTAATGACAAGCAATCCCATCACAACCTTTTCTACTTCTACAACAAAGCAAAATGTCGCTAGAAAGGTAAAGTCTACAACAACAAGCATACCAACAACTAAATTGACAACAACAACATATAAATTAAGCACTGATTTGTCTTCTACAACTAAGCCAACAACAGTAAGCAACCCAATCACTACAACCAGTGTTCACACTACTACAAGTAAATCTAGGACGACAAGCAAGCAAACAACTACAGGTTCAGTAAATATTGAAACAAGATCTCAATTGGTTTCCAGTACTGTAACTCCAGAAATGTTTGGCTCTCGACGTAAATCTCAGGAAATGAAATCCATCCATAAACAACAACAACGAAATTCAGGACACTTTAAAGATAAGGAAATTGAACCATATTTTGATGTAATTGATGAAACTGACACAAGACAAAAAATACAACTAAAAACTGATGATAAAAATGATCTCAAAACACCCGGCACTATAGCAAATAAAAAAGATTTAGTGATGGTTCCAGATCTACGGAATGTTGATTTGGACTTCGATGTTAAAGGTACTGTATAACATAAACATTTTGCATCAATATGCCATGATTTTTGGTATAATCACTGCCCTACAATTTTAGCAAAAAGACATTATAAATATTTTTTGATATCATCCATATATTTGCAATAAAGCAGACAATGGCTATTTTTATATTAGTATAATCTTGCCATGTATATTTTTTTCTTTTGGGTAGAAACAATGTGACAGCTTACCTACAACCATGTTTGGTATATGTATTAGCCATGTATAATTCATAGATGAACAAATTCTATACAATCCATGTAGCAGACATTAACAATATTTGCCTACACAGCACATTTCATAAATTTATATAACTTTCTCTTTATACTTCAACATTTTTCTTACCACAGTTTATCCAAATGAAAACACAAGAAATTTGCTAACAACAACCATTTCCACCACAACCGAAAAAATGAAAGAATTAAAAACAACCACTTCAGCCTCCTTGCCGGCAACTAATGATAAGCAAACGTCAACTATCTCAACAACAACAACAGAAAAGCCAACCACAACTAGCTTGATTAAAGCAGAGTGGATTGCTGGCAAATGGAGCGAAGTAAGATGAAAAAAGAACTCAAATTAAATAACATGTTGTAATGACAGTATTACTAACTATGCAAATCAATGCAACAATTTGAAGCAACAATTTAAAATTGAAGTTTGATTTTAGCATTTAACAAAGGCCAAATGGCCATAATGACACATGATAGATATTGGTAGGATGCAGGGTTCCATCTATTCGTTTTTGTAATTTTTTTCTCAAATCAATTAAATAATTGAATTAAGAAGAAGATAATTGAATTGAATTAAGATAAAATGTTATTGATGATATTTTGTGAAATTAGAAGGATACGCTTTATTCTCATGAACATACAAATCTAACTTTACATTTAAACCGTGCATTGAATAGAATAACTGGAATCTGTGAAGATTAGGACCGCTAACTTAATGGAAGGTTGTGATCCGCCAAATGATTAAGCCACTTTAACGTCTTTTCCCTTTCATTGGATAATAATATTGCAAAAATCCTATCTTATTCTTATGTTTTGATTTTGACAAATTTTGCCAGTCACTGATTGAATGTTTTTGCTGTTATAGTGCTCAACAACATGTGGTGTTGGTGCAAAAATTCGACAAGTTGAATGCAGTGTTTCGAATGAGAAGTTATGCAATGAAACTGATCGCCCTCCACCTGCAGTATTATGTAATTTAAAACCATGTGCTAAGTGGGTATATGGACATTGGACGAAGGTAATATATCATAAATTGGAAGTTTCAAAACAGTAATTTATAATCTTTCAATTTCAGAAAAACAATCATGAAAATGTCAGTTTATAAAATGATTGCAATTTGAGCATTCTCATCAGTCTGATTTTTTTCTGATTGTGCTCCACAAAATTGTTTGTATGGGTAATACTGATTTTTTGGAGAGAATGTTCAACTTCACAAGTATTATAAGTGAAAATCTATAAATGCAGCATGTTGCAAAGCTTAATTATTGAAATTACTTATCATGGAAAGGTACAGTTTGCGGAGCATTCTTACTTTTTATATAACTATTCTAATTTCTATCATCTAGTGTTCGGCATTGTGTGGTGCTGGTACTCGGACAAAGAAGATTGAATGTGTTGATCTGTTTACAAAGAAACCATTACGTCCTCATCATTGTAGATCACTTCCCCCTCTAACAAGTGTAAAGATATCATGTATTCAAAGTAAATGTATGCCGTGGAAAACATCCAGATGGTCTTCCGTAAGTTGTTTTTAATGTACCAATGTCCTCTTCAATGTGATATAATAACAATCATATATATACAATTAAACAGAAATTTCAATAGTGGAATAGAATAGAATTTTACCTGTGATGAAAAATGGTTTGTAGCAAGTATCGGTACTCGGTACTATTGTATAGAGCTATAACAATACATTATGATCGTATACGAATTTGTTACAAACACAATGGCACAATTTTGTGGGCCATTCTGATTGAATGTGCCTAACCACACAATCTCAACTAGTGCAACTCGAAATGCGTTCTTCAAAAAACGTGAATGATAGTTTCATAATAGCTCTTCCATTCTGATTTAAGGATTCTGCAAAAATATTATTTTAATATGTTTGAATTTAATTTATATCATTTTGTTCAGACTTGATTATTAATCAGAAATTATGGAATTCCTATTGTCTGCAGATCTGTTCCATACGCATAGCATAACATAGTTCGGGATATTGGACTTAATGAGCTATGTAGCCATCTTATGCTACAGACATATTTATACAATCAATCATGACATCCAACAGGCATCATTTTATTTTATTTTCAAACAGTGCAGCAAACCATGTGGATCAGGAGTACAGCTACGCAGAGTTGCATGCTCTCGTTATGATCAATGTGATCCAGCGTTGAAACCAAATCAGAAGAAATCGTGTTTTGTAAAGAAATGTGTTCAATGGAGACCACTTATATGGAATAAGGTATAGTTTTCACACAGTAATGATGCTAGTACTAATTGTGAGTTGAGCTTCAGAGAAATCAACGAAAACTATAATAACGAAGGCTTATTCTTGATATAGAAAATTTTATGAGCTGTATTGTTGTAATTCAACATATCTCATTTTTTTAGTGTTCTGTACATTGTGGTGGTGGATTACAGCGTCGACAAGTAATTTGTATTGAACAAGCGAACGGTATTCAAACAAACAGTTCAGAATGTAGTCCAGGTCTGAGACCTAACAGTGTTCGTAAATGTAATCAAGGACAGTGTCCGGTGACTGATTATGGTAAGTTACTTTTATAGTTATGAATGAACTCAATTTTCAAGTGTAATGCGCATATATTTATGAAAACTGGATGGAATTCTTCCAAATTTTATTTTCAAATTTGGTATATTCAAGTTGGTTATTGCAAGAGGAAAGTGCATGTGGAATTAGTTTTATTTGAAATCAGTATATTGATCATATTTGAATTGCCTTCTCAATAGATTTGCTTTACCAAGTAGTAAAGTTACTGTCCCAAACCCTATTAATGCTTGAAACTATATCGAATTTAAATGCCTTTAAGTTTGTGCTATCGTTTGGGTTTCTACAAGACTAGCTACTTCTCCGTCCTCTATGTTTTTGTGCCGGTGGATCCGTATGCATATAATGCAAGGATGCTGTAGCAAGAGTGAAGATAACTATCCTTAGTGATTCAAGAGTCTTGCTGCACACTAACACAAATATATTTCTGAAACGTTTCGTCTGACCAAGGTCAGACTTCCTCAGACATACCATAATTGCTTGCAATTGCTGTCCTTGTTTTAGCTGAACTATGTATGTCTGACCCTGGTCAGACGAAACGATGCAGAAATATATTTGTGTTAGTGTGCAGCAAGACTATTGATTCACTTAGGATCTTTAATTTTATATTAAAATCTTATATTTTAGAAAAGCAATGGTGCATTTTCTTAAGGTATTTCTTACCTTTGCTCTACACAAAGCTCTGTTCAAGCATTCATTTTATGTGACTCTACTGGATATTAGTGCAACTAGAATAATTTCTGTTTGGTGCATTGTCAAAAAATCTCTCGACTTAACATATTTAATTTAAAACTGAAATCACGTTACTTTATTCTCAGATTTCAGCAGTTGTCACAACGATCGTTTATCACCATCATTTTGTAAACTTCTTGAAAGTTTAGGAAGATGTGTTCAACCTTCACTTGCTATCCAGTGTTGCGTGACATGCAAAACCTTCCTCAGTGTCCGAAGCAAAGATAAAATATCTTGAATCGTATGTTTGCTTCAGAATATAGTCTAATGGCTCATAGGATCAAAATGTTGGAGAAAAAGCCGTGCAAATGTCACATTATAAGGGCAAATAGCATATGTCAAATGTTATTTTATATGTCCATATTTAAATGTCATTTCAATGTAACTTTACGGCATTTATCGCAAATTTGTCATTATCTGTACATTGAGACACAATAAGTGTGAGCTTGATATTATGTCATATTGTTTCAGTGTTACTGTTACCAGATGTGGTTCCCCATTTATTCACCAACTGTCAATGAAAGCTATGTGTTGACCTTCTATTGTATATTCAATTACACCATTGGCTTCTGAAATTCCTAAATTGGCTATTCTTTACACATCTAATGGTTAATTTGCCTTCCACGCACTCTTCAGTCTGTTATATTATCAATAAATATGAAAAATAAAGTTGATCAAAAATTGTTGTTGTTCCCAGTTGAAACCATATACAGTAGTTATATATACATATATATGTATGAAAAGAAATATTGGATGAATCCCGAAACAAGCTTTATTTCACCCATGTGGCTTTGATGAATACCTATCATTTTTGGGTTTGCAGTAAAATATAAGTTTAAGAATATTTGGGAAGAGCTCAAATTTGTTAAATACATTGTGTTATTTGGTTATCCTAGTTTCATTAGTAATGGTCATATAATTTTTTTGCGTTTTAGTTTCATAAAGCTTTATTGCATTTATTTGTTCCTTTCATAGTATTGTGTTATTTTTCCATCTTAATTTTTGCTCAATATCAGCATATTAGGTTACAAAATATCAGCATATTACATCTAACATTTTTTATTTTCATTGCTTTTGTAATATTATTTAATCGCTTATATTTTACTGTGCTTAACACAAAAAATCAAGGATTGTTAATATGCCAAGAAATGATAAAATCATTGCGTGTCACACAAGCAATTGATATGGTTCTAGTAAAATTTATTTATTTTAAGAATAGCCATAACTTTGGCTTATGGATTCTTTTTTAAATTAAATCAAGCAATTAACTTAAAATCTGTTCACGTCATTTGCGGTTTTAATAGTGCTCAAAATTTCAATGCCATTTTGTGAAAAATCCTTGTACGTCACACGAGCAATTGATATAATTCTAGTCAAATTTATTTATTGTGAGTATAGCGATAATATACCGTTACTACAAAATATGTTCATTTCATTTGCATTTTTTTAGTGCCTAGAATTTCAACGCCATTTCGTGTTTTCCAATGTTTGTTGTAAACTCTAAAAATGGAACCTCACCTGCTTAGGTTGAAGCTTCGTCAACACTTAAATTTTTTGTGTTATGTACCATGGTTTCTCTTTTCGACTACTTATTGGGGCGCTCCAGAAGTATGTGTACAAATATGGAGGTAACTGATTTTGTTCGCTTACTTTACATTAAGTTGTGTAAAGGGACTGTAACCTATGGGCAGGGGGTATACTAACACAGGCAGACCCCGAACCGTTAACAGAACCAAAACAAGGAAAATCGGAATGGAAATCATGGCCTAACCCTAACCTGGTACACACAACGGGAGTACCCTTGTTGGTTATATCATTTTTTTACTCTAGTACTTTTCCTGCAAAGTATTCTGCTGTTTAAAATTTTTTCATGATGCAGTGTTTTGCACCATCATTACTTGAAGTAAAATGTTTTCATCATTAGACCTTCATTAATAAGCATTAGTGACAATGCATGTGACGCAATTTTTTCATCATCTTAGTAAATTATAATACAAGATGATTTTGCATTTTAATAGAATAGGATGAATGGGGAATACAGTTTTACTCTACTTGGATTATAGATGAAATATTGGTACTCCTGAAGTATGCGCACCAAGATGTCGCATAACCTGAACCCTAACCTGGTACACAACCTGAGTTCAGGTTGTGCGCCATCTTGGTGCACATACTTCAGGAGGTCCGAAATATTAAACTTGGATTCAGAAGTACATTTTAAAAGGTTTAGTCATGCCTGTCAATAATCATGTTTGAAAACACATAAAGGCACAATAGGCTTATAGGGACTACACATTGCTCTAGTTTGCAACCACAATGAGAACTCTTTTAGTGTGCGCCAACACCACAATTGCACTTTCTTACAAACTTAGACCAATAGACACTCTTCAATAGCAAGCAACGACATCACCACATCCCGGAATAGACACAATTATATCAAAAAGTCTTTCTTTTTCAAATCTTAATCAGATAATAAAAACTGATTTAAATATCACGATATATTCTAAATCAGAGTATGTTTGAATGAAGAAGATAATCAGTGAAACAACAAAGTAGAAAAACAAAGCATCTGATAATTGTGATGCGTCCCATTTAATTTATTGCCCGTGTCCCCACGCCCTACTTTGTTTCGACATACGTCGGACTGTTCTTGAGAAGCCCGCTCATATCATTTCATGGTGCTCCTGAAGTATGCGCACCAAGATGTTGCATAACCTGAAGCTTAACCTGGTACACAACCTGAGTTCAGGTTGTGCGCCAACTTGGTGCACATACTTCAGGAGGTCCCATTTCATTTCTATGATTGTTCTTGAGAAGCCCGCTCATATAATTTCATTTCTATATGCCATACATACACCTTAATTTGATATTCCATCACATGATGCTTAAAGATCTCTAGTTCAGTAGCTTGACTCTAAACCCAACCAGCTATGGGTCAATTTGCTACCAGAATTAGCCTTACTTATAGCAATTGCACAATTGGTGAAGAGTGAACAATTTAGTTTAGCCAACTTATCAAACACTAGGCGAGTTTGCCCATTGACGCAGTCCATTCTTCTCCAGTTCCGCCTGTGATAGCAGTTGTAGGTTTTACGTTTTGGTCCCATTATAATATATATATGAATACACTTTTAATTAAAACTTTGGCTAAATTATATCATTCACTTCTTACCAGCTGTACATGTTTTAATACTTTCAATTTGCTACTAAAAAAAGTTTGGAATAAGAAACTAATATAACTCAATAAACATGATAAAAAGCTTTGATAAATGATTAGCAAGTTTCTTTACACGAATCCAAAAGGAGAAACTTCGATACAAATTATGCTAAGGTGCGATAAAAAACAGCATCAAAATTTTATTTCACTTCCCCATGTGTGGGATTTCCATGTATGACAATATGAAAGGCAATGAGAAAAGTTGGAAGAAAATTATTCAGCTCCAGAGAAATTAGAATATATCCATGGTAAAAAAACGGCGCCCAGTCCAATTACAAAAGCCATTACTGTTGTACCAAAATGAGTCCCCATTGCATCAGTCAATGTAGGTGATTGGTTTTTTAATTTTTCTTCATGCCAAGTTCTGTGTAGTGAAAACATATGATCTGAAGCACGTTGGGTAATATTTAACGCAGGATTTATCGGACTTAGATTGTGCATTCCCATCATTGATAATCCACACAATCCCATATAACCATGTAATGCATCTGTAAAAATGAAGATAAAACTGATATGTGAACATAGATTCAGCTCAGAGTTATAGATAGGTAGAACATTATAAGCCAAGCACTTTGATTATAGCGTTCTGCACAAAGTTTGAGAAGAGCTATAATAAAAGCTAAACAATTGTGCTACTTGTTTTATGTCACAAAAAATATCTGAAAATCTGTTCATCAATCAGTTATACATTAAAGTGAGTTATTCTCAGAATACAAAAATATTTTCCTCGCATATATATACTAGGCTATACCTGTTTCCAGGTTTCCTGAATGACCTCATAATTTCATTACATAAATACCGGTATGCAACAAGCAATTCAAATATTGGTTTAAAAAGAGAAAACAGCATTTAGTATCAAAGATTAATATTAGGTTACCTGGATGGCTTTGTGGCCATTTACCAAAACCTCCTATAACTGAATCTTGCGTTGATATAATATACTGTTCATTTTCGTGCCAGTCACACAGTTCCAAAGATCCGATCAACTACAGAAAATATATTGTAGATGAATTTAGAAACATAAATGGATAATAGTTAGAAAAATAGTATCATAATAAAATGATACATAGGTCTGTTATACTGTTTTGCATAATATACATTCGAACAACCTAAGCAGTGCGACCTTTTCCATAAAACTGCAAAATGTGAAGGACCTTTTGAGAGATAACAACTGTAAAAAGACCAGATGAACAAAGTATGCAATAATACAAATAAAATATTCAAAGTGAAGACACAATCAGGTGTCGCGAAAAATTTTGCAAGCTTGAAACTAGTTTTTGATCAATCATATCCACAAATGGATATTCTTTGAAAGCATTCAATGGAGCCACAACAATACTCCATAACCGACTTTTTCACTGAAAAAAAAATCACCTTCAATGAAGCACCAATCCAGAAGGAATAGCAAGTGTCATCATCTTTATGGGGTCTTCCATGAAATCCTGATTTTTGTCTGTTCAAACACCACCTTTGTAATCTGAAGACATGATAAGTCATTGGAATCACACACGCAGGTATTTTGATCAGTTTAACACAGAAAAGCCGAATTGTCACACTTCCAAAAAATTAATTATACCAGATTGTGAAGTTTTTTAAAAATTATATCAGTGAAGAAAGTCTTTTTTAGATTTCAGGCCTGGTCTATTGCAAAGGTCTTAACCTTTTATTCACTGGTAAACATTAACTGGTGCAGGTTATCTATATGAAGTTTCTAAAAAACAGAAACTTGATAATTTTAGTAGCATTATTGGTTGACGAACAAAATTTCAACTTCACCATAAGCCCTATTCCAAGCTGAGTTGATGAAAAACTATTGCTTTATTGCAAATGAAAAGTCGGGATTACTCCAAGGATTTAAAATAATCTATACAATACAAACCTCATAATTTCCTTCTGTGAAAATGCATTATGAAGTTGATTTAATAATAAAAGAGAAGATATTGCACAATAAGTTGAACCACCGTGACTTTCCTGGCCCGGTCCTTGACCAAAACCACCATCATATGACTGAAATTTTATAATACATAAAAGCGTTATCAAACTAGAAGATTAATAAGCCAAAAGTTCAGCGGGCTGGAAAAATAACATTTTCAGTCTTGATGCATATAGACTTACTAAATTCATTCTCTGTTTTATAGAGTGTTTTCAGAAGTTTCATTAAGAGGGTCAATAATTGAACTTTATCTGGAGGTTGTTAATTCAAACTTATTTTGACAATTCATTAACCACTAATATTTCATTCCTAAATTGTGGACAATCAATACCTGATTAACGTAAATGGAAAACCGGACCAAAAAAATAAATAACCAAAAATATCTTCAACATGAAAACACAAGTATGATAAATAATGCTTTTTAGTAAAAAATGTGACACAGGGGGCAAAAATCTCATTAGAATCCAATAGTAAATATACATTAAAACTCTAAATAAACATTTTTGAAAAGAAACTTTTCAAGTTAGATTTATTATTTATCATTTGAACAACAATTCCAGTACTCATTATTACCTTCGATTTTTTGATATAACTAACAGCAAGACTTTCATTTATTGGTGAAAAATCATCAAGCATTGTACAGATGCAACTGGCACAATAAATAAATCTCATGTCATTCTCACTTCCATCCAAGGTTGATTCAAAGCTACATAGAGAAGACAAAATTGAATGGGAATATCAATATCGAAGAAAATACCAAAATTGTTGATCTATGTTTGCGAAAAATTGATGGTCAAATATATTCATGCATATGATATCATACTGTTATTGGGCACCAGCCAATCAAAATTGATGGTAAGAAAATGTGCTACAACACTGGTCAAACAATGCTCCAGGAAGTGTGAAAAAAATTCAATAAAAATATAAAAACCTTCAAATAGACATTTAATTACAAATGCTCAAATGAGTAAAAACTTTAAAAAGATGGCAATTTTAGAAGAGAAAAGTGTTTTTTTCAACCGCAAAATCACCCCCATTCCTTCAATATTAGCCTATATCATAGCTTCAAATGAATTTGACAAAATTCAGTCACCTGCCATCTTTTAATTGTAAAGCTTTCAATCCCTCCAAACATGCAGTTTTATCAACTCTGGACAAGTCATCCCCAAGAATAATTAGACATGCAAGTCCAGTATATGTCATCGCTATGTGTCCACTATCAAAGGTATGTGCCACTTCAGCTACCTAAATAACAATCACTTATTTAGAAATAAAAAGAAATGGTATATTTTGATATTCAATTTCTAGATAATGTTAAACAGCAACAGAACTTAGTTATTTCAAACCAATCCCACACAGGAAAATAAAAGTCGCATAAACAAGCCATTTTATAATTTCAAATGTGAATGGTTGATCTAGTTTCTGATATGTACACACAAGGTGTATGGACAATCTCTAGGTTATGCAAAGGTACGTGTTGGTGTCATTCAACAAAATACCCTGTGTTATCATTAGTCAACAAGAAGGTTGGGTAGGTACTTCATAGCAAGATACAAAAGGAGTATGGAATAGCTTTAAATAATTCAGAAATTCATATAAGTATTTAAAAAAGCACGACATTATAATTTCACACATTTTTTTTTGATTTTTCAATCTTCCAGAACAAATTGCTCATTAATTAAGTCAAAGAATTTAATTGACTAAGTGTGGTGCACCTTTATGTCTTTATGTGTGGTTACTCCATTTGTAGTTGAACCTCGAAACCCACATTTACGTTTATTGCTTCCTGAAAACAGTCAAATGTATTATGAATAATATCCGCAAAGACTTTACCATCATGATTAGTGATAGGATCCTCAGCCAGAATTACAGATTTAATGTTAAATTAAAAGGAAATAGGCTAATTTAATTCATATGGAACAAAAATTTATTTCCGACAATTTGCTGAAATAAATGTTATGATTACCTTCTTAGTTACATAAATTTATCTCAGCTCAGGGATGGCCAATACCGAATAGTTCACTATTTCGAATACATTCGAAATTATTATTTTCGAATAAGAAATTTCGAATACTTCGAACATAAATACAAGCAAAATAAGCTTATCTTGGTGTATGTCAGTATTTGCATACAATAAACAATGGAATAACCGTTACCTACAAGCTGGCTACCAGAAAATTTATACCCGCTGTTGACGTGGTATTTTAAAGTTATTTTCATAAAAGTAATCCTTTCATTTTTTCGTAGAAGGGTGCAACCATGAGTTAGGCTACGTTGAACGCAATTAAATTAATACCGCAAGGCATTTTAAATTCTGTTATCAGTCGTCGATTAATTAAATAAGTCAATACTTTTAACTATCATTATCAAAACTATTTGCCGGAAGTGGGTAAAAGTATAAATTATTTTTTGTGAGTACAAAAATATAAATTAAAAATTAATTATATTCCGGCATTTTACCACACATATTTCCACAGATTGTTGCATTATTTTAAAGTTGTAATGCTTTTGTTTTTCGTAAGTACAAAACTGGGAATCGAAAATTAATCATAATCAGGCAGTTACCACACATTTTATGTCCACAGATTGCCGGCGTATCTTTTAGAGTAGTTATGCATTAATTCATTCGTAAGGTCGACGTAACTATGAGTTACCTTAAATACAATTAAATTAATACGATAAGACATTTTAAATGCTGTTGTCATCCATGAATTTGAATATTTTGTCGCAACGGAAAATCATCCTAGATAAAAGCCCATACTTTTATTTATCATTATCGAAAGTAGTTTCCTAAAAGTGGGAAATAGTATAAATTATTTTTCCGCCGGTACGAAAATACAAATCAAAAATTAATTGTAATCGGGCAGTTTACCACACAATTTATGTCCGCAGATCGTCTCAGTATTGAATAGTAATACTTTTATTTTTTCGTTAGTTGACCCAACCATGAGTTACGTTAATTACCGGTAAACAAATTTAAATTAATTCGGTAAGGCATTTTAAATGCTGTTATTGTTCACGAATTTGAAATTTTGTCGAAACGGAAAATCACCATAGTATAAAGTCGATACTTTTTGACTATCATTATCAAAATTATTTGCCAAAAATCGAGAAATAGTGTAAATGATTTTTCCTAATAAATCAACTCGTTTTTACCGACCTGCAACAATTTATTGGGTGTCGTAATTTGTAACAAAGCGTACGACTTTATTTAACTTATTTAATATCTGACTTACTGGTAATGGATTCATGTGAGACTCGTGACTCAATACAAATGAATGCGTAAATTAGAAGCCTTGCAAGGGAATGGCAATAGTGCCAATCTCACAACCATGCAAATGTGTTGCAACAATATGAGGCGCATGCTGACAAACAATTAATGCGTCGATACTATTTCACCGTCATTACAAAACGTAACAAAGCGTGGAAAATCGTCTGAAGATTTCTCTTTAAAACGAAACGAAACTCCTCGCTGACGGTGAAAAGTGGCTATTATTCGGAATTATTCGAAAATAAGCCGAAAAGGTATTCGAATACTTTGATATTCGAATGTTTTCGAATATTCGATTCGTTTTGGACAACCCTGGGCCACTCAGCTAATAAGGTTGTTTACAATAAAAGGTACTCCCGTAGTGTGTGTACTAGGTTAGGGTTAGGCCATAATTTTATTCCGATTTTCCTTATTTTAGTTCTATTACAAGTTCGGGGACAGTCTGTTAGCCAAGTGAATATATCCCCTACCCATAGGTTTCAGTCGCTTTACACAATGTGATGTAAAATAGGCGTTGATGTAAAATAAACAAAATTAGTTACTTTCATATTGGTACACACATTTCTGGAGCGCCCAATAAAAAGAATGAAAAGCACCAATTAATGAATTTCAAATTTTTGGAAATAACAGTTGCTCAATCTTCTCAATATCTTTTGTTTTAAAATATTATGACATGAAGTTACCATGTTTATCTGGAACAACTTGAAGACTATAGATCCAATCAATAATCTCTTTCTTAGTTGATGAAGACAACTTATTCAAAGAATTCAATACATCTAGTCCAGATACCGCGAAGAACGCAATGGTCAACCTGTGTATTGAAAAATTACTATTGATTATTTCCATAATTAAATTAGAGATTTGGTATATAAAAATTGTTATTTTACAAAATATCATTTTAACTCAAGTATATTCATATAGCAGTGTTTGGCTATTTCTATATTAAATTGAATATTCAGTAAAAAGGGGGCAACAAATGTGAAGTACTGTAGTGTAACTAACTTTTCAAAGACATACAGACATAGGTATTCCATTCATATCAAATCAATTGAACTTGACAGACTGCTACAAAATTCAAGCAATAACAATAGTAGTGTTTTCGTGTTGTTGTTTTTTGCAATATTCTGTTTTGAAATAAATTTTTTTTGGAAGACTTGAACTAACACTGTACGGTACCTAATAAATAATACGGTACTGTAATATTAATAATACTATACAAATATTGGCATATGTAGTCTTTGAGAAATAATAAACAATCTCTATTTATCATTGTAGTCTATATTTTATTGATACAGGAATACCTAAATAACGTATTCAATATTTGCTCACCTGTTGGAGTCCAAAACCTCATATCGACTGGGCAAAACTTGTAATGTTCTTGTGAAAAATCGAATGTGCTTGTCCTTGTCAAACTTCAATTTGTTTGATTCTGCCATACTTTCAATGATGTGTAAATTGAGTCAGTGTGTAGACTGTCACCAAGCCGACAAAGCAGGACCTCTAGTTCTAGTTTATCAGCAACACTATTGGTCGACTCTATTCGTTTCGCTCCTGCACCCCGTGAAATCAATTTACCAAGCCCAAACAATGCAGAAACGAACTCTTGCGCCAACTAGCGCATGGACAACACTGAATAATCAGAAAAGGAAACTAGCGAAAGAATATTTTTTTCCGAGTGGACAGCAAATTCCAGAAATCAGGAAGTTGCGAACTGGCTTACCTAGTTCCCAAAAGTCTGAGAGTCTTCGAACGAGATTAATGACTGAATTTTTTACTTACGAGTGGGGTTGTTGAAATCACTGAAGTACACAAATCTAAAAAGCGGATAAAATTTCTTTCAGTAGAGTGGGCGGCTGCAGTTACTAAAAGCTGAAATCAAAACAGAAGAATTATCCGCGGATGCCTTTTTTCGACAGAGCAAAGTGGCTGAAGTCGCTAAAATGTTGAAATCCGAAATGTCTTCGTACAGAGGGAGGCTGTTGAGGGTCGATCATTAGATACAGAGATAACTGAAATGTATTGTAGTTATACCTGTATACCGGTACCGTAACATCTCAGCAATTTATTTTTTGTATTCAATCACTGAATTAGTGCAGTACCGGTATTTCAGTATTTTGAATAATTGAACACGGAACAATTTATAATCACGATACTGTTATATCAGAGTATACAGATGTTCGATGTATTTAAAAAAAAATTACCTTATCTTTATCCTATTTCAGACTACAATTCTACAAGAATATAAATATAAGACTTATTATCTGCCCTCCACCATTATTTTATAAATTTTTGAATTTGTATAAGTAATTTGTTTTCAGTCCTTTAAAGCCTTACTGGGCTTGGCATGTTGGAGTGAATTTTGTTGTCATTATACGACTTTGCAGAAAATGTAATGATATCCATTTAAAAAAATTTTATTAAGGAAGTACCGTACTATGACAGGCTGTCATTTTCAAGTTACTTATGCCAGTATGCTAGGTTTATTACACCTCTAGCACACAGTTTATCGATATTCGAGCTGTCGGTTGAATGTTTGGGTCCGGTATAGTTTATACCACATGCACTTCTAGTTGGCCTGGCTCGACAATTATTGCATATGTCAATCCTAACCCCTACCTGACTACGTCACCAAAATATTACGTCACTACGACGCCACAGTAACGTAATAAATACCTCCAAAGTGTACATATGGTCGTCCAACATGCGCAGATGAAATCGAGCAAGCTATTTCTCTCGTTTTCTCGTTGCAACGAACCCGATACGAGAGAAGGCTGACGTTAGTGAGTTCGGTATAGTCTGCGCAGATGCCATTTCGGACGATGGTAGCTATACTTGGCAAGCTCTATGACGTGATTGTGAAGTCGTAGTGACATAATTTTTGGATGACATAGTCAAGTGGGAGCTAGGAATAACATGTACAAAAAAACCGAAAGTACTTGTGGTACTGAACTATACTAGACCCGAATGTTTATCCTCACTTCAAACTTTATTCCAAGCTGACTTGTTTATCTATAAGCTATACTATAGCTCTGTTATTGTCGAATGATGACTGAAAACTCACCCCAAATTATAATTGGGAATAATATTGTCACAGACAGTGGGAGAAGTCGACGACTCAGAAGGTAAGCAAATTTATCCCTTTTTCTCATTTTCATACATTTTTTTCTCTGAAATTATTTAGGTTTTTGCATTGTGCATAACAATTATGAATGTCTATTTCAACCCATAATATCTATTTTTTCCAATTTAACAAATATGATTTATTTGTTTCTCCAAAACAATTTTTTAAAGTTTGTAACGAATATTGTTTAGAAGAAATATGAGGAGAAGTTCTGCTGACATAATCGTTCTAGATAGTCCATCAAGTCCAACCACAACAAATAGTTCTGTAATACCGAGACGTCGTAGAAGAATGCTTCCAGAGTTGAACACCGACGCAGATACTAGCATTGGTAAATTTCAATGAGTCTCTGTATGCTCTTTTGTTTATCTCCAGCTGTATTTTTAACATAGGCTACATACGGTATGTTTTTTTTTAAAAGATTAATAATTGGGTACTCAAAAAACAGTATGATGTTTTAGTGTGAAGCTAAATCAGTTTTTCATTAAGGTAGTTTTATAGACTAGTTTTTCAAGGGATATTCTTTCAGGTTTTATCAATAATTCCAGCACATTCATAATGACTTTTCATTGAAGTCAATCGCTTCTCCCTTTTTAACACTTATACATCTTCACGCTGAACGAGAATCTTGTCAAGTAGCACCTGATATGTAATGAGCTACCAAGGTGAAGAAACAACCAGTTTGCCAAAATAATTCAGGACTTCAACAGGTTATAAAATCATTTGTACATGCCTTGTATTTTTTCTAGTTGATTTGACCTGTTCTCCAGATGCTATTGTTGATCTAACCTCACCAGATTTTAACACAGCAACAAGAGAGGTTGGTATATGTCAAAGCAGTAAAAAATTGTTTGTTTTATAATATGATACTAACTGCTATAAGAAAGGAGTTGTACCCTTCAGATTTTAAAATTTGTGTGGGCTATATACTTATGCCTTCGAAGCCTTTTGTCGGATAAAAGCAGTCAAATCAGCTCAGCACTTTTAACTGGCATTATTTTTTTTTTCTATTTTACATTAGCCTGCGCCAGTAACATTTGAAATCAGTGATGGAGAGGAGGAACTAAATGAATCTGTCGAAAGTCCAACTCCCACACAACCTGCGCTGTCGTGTCCTGTTTGTTTAGAAAGGTTCTCTAAGGTGCTGTACTTTTTCTAATTTACTTTTGAGGCTACTACTAATTTAATCATTTTAGTGGGAACTTGAAACTATTGTATGAGCAATATTGGCTATGTTTTTCTATGTTTGGGTTTCCCAACCAGTCCTCTATAGTTCAGTTTTGTCAATAAGCTTGTTATGTTATGAAATCAATCATTGTTATACTGATAATATTCGGATACAGATATCATATATTGTTGTGATATTTGCTTTATTCATCTGGGCTCTGTACTCCTGTTATTCTAAACAAAGCTTTCATATAACGCTGACACACTTGATTGTTTACAACAGGGGTCGGCGACCTACGGCCCGCGAATCCGGCCCGCGACGCTTCACTGAATTATAGGAACAAATTATAGCTGTTTTGTCGATTATATTGTTTACGCAAGAGAATTTACTTGTTGACTATATTATATTTTAACGCAATAAGTATATAATTCACAATTACTCGTTTAATGAGCGTATAATTTAATTATAATTTAGACAAATGGCAACAAAACGCAGAAAAGTTGATGCTAAGTGCAAATGGTTTACTGGTGCAAAAAATATTCAAATGGTCAGTCTTCGCGCGCTGCTTAAAATTTAACTTATGATCTGTGTGATTAAAATGTGATTCTTCGGTCATCCATTCGATTTTTAACCTTCTAAAAATATGTGTGGCCTGCCAATGACTTGCAACCTTTAATTTTGGCCCGCGAGCGACAAAAGGTTGCCGACCCCTGGTTTACAACTTTATATATGTTATTGACTTGTATCACAAACACTATTTCATTATTTACAATGGTGGATTGACTGTTCACAATGTTGAATACTCATCTGTTTTTTGCGTGAAACTATTATATAAATCCATTAATGAATGCCATTTTTGAATTGTATTGATTATGCAAATGACTCATGGCAATATTCCTTTTTCCAGATTGTTCGAAATGGAGGTCAAGTAAAATCGACAATATGTGGTCATATATTTTGTAACGTTTGCATAGCAACTGCAATACATCATAATAAAAAATGCCCAACTTGCCGAAAGAAATTGGATTCTAGGAAAGTACATACTCTATACTTGCCTGTTTGAAAAAAACTTGTTCTTGCTGAATTGACTCAAAGTCATAAAAAGCTAGTTTCTTGTTTGAAATGCACTTTTTTCTCACATTCCTTCCTTGTGTAAGTTTTTTGTGTTTCCTATCATTGCATATTTAGACTAAAAGCTGCATTTTTTCAAAATGGCGACTTTTAGCAAGCGCAGGGTAAAGTTGAAGTTTTTCTGCCTTTGACAAAATGTGATTTTTCCACTCTAAAGGCTCCAAAATATATCTTGTGTTGTGATCACTGCCTATCATATGTTGGGCATCCATCTGCTCATTTAGTGTCATGGTTGTTATTACTAATTTAAACACATTCAAAATTGGATCTTGTATGAAACGTCCATATTTTTTTTCCGAAATTCAGAAAAAATATTTTCAAATATAAAATATACTTTGAATGGGGCTCTTTCAACAACAACATACACAATTCATTGTATATTTACAAAGATTGATGTTTATACCACTGAAATTTTAACACCAGACGTTATTAAGATTGGTTTACTGTTTGTTTACAGTTGTCAGAATTAAGGCAAAGCAGTTATTCGTGGAATATTTAGTTAGATGTCAGAATAACAATTCACTAGTGATAACTTTAAAATCAAGGTCCACTATATCGAATATAATGTATTTTTATTATTCGATTCATTTTGAACATCTATTCTTCAATTACTGAATATTTTCATTTTCATGTTTCAAGTAAATAATTCTCAATTGGATTTTGGCACAGTCTTGTTATACATGTTTTGTAGCGTTATGCTATGAAGGATGTTCCCTGTTGGTTGATTACTGTAATTATTGGTATTGCATCTCGTAACAGTGTTTGTTATGGTTCATTTGTCTTCACCACATGAATGTGTGTATGATGCACGCAAATTCTCACAGTAGCAATTCCTATTTAAACTTTGCCAAATAAAACCCTTTCATTGATAACACTGCATAAAGGGTCTTTTTGAATGATCTCTGCTAGGCAGAAATGTATAAAACCTGTGAATTCTTTATTGTCGCTTGTTATATTCTATTCAAATTTCTTTGTTGTAAGTTGAACAAAACCATTGAAACTATAGGACTGGCATATTTTTCAATGAACAAGTTGCATGACTGCCTTTCACTCTCAAGCTTTCGGACACATTGTGAAACTTGTTTTTGTGCGTATACTTATATTACTGGCGAAATTGTCTTAGCAACTATTCATTTCTGAGATGGCAGGTGATATGAGCTGCTGTGCTGCTCTTTTACTATGAAATTTTTTTCTGTGTCACAATAAAAAACCTCACGGATTGGCTGGTAAATCCATATAAATCAATATAGATTTTAACTCTTTTGACAGATTATCTCAAGCTCTCAACTACAAGAGCAAAGATTTTAGATAGCATTAACATGACATTTGAAAACAATTAGAGTCAATCTTGTCAGGCAACAGCTGATTGAAAACTAGTTCAAGTGAAAATTTGATTATTTACATGGCTTTTCCCAATCAACCGATAGTAGGCTCACTATTGGTGACCTGAATACATATTAAGCAGGATCAATATGATGTGCTGACGCTTTGGCATATAATAAGTAGTATAGCCACAGACGAAGGCATGTTTTTAACTCTGAAACGCCCAAAATAATTTATTATAGTCTGTTTCACTCACGACCAAGACTTGCGGAGTCGCGGAAAATTCGCAATAGACAAAAAATCTGTCTCTCGGCTGAGGGAAAAAAACTAGACTGGAACTAGACACCAGTCCCGAACACCGAGAAAATCAAAATTTGGTAGTGAATACTTGGGCGTTTGAATGTCTACGTTTCCGACTCCAGATAATTTAGACTCCGTCTCACAGGAGTTTGAAAACACGACTCTTGACTCTAGAGAAAATATATTCGAAATTCTCGATTCCACAGCACTGCTCACGATCTCCGAATCGGACACTTGGTTGGGACGCAGCAACAAAGTCTCGTTTTCTACCAATTGAAGCCTTAAAAAATACAGTTTTAAGTTTAAGTAATTTTCGGAGAAAGTCGTGTAACCAATTTCCTTATAACTTAGATGGTGTTGTTATTGTTTGTGATAACAAGATTCTTTCCACCTTCCTGCCTCGAAGAATATCTTTTGAAATAACACACCAGTTAATGAAATTCTATATTTTTTGGTAGCGAGCCAAATAATAAAAGATTTTATTATTCCTTTTTCGCCCTCCGTTTTTTCTTCCGTGACGTCTGATTTTCTGTAAATTGAAGCATACTTTTCTTAATAGCTTCTCGAGATAGATATTTATCGTTCGTATCATCATCATCTCCGAAGAAATCCTCTGTCATCAACAAGTCATCTTCATCAGCTATGCAGACCCGCGTATTGCCTGGTGCGCTGCTTGTAGCGGTCACAAGCAGTTCTTGACCTTCTTCAGTGGGAAATTCAGCAAGGAGATCCTGTGAAAATGTGTAATCATTCTACTCGTTGTCCAAGCAAGGCTTTCGAAAAGCTTATGATTAAATAGTCGAATACTCCATCAAATATACCTAGCTGCATGTTGGAAAATTCGTGTTTGAATATGTGGGTGTGAAGCCCCATGGCAGGTAAGGTGTAAAATTTTCATATTTGTCGCGGGGAATTAATGACATCTATCGTTTTTGTTGATTCGGTTCATTGGAATCTATGTACCGTAGGCTAATCTATCAATTCTACTTACTTCTTTGGTTTGACGAAAGGTTTCTGCCATTATTTGGAGTTCTTTGAGTTTATCTCCACATGCGGATAAAAGTCCTGCTACGTCGTTCGTTTGAACTCTCATTAAATCCCCCGATGAAACTACCGCGTCGAGTGGGGGTATTCTCGCATTGCGTTTACGAACATGCTTCGGTATCTAAATAATTAGCAAACGAGAATGTGATAAATCTTATTGATTAACTGGGAATACATCACCAACTTTGGACAATGGGGACAATATCCCCAAGCGGTGACAGAAAAGTTCGTTGATTATTGAATTTAAAATTTTATTATTCTTTGCTGATGATGATCCAATCCAAAATAGGTACGCTGTTTTTAAAGGACAATATTATAGTCTATAGATGCGCAAATATTTTATGATTGTGCGCCCAATACTGCTTATCCTACGAACTAACTTTATTACTGTAATCTAATCAGCAATAAATTTCAGCAATTAAAGCGTTTGTCTATCAATTACAGACCCAGTCACACGTTGAAGTTTTTTGATGTATTGTTGATATTGCGTTTATAACATCTGTCAATATGGCTTCCAAATTCAGTGCTTTTTCTTTAACGATAGTTGTGTCGTTTTGTAAACAGTCCAAATTCGAGAGTTTATCCGCGTTATGCATCTCAAATTCTTCAATCATAGCATGGTGTGATTTTGAAACTGCATTTAACAATTCCTGCTGTTGACCTAAAAAGGGTTTGATTTATCGGAATAACTGAGAATCTATCAAGCAAACCTTTGTATTGCTTAAGTCAGACAATTCTGATGACTGGCAAGAAGATACGAGTCACGGGGTTTGAAGCTTTCGGCCTATAACAAAATCGCAGTTTCTTGAAAATTGGATATATATATATAATTATTCAGGAATCTACAAGCAGGCACCTTCATCACTTACATGTACATTCGTTAATTAAAGCGTGCAATACCTTACATAGGGTTCATCAGTTGTAAGGCTAGCTAGACTATTCGCATGTACAAGGGTAAAAAAGGATGAAGATGACGTCACTTACCTAAATCACGCATCCATGCATTTTTTTTGAAGTTCAGATTTTCAAGAATGTTTTTCAGTTCATTTTGTCTGGTGCATTCGACGTGTGATTAATGATACAATTTTAAGCTGATATAGATTATTAATTAAATAAACGACTGTAAAGATTATGTCTAATTTCTGAGTTTGGAGTATACGATGAGCAAATATAGAAGGAACGGATAACTGAAAAGGGTTTGAAGGATTGGCAAATATCTCTAGCTAATTCTATAATCTAAATCGATAGCACAATAGGTGAGTGAACCCTTGGCAAAATATATATTCTGTACGTTAAACCTTGTCTAAGGTTTTGTTTGCGTTTCTGTTTTTCATAATCAGTTTTTATTTAGTTGTTTTTATCAATCATTTTATTGCCTGTTATGCTGATTATGGAATCGAAATAAACCTATACTTTATACATGTTTGTTTGTCACATTTTGAATGTTTCCCTTCTCCGAATATAAAATAAACGATTTTTTCAATCTTAGATAACATAAGTTCATCATTTACATGTCATTAGTATAAATGGGTAGAACTTTACTCACCTATTGATTTGCTTCTGAAAACAATACGCAATATCTTGTGGGCGAGGAACAGACATTTTTTCTTGCAAGTCATCCATTGCTCGTTTTGTCATCCAAAATTCCCGCACCTTTTCCCAAAAGCTTGCGCTTGTTTCCTCCTTTGGTGTCAAAAACAATCAGATGAATTTGGGAGTTGAAATGAGATTTCATTGATTGATTTTTTTAAACTTTTGAACGTGATGCCGCAAACTATTTAATGTTTTCTCACATGCTGTATACTTAGCGAGTAGAGTGTATATTCATTCTGACCTGATCGTCTGCTTCTTGCCTATGTGTAATCCGCCTTCGTGGTCGATATTCCTTTTCTTCCTTCTGATTCATTTTCTTGAATTTTCGCCTAACTTCAGCAAGGTCTCTATCTCTTCGCCGTTTCTCCTTCATTATTTTTTCTTCCATCTTTTCCTGCGAAAAGTGACAATTTTCTGTGTGCTTACTTTCTGAGAATTATGAAGGCGGGGTGTCGCTTAAATTTGCTAGTGTGTAGCATGATTGAGTATAAGTACCTTGACAGATTTCGTGTTACTGTAAGCTTTTCGTGCATCAACCTGGATTTGGAACAAATCTCCATCTAATTCCGATCTATTATTTAGGATGCTTTGTTCCAAAGCACGAAGCCGGCCCGGTAATTTGAGGTTCTCTCGCTCGAGATGGCGAAGAATCTATTGAAAATAACAATGGCAAGTTACTGTGAGAATATATCAAATAATTAGATTTAGTCGCAATTTTTCGTGTTTTCTAATTTAAAGTCTCCAAATTTTCCAGTTGTTCCAACGGAGTATAAAGAGGTCTTGTTGTTTAGGTCAAGACTTACATCAAAAAAATATGCCAGTCCAGATTTGAGCTATTTGATGTACAATCAATACCTACAAACTCAGACTTTTTTCCCTCTGCAATATGTGAGGTTACAAGACATTTTGACAATATTTCCAAACGTTGAAAGGTAGGAATAATAATTTTTCCGAATATACCTGCAAATACGTTCTCTGTATAAAGCAAGCGGATGAATATTTCATTTGCATTTTATCTATTGATGTCGACAAAACCCGCAATCTTTGGTCGCTTCCATCTTTGACGTCTGCGTTTGCATCTCGTTTCATAACTTCCAAGATGAGTGCGAGATCCTTCCTTTTTCGAATTTTTCTCTTTCTCTCATGCCTCGCTGCATCCAGTTGTCCGACTTTGTCGAACACATGTTCATTTTTCTCTTTCTTTGCTTTGTCAACGGTGTACCTTCACATGCAGATACAAAACTTGAAATACTCACAATCGAAGCTAATTTTGACTTGGAATGCGATGATCACATTTTTCGTCACAAAACATTCATTAGTTGGCGCTAAGGAGAATTAGAAGAAATTTAATTTTACCACTTGCTCTTGCCATATATGTGTATAAGTAACAATATATTGGCCAGTAATCATCATTGTGTACATACTATTACGTTCATCTATATTCGTTGAAATCCAACTCGTGAATAAGCATGGGGCCCTAATACCTGTATAAAAGGGGGGATATTTATATGGAATTAATCGAATAAAAAAACAGAGTCGCTTCTTTCAGATTTTCTGTCTCTCCTAATTAAGTAGAAAAAGGACAAATATAACCTTTTGGTTTCCTTAACCTCGTTCAGAATTATAAAAGCCTTTAGATTCAGTATGCTTACCGAAAGTTAAAAAAAAAATTGAGGTCAAAAAATTCGTACCTTTGCATTGCAAGTTGACTTTCGCGATGCTTTTTAAATCCTTCCCTGATGACATGGTCGTCAGCGTTTACGCTCATTTTCATAAGCACGCGCTTCTCGTGAATCTCCGATCTCAAACTTTTGATCAATTGTTCATTTTCTTTTATTTGTTGCTGAGAAAATACGTAATAAGCTTCTTGGTCTCTTTGCTTCAACGTGAGCTTCCCTGCAAATGTATTAGTATTGCGTACTTAAAATTAATCACAATTTATCTATTCAAAAACTGATTTTCAGAAGAAAAATAATCGGTGTACATTTTCTACTGCTCTTATTTAACACAAACACCTTTTAGTTAGTCAGGTCACATTTTATGCATCGTAACTTTCGTCCAGGAGGATAATGTGCACTTGTGTCGAAAGAAAAGGATGTTTTGTCTTCTCGAAATTAAGTGCTTCTTTTTCATCCTATTTTGTGTGATTTTGAGGACGCGCAAAACTTCTCTTACGGTTTAACTATTTCTGAGTCGGGATTTTCACATTACATCAATTACTTCAACTTAGAGATATAAAATTCAACAAAAAAACGCTAACCTCTAATTTCGGTTATTTTATCTTGAATAGCCCATACACTCGGATCTCCAGTCATTTTCTTATCTTTTCTTCCTCCTTGTCGATATTTAATCATTTTGATTTCGACAGTGTTTTTGTTGGCAATCTAACCCCCTTTTCGAAAGTATCTGGTCAAAAAAGGCGCAATTATTATAAATACAATTTTGGATTATGACGTCACAGTAAAATTTGTCAAATCGATAATTCTACTTCAGTTCATTTTGAACATGTAATATTAGTGAGTTAACTGACGGGGGCTTTGTTGCCTTATCTGCAACAACCTCGTTATTGGAATAATAAGATCAAAACCTAATCCAGTCTAACCCAGACAACGTCAACCGAACGATAAAATATTTCTAACTGACCACAAACAATAACCCGGTTTGTGCATGACATTAATGTAGCGAAGTTTTGTAAACAAGTGCATTCATACCAGATGTTTAGGTATTAGACATCTTGGGTTATTGATTATGTTCTGACAGTATCATTTGGAAGATAAGTGTGATTGTGTGAAAGGGATAGATAGTGCACAGACGATACCAATTACACAAACTTAACCAACAAGCAATTGCATCCTATTTAAGTTCAAAATGAAAATGCAGAAAAATCAAATCCAAGTGTTTTATTGAAGCGTTATCAGTGGCCCGAAATGTGCGATCTTCTGTAATAATTACGTGAAATAAATGGTCTGTGTGATATCACGTTCATTCACCAATGCATAATTATGCCTTGAATATTACCTGTCTTTGATTTGAACTGCGAAGCATAAAAGGTAAGACACAGATCAGTCCTTTGACTCCATGCAGTTCATTACAACATGGTAATCGCAATTTCTTGTGTGGTCCGACTGCTGATGTAACATCTCGAACTAATAGGATTGTCCCCCAATTTGCAAGAATTCCATTAAAACTTCCAACAAATCAAGCTTGCTAGTGGTGTATTCAAAATTCAACCGGAAGGAGTTATTTGCAATTGATATGCATAATAATTTACCCAAATCAAATCATACCAGAATATCTATTTTTCATAATTAATTTTAACTGGAAAGCCGGGTGGTCGTTATTTCTTAATCCAATTCGATATTCAGTTTTGGTATTTTGCTAATATTTAATTTCTTAATTATTCATCATTACTTTCATATTACATATACCAAATTGAATGTTATGGTTAAGTTAATGATCCATAGGCAACATATTTTTATACGTTGGTACACCGGTATGCGCTCGTTTACATATTTGACAAAGTCAAGAGGAAACACAATCAGTTTTTTTCTTATCAATTTAGCTTCATCAATTTGTCTCATAAAAATGCACTGCTTTAGGCTTTGGACAAGACGGAAACGGTGTCGGACGTTTATCTAATTATGCTAATAAATTTGAAATTTGTCTACAAAATATCATAAAATATTATACGCTTTTACACTCTATGTTTCAACTTTTAATATTTGAGTTTGGATTTGCAAATTTTCTTCCAGTTGGACTGTCTATAACTAAATATAGAGACATAGTAAGGACAGTTCTCCTGGGAACAAGAATCCATGAAACGCGCTTATTAAATTTTTTTTAATAATATTAATGGAATGTGTTTGAAATTAATGAAAAGTTGACTCATTCAGAGACAAGTACCATTTGAGAACGGTGAGATCTGACGTCATCTTCACAAAAGTGTACGAAATACCACAGGATATTTTTTGACTATATCCTATCAGAATATTTCCGCCCAGTTATAATATTATGTCACCGGATCATGTTTCTAACTTTGCAAATTGCAGATCTTATGTCGAAAACATAGAAATCTGGTACTCCCGTAGTGAGTGTACCAGGTTAGGGTTAGGCCATAATTTTATTCCGATTTTCCTTATTTTAGTTCTAATACGAGTTCGGGGACTGTCTGTGTTGGCCAAGTGAATATACCTCCTGCCCATAGTAATCAGCCCCTTTACACTTGATGTAAAGTAGGCGAACAAAATTAGTTACCTCCATATTGGTACACATACTTCTGGAGCCGAAAACCTATTACCTTTCATTTGTGTTTCAATATAATTACACCTTATTGAGTTAGCTATTTTGTTATTTTTATTAATGGTTTTAAATGAATATGGTATTATGTAAGAATGTGTAGATTCTACACATACTTTAGAAAACCAGATTAGCAAATCACTCCAGTTACCGTCAAAATACTTTTTAAATCCGAGCAAACCACATGAATATCGACAACACATGACTCATGCCTTATTATAACTTTCTCCTGTGGCCAGACAAAGGCGCCGAACACGCCTCAAAAACATTTTGGCCTTTGGGTTTTACTAAGTGCTTACAAAATTCCATAATTTGTATTCTGATACCTCGCGTGTAAACAATCTTGCATTATTCATCTCTTAGAGCTCGTTAGACATTTTCTTGCAGAACGATTAATTTAAGTCGTCCATTTCATTTTGCGCTTACCATGAACAACGTGATTTTACATGCCTTCCTAAATCATACCTTTTAATTTTTTTTTAGTTTATTTTACAGCGTCTCAATTTGCGGAGGCAAACTGTCAACTTTGTATCATGCTTATAAAGGCAAAGATGGCATGTATATAAACGCATGAAATGGAACCTTTTAAAGCTGCAAAGCTATTTACCATTCTTCTGAAAATGGCAAATTAAAAACAACACTTGACCTCGGACTTCAGAAATTGTACGTAATTGGTGTTTTCTTCGTTTGTCCATTATGTCACACAGAAGTGCATTTTTGTAACAGTCGATAAACATATTTACACAGCAGCGTGGCAGCGTGGAGACTATCCTGAGGTCAAATGTTAATCCTTTTCTGACATTTCCGAATTCAAACTGGAATTCTTACTGAAATAGTTGAGAAATGCCATCATCGACACTGCACCGGACCTCTTACAACAAAGTGACTCGAAATTTTTGATATTTTCAGAACAATATGAACAAATAGAAAAAATATGTTCTGTTCGAAAAAATTAACAAAATGGGATGAATTGTATTTTACTTACCACCAAGGAGAACGTTTGATTCAACAAGCGTACCACATAGGTTATTTACGTTCATGTAAATTGTATGTTCTAATTAAAAATATATATTAATAAATTGCTAGGCACGCATTAGTAAATGCTTCATGAGTGACATCACATCTATTGATTAGACAAGATAATTCATTTCCAATGAACGAGAAGAGATCATAAACGCCCAAATAATTCCGAGACTTCAGCGAATTGTTGTCATAGTATTTTATAATACACGATGACCCCCCAAAAAAACAACTCAGATTATTTGCAACATATTCAAAAGAGAATATATATAACTTCTATGCCAAGCGGCCCAGCCTCCCAGGTTACTGAAATTTATGAGTACAATCATAAAACAGAGATGCAGGTGTTAAATAATTTTTCGTCATTTTTGCAGAAGTAAACAAGAAATTTATGGGTTCTGTTTTTAAGTCACCGTTCAAAATAAAAATATGAAGCAGCATTTCAAAAAAAAATAAATATTTTGGCGGTATAGCCAGATACGTTTACCAAGGATTTACTTGTAATTTCATTTGCATCAAATTATTCAGGATATATATTTATCACTGTTTGAGTCATAGTTAAAATCATTTATGAGTTATTAATCATGAAACAACTCAAACATAGTGCTCGAAAAGTTCCATGTGTTACATTAAAGTTTCATGAACTTGACCTTCATGTGTTAAATATTCGAACCGTGATTCAGGCTAGGATACGAGAGGCCTCAGTGGCAGTCCATATTGAAACTATGCTGCCACCAAAATGATTGTGTTCGGCGTCACTATTCTGTTCATACATGTAAGTGTTGGGAGCATGACTATTTCTGGAAACATATGCCCTGCTGTTTTAAACTTGAGGTATATTTTAAATTTTTTTCCCAACTGAAATATTCATAGACAGTATTACTATTTATGTTGCTACTCTGCTCTTTGAACCCCGGTATGACCTCTCAGGTGTCATTGAGTATCGAATATCGCATGTAAGTCCATTCACCCCGGTTAACGAGTGATACGATATTCATCGCTTAAAACAAAGTTACGAAAATGAATTTTGTTTTACTCTAACTGATAATTTGAATAACAAGTCGGTACAACAATTTTCATTATAGATGTGCATTGATAACCTGGTATGACGTTGGATTGGCCTTTGCACGGACAACAAAATAATTATCAGAGTAACGATGAAGTGTTACAATGATGCCTATTACACACAGCGTATACGGATATCGAACGATCTTTGGTTTTTGTCGCTATGAAAAATTCGACGACACTGATATGACGTACCACGATGGAGTTTTGCATTGAACGCCATCACTGCTTAGAACAGAAACGAAATTAATTTCTATCGGGTCAATAATTGAGTATGTCGGACCATTGATTTTTATAAGTAATTATTTGCAATATTAACAAGTTTTTTATGGCTTCAACAATAAAACTCCACGCTAGTTTGTTGTATATTTGTTCACCTCAAATACAGTATTATGGACATTGGCATTTAACTTAAAACAACTGTCGTTGATAACATATAATGCCCTTCTGTGTATCGCTGCAAGACGGCGCGATTTATCAATGGCTCGATGTGCAAGTAAACAAACGTTTAGTTTTTGATTATGCCACGCAGTTATGTTCAAAAATATACGGGAATGGTTGAAGCCCAGCCATTTATATTTCATAATTTTGGTATTACTAAGAATTTGCAATCAACTACACACATAATATGTGTAGTCATAATTTTATGATACATGAAAACGAGATTCTATGACGTGCACATAAACCATGCTGTTTCGACGTATATCTTAATCACTGGTAAGCTTTGTCAATAACGTCTAATAACACAAAATGATTGTGTTTTAATTAACGTAATTCGACTTAAATCTTCAGGGTAATTTAGATTGTGGTAATGTTTAACATTCCGGACTTTAAAATAATTGCTTAGTATAGGAACTCTCGGAAAGCAGTCGTGCGTTTTAATTACACAGGGAGAAAAATGTGAATTACTACGCTAAAACAAACATTTATTCACGTCCCATATTTATTCAAACAAAGGGCATCATGAGTCGTATTCCAGACCTCCTAGCCTATTTGCGAACTGTGACAAAGAGATTTAATTGCCGTCGTAATTTGCTTCCGGGTCGAACTCTAACTGCCCCTTTTGAATCGGAAAAGGTGGCGAAAGATTATCGTACGCGCATTTCTCGAAACCCTCATTATCTCGCTTTAATCTACGCTAATCGAATGGATTATGGAAGCGCCATTCTGATATGCCAGGCTGCCGCGAGGCTGATTTTCGTCAGCGCGAACTAAATCCTCTCTACGCACATTGTTCGAGAAAAAGGGAAAATTGTGTAGAGTGAGAGATTCTTATGTACAACGCTCCACATTTCAGACAGACACATTCGTGATTCAGTTTGTTGAGGTGAGCATCGTCTCGTGAGTCAGCTGGAAAATGACAATAGGTAGTATTGTTATCGTGCTTTTGAACGCACTACTATGCTCAGCAAATACTTTTGGCGCTTTTACTGGCGTCGATACGGCATCACCATTTGCGAAAAACTTTGTGTGTGAACCTATTCCACACAGTCTAAAACTATGCCGGAACATTGCCTATAACCAAATGAGGTTGCCGAACTTATTAGGCCATGAAACCATGGATGAAGTTAAGCAACAGGCAGCAAGTTGGGTTCCGCTACTAAACAAACGTTGTCATAAAGATTTGCAGAGACTTCTGTGTTCGTTGTTTTCACCAGTGTGCATCGAAGATTCACCAGAACCGATCTACCCGTGCCAGTCACTTTGTCAGGCGGTAAAAGGTGCCTGTGAACCGGTAATGCAAAAAGTTGGATACCCGTGGCCTGACATGCTTTCCTGCGATAAATTCCGCGATAACGATATGTGTGTTCCACAAGAATGTCATCACAATTGTTCCAGCTATGCTGAACCAGAAAGTAAGTCAAATTGTGCTCTTGCCAACTTTTTAATAAAATAAGTATTTTCGGTCTATTGAAACATAATTTTCTCGAAAATCGCCTTAAATTCCGTTCCCACACGGCCAGAAAATTTCGAAAAGTGACCTACTTTAATTGCATGGTTGAACATATGAAGGCAATAATTTAGTACTTGTTTTTGGTGTTTCTAGATAGATAGATTCCGGTTGGTGTAGTGTGACTAAATTTGGGTGTATAGCAAATTATTCGTGGATGATAAGGTGAAAAACAAATTTCAGAAAATGCAATAACTGTGTATAAAAGAGTAGAAATAGTGTTTCTAATTAAATTGGGTGTATTGCTGAATTGTTTGTATATCTAATTGAATGATAAATGAAAGGAAAAACCGAAACGACCACAGTATTTAGATAAAATAGTTTTAAGGATATCACCGTGCTGACGTATATGTAGCTGAATAAACAATACCACCAGTTACTCATACTACATATGTTACATAAAGAAAAGTGTTCTTTCATCTTTTAACTATTAAAATTCTTTTTAAATAGCACTTCATTAACTTCAACTTTCTTCTCTTGTTTGTGTTGACAATAATCTAGGTACAGTAGAAAGCACGAACCACACTATCGAGAATAACATCCCAGCAACCACAAGTACGATTAACGCATGTTTGTTTTCCTAATTGTTGTTTTGTGTTATTATTTTTTTCTCTCTGGGCTCTAATTGGGCTGTTAGATGTCTATTTACAAATAGAACATAACATCATAACTACGAAAATAACTCAGTTAATGCATGGGTTTTAAATATAGCCTGGTCTTAATTTACTCAATTAAAACAAGCTACACTTAATATCAATATCTGCGAATAAATACCTTAGTTATGTCCCGCTCCAACATTTTAAATCTTCTAAACATCTGATCTCGAGATCTCCAATTACCAAAATACGGTATATAAACAGTTTTCTGACATTGGCACAGTAATCTAAATTCTAAAGCAGTAATTAAATGAGCGGTTAACAACTTGTTCTAATCTTTAACGCAATCGTTGGCTCTTATTCAATCTTGGATAACTTGCATCGACTATAGCTAAGTATGAGCAAAGTAACGTTTCGCTTACGGTCGCCCAGTTATCATAATAACCAAAATGATGTTTCGCGTACGGCCGCCCAGTCGCTTTCAAATTGAATTATTACGTATTATTTGGGCACAGAAGCTTTCTAACAACAAATTTATGAACGAAGTGTAACAATATGTTAATCAGTGCTGTTTGCGCCCGAAATATTAGAATCTCAAGTTTTTATCATGAAAATTTAACTTTTATACAAATATTCGCTCATGTACACCAAAATTACATTTTATATATATGATATATATATTCCATTGTTTAATGCCTCGATAGTCTGAAATGGCCTTTTCAAGCGCCCTGTGGCTGTCAATTTTGTGAGCACAATCTCTTCTAATCGGGATAATACGCCGGATAATCTTTGCAACTCATGCGTGTTTTATATATCCACGAAGTCTCGAACCTTGTCAGAGTAAATCAGTAAGAGTACAATGTTCAATGCCGGTGACATTTTAATACTAATATGAGCATGGGATTTCACGTAACCTCGTTTCAAAAGCCTTATATAGAGCGAAGGTGTACATTTATCGTAAATGTTTTTAATATTTTTCATAATCAATGTTTTTTTCGAATCTAATTTCCCTGTGTCTTATCTTCCGTTTTTTTATATACCAATGATACGCTTACGGATTATAAACAATTTCTCCTAAACGTATTGTGTCGATTGTCGGTGATCAAATTTCGGCTGTGGCAATTCGCTGTCATAGCATTTTTGCAAAGATAAGACCCATATATTCGTCGACAATAATATATGGTTTCGGTTTAACTCACGTCTAACAACGCCAATATACATCTACGGCCACTTTGTCTGGTTAATTTTAAGCTGGTGCAATTAACTGCGGATTGTGTTTGGAGATAGCACGGCTCAAAGATCAAAGAGATTTTGGTAGTTCGATGAAAGCCCTAATTTGTGAATTAGCGCTAAAATTTTGTCGGCATAACTTGAAAGTACTTTAGGCGATAATGCCGTAATTTCAATTTACCAGCTACTCCTCTATTATGTTCGTATCTGGCCCTACTTTTATCAGTAAAGATTGCATAATGAAGTATTGTTTTAATGCTGTGAAGTTTCGCCTTTGAAATACATGAGATACTCCTTTTTGCATAATGTCAAAATAGTTCACATACATCAAAAAATATTTTCGCTATGCATGCTATGCTTGGAAATCTTGATTAAATTTACTTCTTCTCCTGTGTGTTCTTTTTATTTCCTAATTTGTATATGAAATAATATAATTTATATATTTTACTGTTTCACAAATATTTTATGCTTTACCAAAGCAAATTAAACTGTATCAGACGATTTTTGTATTTGGTATGAAATTTCCATTTCTTGTTACTAGGTACTCCAATTTGTCCTGCATGCGGGAATGAACTCGATGCTGAAACTATATTAAATCTGTATTGTGCAGTCGAATTCGGTAAGTTTTGTAATTTACATATTAAAACTATATCAATGCCGGGCAAGGTAAAGGGAAGTAACACGCATTTTAACTCAAAACACTAACAAAGTTTGTCGATATATCAATGCATACGCTCAAGTATGTGCCATGGGCGATTACCCTTGACTTTATAATTGCAAAGAGTATTTTATATTTTGATATTTGCGAAGAAATAATAGTCAATTGCTCATTCCCAGCGGTGATTTTTTTCGCGCGCGTCGCTAAAAGTTCACCGTCCGCTTGGCTATATTGACCATTTCAGCACGAGTGTTAAAATGCTTGTTACTGACCGGTGTTTAATAGTTCCCACGTTCATGCCGGAGTGCGCAAAATATGTCGGCAGATGACCGCAACCACAAACGCGTCTAGCTACCCAGCTGTTCACGGCAATTTAGCCCGATATCACAAGTTCACACCTTTCGTCGTAATAAAATACGTTGTGGAGAGGAGTCAATGTCGTTCCAGGTATTGCGAAAACTTTATTGCCGATGATAAGTTGATATTTTTGTTGTCGGCAACCACTTTAAAATAGCACCTATCGACCTATATCGACGTGGTAGATCAGACCGCATCAAACGCAATTTACGTCAGTACAATATTTACAAGACAATAAAACACAATTCGGTCAAAATTAAATCCATCGCAGGTTGGCAAATATCAAAGTCCAGACCTGTTCCTATTTTTAAATAACACATACATTTCTTTGTTACCACACCATTCTGTGGAAGTATGTTATGGGTATGTAAACTTACATCAAGTGATTGTTGTAATCAATAATGTATGCTGCAGATTGATCGCGTCGTAAAATGACCACTTCGTGTGTCTTAGTCAACATGTCATGCTGATATTTTTGATGTTCTTTTCTCACACAATGTCATTTTATTCTAATGGCCTGCTTGAGTGAAGTCTTTTTATATGGGTGCAGTATCTTGACCCAAAGGTTTAGCACCCAGATTACGTTTCAAAACTTGTAAATTGCTTATACCGCACATATCCAGAATCATTGACCCAGAATTCCCCTCATATATTCGACCCATACTGATATGACTGGAAATATGCTTCGACCAAATATTTACACACAGTAGCCTACTTACCGCCATCTCCAACATTTGTAAAATCTGTGAAAAATATCTCAGACACGATTTTTTCATTAATCATACCAGTAATGGCCTACGAGTGCGTGGAATGACGCAGTTCCCACTAAACCAATATTTGACTTCGAATCTATTCTTTATTGCCGTTTATGACATAGCCGTTAAATACGGTCAAGCACCTGTCGGCAGTTAAACAGAGCATGGTCTTTAACATATCCAAAAACACAAAACGACTTTCGTGTTGCTGTAAAACTTGACTGCAAGAAAATTCTTTATGACGTGAAAATTTTCTTCGTTTATGTAGTTTTCATTCGGCCGACCGACATTGATTCAGGCATATGGTACCAGTTATAATATACGAAATTCCTCTTTGAACCCATGATATTTATGAGACCAGAGTCAGCTCCTTAACGGAAATCATTGTGGTTTTTAGTCACGCATATAACTGTTTGCACATTAGGTTGCGTCATACGAATATCGTTATATATGGGGTAGTTCCCGACAGTTCACCGTAAGACATTTGGCCTGTCAACAATAAAAGTCAAAAAAAAAAAATTGAGAAAATATCCCTTACGGCCGTATTAATTGTTTACATTATTGCTACTAAGGGGCACTGGAATTACGTATTTGTGTGCAAGACTTTCTCCTACCGAAATAAGGTCGAAACAGCAGGTGAAATATGCTTGAAAAATCCAGAAAATACGGTTGGGAGGGCAAATCTATCATTCAGAAAATGAAGATTGTTAAAATATTATACAATTTGAGAATATAAAATTACAAAAGTATCATATTTATTTCGTACATTGGTGAGTTTGCTAGAGTCCATAAATGTCTCTCTAATGTTGTATTGTATCGTATCAAGAATCCATTTATTAATTTATTATTTTTTGGGTCGTTCAGCATTATTCGTTATTCATTATTAATTTAATCAATTTTGTGTTGAAGCGTCCGGCATGTAACAGACCATGCAATTAAACTTGCATTTATTGTTACATATTAGCATCTTTATATATCTCGAAATATTTCATCATTTGGGGTTCATATATTAAAGTTATTAGTATCATAAGTTATAAGGTTATTTAACATTTTTTCTGGTAATTTGTTTGTAACATGATCTTACGAATTATTCATATTAAATTTGAGTCAGAAAAATCTCGGAATATCAATAAATATTGTCACATTCTCCATGTACAATGGGTTTACATTTCTTTCATGTATATAAATGAATATCCAACTCATTCACATGTTGACTCAGTATCAAGTTATTTTGTTCAATGGTGGCAATATTCACAAGTTTCTAGATTAGAAATAACTTTGATTCAAAACACCGTATGTTTTGAAGAACCTTTCTTGATACAAAAATGTTATCGTAGTCTATGTCTTTACAATAAGAAAATATTATTGTATTTTATTGAAATATATTAGTCAAATATTATTCCGACCTCGTAACATAAACAATTTAATATATTTTAAGGATGCGGTTGGTTTTAAACACTTTTCTTAAGTTGCTTAGTCAGAATTCGACGCCTTAAAGACCACACATTGTCGTAGTTTTATCGAAAATGTTCACATGGTTTCCTCATGGACAAGTGTCATTTTCCAACTGTGTTAGTATGCAACTTAGCGATGCCCTGATTTTGAATTTTTCAAAGCGTTATAACTTTGGCAGAAATAAGAATTTTATTGTGGTCTGGGTCAGTCACACTTACGTTTTCTATAATGTGCTTTGAGTATATTTATCCAGTCATGTAAACCGATGATTCCAATTATATTAATAGCGAGTACTAACATATGCGAGGAGGTATATACGGCAACGTTACATCGTAACACGGCTACATTCCGTGGCTTGGATATAATGGCGACATTGCCAAATTGGTTGTGGGTTGTTCAGTAAACCTGTGAAATCATGTTTACTGACAACCAACGGTACTTATCTACAGAAGATCTAATCTGTCGTTCATATCAACAGCGGATATCCATTGTCTGTCTCGTTGGACAGACCTCCCAGTTAATATAGTTGAATGTTAGAGGCTTAAATCGAAATGTAAGGAACTTATGTAAAGTACGTAAACCGGGATTGAAAATAGTATTGAAACGCATGTGTTGTTATTGTTAACGTGGACCACACTTTTGAGCAATCTCCCAATAGGCATAGCCAAATTAGCGTGCTTCAATACATGCTTTACCGTGTTTTCAAATGTTTAAATAAGCTGGCTATGAAAATCTGACTGACTAAAAATCATAATTTTCCAGCATTGATGCAAGTACATTGAGTTGGAACAGGATCACGAATCGGTTTGATGTATTCAAGGGTTCAATGCTCTGGTACCAGCATTCCGCGACATAAAACATTCAGGCGCTTTAATTTCTCAGTCGGACACTCGAAATGAAGTACATTTTAATCATTCCAAACCACACCCGGTCACTGGTTCAACAATGATGCGTGAACGTTGCGCCCTATCGTCTACCACGCTATTAATCACTTTGGTCTTACTCTACAATTATTCCAACCTTGACATATTTGTCTTGTTCCGTATTCGTTTTCGAAAAAAGAATGTCTGGCGTCACGTCGCGCAAACAAGTCGCACGCCATATACGTACAGACAAATGTGTTAACTGAAAACAAGACACGACCGCAATATATGCCGACTTATTGAATATCTGTCAGTGGGTGGCTTATTTGGACAGATCTTCCCAGCATCAACTTAGTATCGCATTTCAATATTAAGACCCGAACAAAGACGCGGTTCCGAGACGCACCTACTCCGATATTTCATATTCATCCGGGATGTGGCTGCAAGCACGCATTGCGGTGTGAAGCACTCGAGTCGGGATGAGGAATTTTCTTTGTTCGTTATGGGTGGAAGTATCTAGCTATACGCAGTATATTGCTCATATAGCAATATACTTCGTCATGGCTTATTGAAAACGCCTATATTTAGCCCAGGCCAAGCGAAAGTCAAACTAATCGAAATATCAGCCTTATTATGCGACACCTTCTTGACACCCAAGGCGTGAATTATATTACTTGAGACATTTGGTTACTTATGGTTCACTTGAATATTCAATAATTTACTCAAGCCACTCCCTATTTTAATTTGCTTATTTTCATTAGCGACTAATGCCCATCTCTTTCGAGTGTTTGGGTGCGTGTGGGATTTTATCGCAAGTTGGGCAATTTAATATAGATATTCACGTGCGAAAATGAGCAGGATTTAAATTTAGATGAATCGTGAATGAATAACCAAATTTTGCCGATGGCAAAGTTATATATATATGTATAGTCGGTTCCTTCTTCCAATTGACTGTTCTACTACTTTATGCTGTCCCACAAAATACAATTTTCCAGTTTTCATTGCTTACTATATTTATCCATAATACTATAATTTATTCCTTTCAGTTCTGAAAGTCAAGATACGATCCGTCAAAACATCTCGCAAAGATTTGAAATTGATGGCAGATAAACGTAAAAGGGTTATTTACCAAGAAGGCTCTTTAAAAAGAAAAGATCTGCGGAAACTGACATTGCTTATTCGAGGTGGAAAATCTTGTACATGTCCTCATTTAGAACCACAAGGAAAGGGCAAGAAAAAGAAGAAAGATTTTTACCTAGTAATGGGAGGAAAAGTGGGTCGAAAATTATTGGTTTCTGCTATTTATCGTTGGCCAAAAAAGCTCAAAATGTTACGACGGCTAAGTAAGAAATTTACACCCGATCTTTGCTCGTGAAAATAACCGGACTTGCCGCTAACGAATTTATCGAAAGACTTTATCCCATCGGAGCAAATCGGGATATTGTAGTACCGCTCCGCAGATTCCATCTGCTGCAGAATGCTGGTAAAAAAATTCGATCCACGCAAACTGAAGAGACTTATCAGTCAGTTTTCATCAAAATGACTGATCTTACTGAGGCAAGGGCGCTTCCCATTGATGTGAAAATCAGTGGACTGCAGTTTCCCAATTTTACCCAATTTATTTACGTCTGATTTTTAGTAAATTTGGACTGTTTTTTATTATTACATTTTCTTTTCAATGTAGCTTGTAGTAAATCTGAAAGTAAAACAATGCTTGCCGCCTCTGAACCAGCATGTCTAAATTATTGTTCTTGTTGCTAGTATGTTATCAATGATATTTTTACTGTTTTTGCCTTCATAACTGCGACACATTGTCAGAATAAATGCAAACAAATATGCTAGATATGTTTTCCTGTCGTTTAATCGGCCGCTCAAGCAAAGTGCATTTCGTGTTTATGTGACAACACCTGTCGTCTTAGAAGCCCGGAAACGCCCCAGCCTTTGTGTCAGACAATTTTTACGCTACTAGATACCGCAATGACCATAAATCTGTGTCGTGAACTTTACATCGTTACATAAACTATGGCAAACCAACACGCCACATATTTAAAGCCAAATGAGTTAGACTACCAAATGCCAACTCGATCCATAAGAATTTGTGAAACATTTTCATGTGAAATATATAAGGCCCATGTTCAACCAATAGCATTTCGTATATTATATGGAATTTTACTTGGTAAATAATACCAAGTTATCAGGCATGTCTCGTTCACAAAAATTAGTTGTGACATTGTTTCACAGGAAGGCAAGAACATGTTTGTTGACGCTACAGTAAGGAGCAATGCGCCCGCGGCACAAGACGTCTGTCTACCTTACGCGAACCATTAGGGAATATTTTAAAAAAATAATGGCGTATCATAGACACGATACGATACAATTACCAAATTCGAACGATTGCAAATTATCTTTTGGGATGTAATCTTGTGCATATTCTTAAGATTGTCATATTTATGATCTGTATCTCAAGTAACATTGATGCGAATGATGTGATAAGAAATATGTAACTATTGTAGCAAATTATGGAATGATTTTGTAAATTTCATCGTCTTTTGAAGTAGTTATCTACACTGCTTTGTGCGTAGTTTACTATTTGTTTTCTGGTGTGAAGTAAATAAATGAATTTTCTAGTACGTACCATTTATCAGAATCGACGAACAACTCATTTTATCACCGATTTTTAAACATGCTATGAATGAAATATCAAAAGTCTGACCCAATTCAACAGTTCTCCAACTCGTATCCATAATTATCCTTTTATCATGAATGGGACAACGACGAGTAAACATTGATTTCACCCATTTTATAGGATATTACTATATTATATTTAGACTCACTGAATTACGTAATAAAATGAACTTTTAGACTTTCTTCTTATCAATTTTTTGACAAACGACAAATCACGTTTCCCGTTTAATGGTTTTGTGATGTGCATCATAATTTGACACGCGGTTTTCCACCATAAAAGATCTTTTGTGTTAGATTTTTGTTTTGTTTACTGTTTGTTAAATGCTTCAAGCTAACTGTTAGAAAGTTCGTAATAGTTTATGTTATTTATAATAATTCGAACATTGACAGACATCAGTTGTTAGTCAACTGGCAATCATTCATTGTTCATAGCACATACAACAGTGCGCATACGGATTGTTCGTAATTTCTCAACTGTTTTTTTATTTAATTTTTTACGTTTTGATTAAATTTTTGTAGTCGATTATTATTATAGCTTGTTATATAACTTTCAAACTCGCAGTATTGTTTTTGTTCATTTTATAGTCCTAATTTGTAATATTTATTTTAATGAACTAAAACGACCCCAGTAAAAATAATGATTCAGTCTAGTATTTGCCGTCTGATTAAATTCCAACAACATATTTGCCTAGAATTTCAAACCTAGTTAATTGCTGTAAATTGCTTAAAAATTTGCTGAAACCATTATTATTTGAGTTAATGTTTTAGTTTTTTCGTGCTGATGTTTATATTCACTCTTCACTATTGTTCTTTGTGTGACTTGAACATGAATATTCTTGCACATACTAAATTTGTAGTTTATATACAAAGCAGAAATCTATGTACCGCTGATCAAGATTTTTGTGCTGTAACTTTGCTCATGTTGCTATCAACCACCCCTCAATGGGGGTGTATGTCGAGCAAAAGGCGTCGTATTTCTGTCAATCACAGATGAACGCAAAGTCGCTCTATTTTCAAGGACACGATGGGCATAAAACCCTATCTTTAATAGCTTAGTACACAGACTCGGTAAAATTTTGCAGTCAGAACGTGTGTGTCTCAATCCCGCTAACTATTGGTATAAGTCGTTGATATATGTTGTGGAGTTGTCTGAAACCAGGAATTTCAGGCAGCCATTCGGGTACTTTGTTATGGCGGGCTGCTACACACACAATTGGTGACTCATAGATGAAGACGGATATCCCAAGAGACTGGTTGTAATATTACAAATTACATTTAACCACAAATGATCTCTAGGGGTAAATACATCCGATTGCAAAACCACGTATTTCAAAATTCCGCATGGTGAAATCTTTTGAAGTAGATTTAGATTAATGCAAGCTGATGTCAATTTTTTAAACCTTGAAATATTATAAACTTACACATCGATACCATTCGGTAGGATGTGAAAATCGGTGCGTTCTCGGAAATTTATATTCTCGCCAGTTGAGGTCCTGCAAAAAGTTTTTAACCAAAATACATCAAATTTCTTTATAATATTAAATTAGAAAAACGACCTTTTTCCTGTCAGCATCAATTATCAGTAACGACAACTTAGAAAAAATCAATACATAAACCTAATTTGTGTTTAACAAGAACACAATGTAGAAATTGTTCTACGATGCTGTTGATGATCTTCTTTCGATATTTCAAATTTTATTACGAGCGATTGGTGTAGATTTATAGATTACTATTCTGTCCATTCGCGCTTTATGGCTTTGTGCCCAATACTTTTCAATCTTATCAGATCTGTGAACCATTTCGATGGTTTGTCTGGAAATTCGTTAATGAAACCTGTTAATATCGTGGGCTCTCGCACAAAAATTGTTATCTGAATGATCCATTCGGTCACTCCAGATGCTGTTGAATATACCGATATTTTTTTGAAAGACACAGGAGCTTCCTATAAAATATGTAACTATACTTCTTCCGTATATTTTACCAACAACAATAAGCTATGCGGAGTTTATTGGTACTGTTGCTTGCCCACGCCACCTAGCATTTGGTTGACACGGAGGTTTGGCTACTAGATGATGCTAAAGAGAGGAAAATTGGGAATACGAAAACTTGATGTCGAAGACGTAAGATTTGATATTCTGGCTACCAACTTTCGTCAGATGATGGCGTCACGAAACGAAAATTTTCATTTGCTCCACATTATGCTCAGTACAAGCCAATACTCCGTAGTAACAAGTTTTGTTCATTAAAACACATCGGCTTAGAACAAACTCGTAAATGCATGATATGTCTTTTTCGCACATTCAAATCTCACTAGTCTCTTTTATTTAACCAACCACTAGCGATGTACGCGTTTCCATTCACGCATCCCCTCTGAGCAAGAAACTATTCGAATACAACAGATTCGCCATGAATTAGACCTTATACAAGCTTGTCCTAAAATAGGTGAATGTTCATTCTCACATTCAACTATCAGCTAGGTTCTGTAAAAGTAACTACTATAAAGTTGTTCATCGATACAAGTTAGCTCAAACCTATGAGCGTAATAATGGTAGCAGGAAAGTGTTTTCTTTAATAAATTTGAGAAATCGATCATGTTAACGCTACTCGCCTTTCTGGTCCTCGTTAATAATTTCCCAAAAGCTAAATGTATTCAACAGACTTCGACGGCTTTTGGTTCAGACGTTATTTCCATCCTTGGAATAGGTCAAATGTGGTATAAATTTTTTTTTGTATTTAACAAATGTGACTATAAAAACCAAATAAATATATTTAACTTGTAGACTCATTTACAAGGACAAGGTAACAGGGCACTAATGAACACAAGCGCTAAAAAATTTTGCATAATTTGACATTCTCGATTGTTTGTAATTTTATAGGTAGCAACAAACTCTAATCCTGGAGGGCACGAGACAACATGACTAAGCGACAAAATAATTTGACTTTGTTATTGCATGACTGACAAATATTTTTTAGAAAACAGATTCAATAACACGTTTTTCAGCATTAGTGCTGTCGGAAACTCGTGGTTGCATAGCTCGATATTCCCACGCTTGACTGCTTCCAGACAAAAGGCGAATGAAACTCGCAGGGAGTTGCGTCGGCGCGAATCCGCAGTACGACCTTCAAAGGTCTTTATAGAGGACACGCCGGCATTCTCTCGCGTCAATGATTAACTTCGCGGAAATTGGGGCAAATCTATTTCTCAGTAACAAACGTTCGCACAGAGATTATGGATCAATGTTTTCAATTAAACGTTTTGCAAACAGATGTCAAGGCGGACGATCGGATTATCTTCAAATGACCTACAGAGAACAAAAGCAATTAATCGTATCATGTTTACTAATCAGAGATCAGTAATGATCAATGAATCGGTAGACGACATGTTACCAAGATCAATTCCCTTTCAATTTACAAATCCAATCAGAGCGTTCTTCACTGGAAAACCAGTTGGGACTAAATCCAGATTACTGTGTTAGACCATGAATACATTTTGATGCTTCAGTGAGCAAGCAATTTTCAACAGAAATATTTGACCACCTTATGTAAACAACTAGAAAATGTTGCCTAACGCCCGTCCCCGCGCTTGTAGGCGTTAGTTCTTTTACCAGTTAACCACAGAACCTATCCCATATAATATAAACCGATGTGCCTTTATATTAACTTTCCCAGTGACCCAACATACAGAAGCTGCTAAATTTCAACCGGTCATATTTTATTGAAGACAAATGTTGACAATTACAAAAAAACAACGGTTGCTCCAGTGAATACAATAGTAATAATAATTAACTAGGATTATATATTGACAACCGCGGCGCTTCTTAAAAATTCGATTTTTAGTAAAATATTGTGAACTGCAGTGTAAAACCCAAACAAAACATGAAGTAACATTAACACATATCATAAATGGTTTAACAATCACACCACTCACTCAGTGTTAGTAATAAAATGCAAGATTGTCCCTCAACATAGCAAAGTTTTAAAGGTTCTGAAACTATTAGATGGTAATACCCAGGTTTGTATGGTTTTTCAAAATAACATGGCAAAAAGAATTGTTTCTCTTATATTGACTTGGTGAATCAAAGTTTTACACTGAGTAGTGATATGAAGGTATGAAATGTTACATAAACAGCTATTCTTTGTCGTCGATTCTCATGTCAAATTTAAAGTAGCCTTCACCCATTTCCTTGTTGTCACGAATGTTAAGAGCATACACCTTGCATTTGATGGTGATGTCAACATTTTTCTGAAATATTGAAAATTGTGATATATTAGAACAGTGTGTTAATAATGATATTTTATAAATAACCTGAATGATAAAACATTGAGAAATGCAATGGCAATAGGACATTTTTACCCAATGTCTGTCTGTTCAATCTGTTATGTATATCAAAGGTGTTTTCAGAACAGATTCAAGGATATTAAAAAATTGTATGAGTAATAGTTGTAAATAAAATCTTACCGTAACATTTGTGAACTGAACAGCCACAATAGGATTAATGTATCCAGGTTGACGTTTCTTTCCTGCATATGGGAAATACACAAATGGAATGCCCATATGTGTTGGAAAGTACTTTGTGTCGAGTGTTCCTCCCAACTTATCTTTGTCCTCCTGTTCCTGTAAAACACAGTTCAGCCTCTTAATAAATGAAACATTTAAAGTCCACATACATTCAAATTCAACCTTTTCCAGCTCAGTGGAAGCTGTCTTAAGTTCATTTACGGTTGAAACTCAAAAAGAAAATCAAACTTAAATAACTAACAGAGTTATTACTGAAATCAGAATAAGTTTATAACTATATCATCTACTATCTGCATTGAACACAGGACTGAACTCTGATAAAAACTTCGTAATTGAAGAAAAATATTATAAAACTGCCCCACATATATATAGGTGTATTTATATAGTGGTAGCTATGGAAGATAGTCCAATAAGCTTATTTACGAAAGATAACTTCATAACATATCGATAAATCAGCGAAAATTGTAACTTACATCACCATAGCAATGGGTGTACATGAGATATGGTTGATATGACTGTCCATAAGTAGCAAGTACATCAGAAAGAGGTGGTGCATCAGACTGTGAATTACCTACGGCTCTTGAAAGATTAGTGTATCCGACAGGGTACCATCCAATGATCTTTAAACAAAAAAGACTGCGTAAAACACAAAATATTTCAATATGATTCAGAAATCTTATTGTATACTAACAAAGAAATTTTGGTAATATTAGCTATGACTGAAATTGAAACTTCCGGGAGTATTTCAATGAATAATAGATGAGACATTTTCAGAGTCTATCAATACATAATAGTGCATGAGGAAGGTTCATTGAAGTATAAATTTAGAACCTGCAATTTTGACCTGTCTAAGCAAGTACTGAAATGCATAATCAATCGTTATCATGTTCGCTAATACTGCTAATTAATTAAGGATAAATGGAAGTACAGAACTCATTAATAATTCCCATGGTCCAGCATTTCTTACCCTGTTGACTTTTACAAAGATGCATGGTTGGCCTTTGTCGTATCCATATGGTTTCACGGAACATGGTCCCAATTTAGTTATGTCAAATCGACAGGACTTAGCGATTTGATCTTTTTCAAAATTTTGGTTGGTGGAAGGTGGTTGGGTCATAATGCAATCTTGGAATACTTCATTATTTGTTTGATTCACTGTTGCATATGCTGTTTGTAAAACAAATATTTTAATGAATATAACAAAGTGAGACAATATCATTTTGAATGTAGAACTGCGGTAGAAAAAAAAACATTTGAAAGAGTTTAATGCAAAACATTTCACAAATTTGCAATAGAATAATACAGAATACAGTAACTGTCAAATGTTGAATTTGACATAAATAGTAAGGTTTTGAGAGAAGTCTACACAAACCTCAAGGTTCATTAGCCATCTAATCCATTGTTTCGGATCAATAACAAATCAATCAGAGTAGGTCGAATGTAATAATTTACATAGTAATCAATAATCTTAGGCAGCTGATTTTATAAGATTAGAACATTAAATAAATCAATTGTAGGCTTGTAGCACTTCAAAAATTCCACCCTACTAACCACAATGATAAGTGAGGCTGTCACAAACATATTAATCCAGTTTATTCATAAACAGTAGGAAATGGCATCTTACGATAAAGGAATTTTTCCATCTGAAGTGTCAAACGCTGGTAGCCGGCATTATCTTGATAATTCTTCAGATTGTATTTGATGTTGCTAGTCTGTTCGATATCGGACGGAGTTTTGGGTTGAATCGCAACACCTGAAACAAAGAAGTATTTCAAATTGCTAAAATCACAAACCTGTTAATGCAAAGTTCAATATTTGAATAAAAAAAATTGTCTAAGAGGTAATACACTAGTGGAAAACAGCATGGGAAAAATTTTAATTGAGCCAATTGCTAATATTTCAAAAGGGCAATAACTCAATAAAACAAAAAAAATATCCTCTGTGATATATTGTTCCTTATAATTACCATATGGGAGTTGATTTAAGTCATGATAAATCCTTACCAGGGGTCTGCAGTCTCGTCTGGTATTTGGGAGTGTAATCACTCAGTGTACTGAGGACAATGCTGATAGATGCTGCGAAGAGACATGCCAGAAATCCGTAGTAGAACATGTAGAACACGAGAATTTTTGCTGAAAAAAAAAAAACGAATAAACAATGATTCTTCGCATGACAGAGAGTAGAAACATAAAATTCGGAATATACATGAATGTGTTATATAAAATTAGACTAATTTTGCTACATAAAATTATTCATACATTTATATATATTTAAGAAAAATATTAAGTTTAAAGAATAATGATATTTTGCCATCTCATTGCCAAATACACTTACACCAGCTATTTCCATTTCTGCCTAATACAGTGCCTTCATCCTTGTTGTACAAAAACAATAGAAAATCATTCCAGGTTTCACGAGCAATATCTAATCTAGACTTTTCCTTTTTGTCAGAACTCATTGTACTCGTTTTATAATAGAACTGACAAAGTGAAACCAAGCCCCTCCCAAGAAATGAACACCAGAAAGACTGTATGATTATACCCTCGGGCAATGAATGTCTAATGCAACTATCAACTGAAGTGGAACACACTCGGCAACCTCTAATAAGAGTTTTTATAAAACTTAAGTAACCAGGAATCACGATATTTAATGGTTGGTTAGGAACAGACAACATACCTGGCACCCAAGCAACCGGAAAGCTAGATTTTTAACCCATTTTATATTTGCGAAAACATTTTATCCTTTTTAACAAGCAAGAAGAGTTTAACTGTTAATCGTGGTAATCCGAGCTTGTTAGATGAGATTTTCAGTACGATAGTCCTTAAAAATTCCGAAAAAGTACAGGTTGAGAAAAAATGAAACAACGATGTTTCTATGATTTATCTTCGACTATTCACACACGGTATGATGTGAATGTCAATATACAGGCAGTTAAAATCTGAATAACAGTTCATATTGCGAACTAATAAATGATAGGAAGTAAGTGGGCAGTGTATTATTGAATATTGAAGTGAGTAAGTCAAAATATTTGCGTCTGTGGTGGTTTTCCACTGAAGTTGTATATAAAACAATAAATTTTGCTTTGACATGTTCAGATGGTAGAAATTTAACAGGCCGTGATAAATCATACTATGCAGTATGGGGTGATAATAAAAAGGTTCATGACGTTGAACGGCATCAATAAAATCAAAATTTGAAAATTTTGTTACAACTCAGAAGCCAACAAAAAAACAAATATTTTATAGTTCTGAAATTTTTATTTTTTATTTTATTTCAGATAAACCTAACATTCATTCAAAACCAACCCCAAAAATTCCTCTTCAGAGGCAAAAAAATGGCAAGTTCATTAACAAGGACTTATTATAGCAAGGGCATCAAAATGTCAATAACATTAGTGAATAATAAAAATGATTTGAAGCATTTTAAACTCGTTCCAGTCAACAAACTGGAACATATTAATATTTCCAACATTAGTATTATACAGTATGTATTCGAAAGGCTTATAATTTAATTTCACCTAAATTCCATACTGCCTGAATGAGGCGCAGTTCTTACCACTTCATGGCAGCTCCTGCCACGAACGAACCGCGGCAGCTCTTGCCATGGTTTTATAGCGCTATTCAGTATTCAGTAATCAGTATTAACGGTATATTCACAAATTAATGTACCAGATTTTAATTGATCAAGTGGAATTATATCTACTTAAACCCTAACCCTAACCCCAAATCAATCAAAACTGTATCCATAAGAAAAACATTCCAACTTACCCAATATTTGTCACCATAATAGACAGCCCTGTCTTTACGGCCCACCTGCCGCGGTTACAGCAGCAAAATTTTACCTGCCATTGGTTTTCAATTTGCTGCCGCGGTAACGGCAGCTCGACATTGGTTTGTGGCAGCTAAAAAGTCAGTTGCCATGAGTTTGGCCGTAGCGGCCATGATATGGAAATACCGCCATGGTTTTGCGGCAGCTGCAGATGCCACAGAATACTTAAAACTGCACTTGGCCTGAATTGGGAAGCAGGTGCTCTTGTGCTATACACAGAAAAAGTCATTCATAAATCAATGCCAGAATACAAAAATCAAGCTCTATTCTCAGACATATTTATGCGGTTTGCTTGTACAAATATGGGCCGCCTATTTCAATACAATAAAATATAATTGAAAAGGGGAAACAGATAAAAATATAGTTGTGAAACTCTATTCGTGTGAGCTAGGCTAAGGCGAAATCAACTTCGTTTTATACATACAGCACCTTCAGTAGATTTAGTTTTAAAAACTGAGAAGTTTTAAGATTAGAAAAAGACTATCTTCAATTTTTGATGTAGAGCATTGCGAATTTTTTAACTAGCAAAAATGTGAGAGACAGTCTGGACACTTGAAACATACCGTACAAAGTATTGTGAAGAAATGCATTACAGCATTATGTGTTATGATTATTACAATTATAATGCAGTAATGTGTAAACAGAAAACAAAACCAGAAAACGGGTAGAATATACATTTTCCAGGCAGCCAAAACCCACTGCATTACAGCATTAGGACAGCTATCACGCATTTCTGCAACTGCACTAGTTATTATAAAACAATGTAATAAACTGTATAGAATAAAATTATACCCCAGCTTTTTCCGGTTCTTCCCATGACTGTTTTTTCCCTTGGATTCCATGCAAATTCCTTGAAACTGTCCCATTGCTTGCTTATGGCACTGCGATCATCTTCAATAGTACTCGACATTTTTAGTGTGATGGTTAAATCAGTAAGAAATAAAGTTCTTAAAAAGTAATAAGGCTTAAATTAGTCAGTAATTCAAACAGAATACAGTGAAAGTGATACAGAATCCACTACTCTCTGGCTACTACATGCCGTATCCCTGTATCCAGGCATCACGCAACAAGCAATATAATTCGCTCCCTAACATCTGGACTAGCACAAACAATTTGCGTGAAAATCGAATGCCAGTTCAATGCCAAAAATCCTATCAATCTTTTAAACTGCTGAACTGCGGAAAGCTGTTTTACTGGCAGACACAGAGAGCGGCCTGAATAGTCACAAGCCATCTTCCTTGCATTCTACGGCTTAGTTCAAGAAGAATGAAGTGAACTTGAATGTTCATCATTTAAAGGCCTTTGTATGCATCAATGAAAAAAGCAATTCTCGCGCGCTGCGGGACAGATGCGTTGGGAAGGTGAAAAAACGCAAATCGCAAACCCGCCGTGAACTCCGTTTGCTTCCTTGACCTAATCAATCGGTGATAGATATCACGTGATAAAAACCACGTGATTATGAAACCGACAGCCGTAGTTCAACAGTTCCCTCAACGAAAATGGCAATTTTTAGCTGACTAAAATATCAATCAATTTTATTTTGGCCGCTCTGGCATAATAAAAAACAACAACAAACGGAAAAACAAAATGCAGAAATACTTGGAAGACCAAATACTCCTATTGTCATTCAAAAACATCAAAGTTCCATAAAGACAGAAAGAAGAGTTTCCATCGAATTCGTATTTATCCTGATTTCAATTATTTCTTTTTCATTGTGTCAATTGTTCTTACTTTTGTGTTACCTCTCTAGATGAGTGGAGTAGATTACATACTATTCATCTTTGAATCTACACAAGAAAATGAATGATTGAAAAACTCTTTGTAATTTTGCAATGGACGTGATATATTTAGGATTTAAAATAAAAAGTTCTACGTATGTCTTTCGCTGAATCAACGACAGCTACAAAAAATGGCACTGTAAGATAAGCACATACATATTAACACGCATATCTTTTGTTCACGCATGCTCATAAGAACAGAAGTGCCTATGAAAGGCTTAACCCTACTATACATCTCGTTATTTCAGCGTTTCGGCGCCGGCATCATGAAAAATACACCGTATAAAAAGTGAAAAAAAAATATTTTCATATTAACGATTATCACAAAATTGAAGCTCATATACTTGCTACAGCCCGATGGAATATTGGTGAACGCAATATCTGTTGGGAACAGGGAAGGTTACATTGTCCCAATCGCCATTTGAATGACCCCATCCGTAGAGGTCATATTAGGCTACCATTTACCCACACAAGAAGTGTATCGCCAATCAAGTGTGTTATTTAAAGCCTTGTTCTTTTCGATATATGTCATATGTATCTAACCTAAATTAAAAATATCGATAAATGTGCTAAGAACTGTGTAAACTACAAACAACTTCTTACCTGCGATTATGGGTGACTAAGTTCGATTAAATTATTGGACACGAAATGTACATATAGATCGTTTTGTTATTGGACACCAAGCGGGTCAATTGATTGATTCTGTCGTTATGTTGCTGTTCTTGTTGGTACTTTTCTCCTTGTCGTTACCAAATGGAAAAATCGCTTTACTCATTAACTACTAGAACTAGATCAATTGCTTTGAAATTTTCAGTGCTCAAAGATTGTATATTTTTGCGGGCATTCCGTTTTTCACTTTGAAGTTGTGAGCGGTTCTGCGATCTTTTCCGTACGGTAAACTAGGTAAGGTACTGTATAAGATATGGTTGTTAGACTACTGCTTGGATTTGCCTTTCGTGTACATTTATTTGAGCTTCGCTCTCTCGTTTTAATATTCAGTTCGAAAATAAATCATGTCTTAGAACTTAGGTGGTACTATATTTTATTTTTGGTGTCTCGTCCTCATATAAACGGAGTTTCATATTTGGCAGGGATTGTTACTTATCTGTGAGCCTATACGAACTATTTCTCCAACTGTTGTTTTACCCTGGTCTTAATTACAAACTAAATAAACAAAATTCTTTTGCTATGTTCCGAGTCCATGTAATTTTGAAGGCACCCTGCAATTTGTTGGATATAGTGTTTCCTTAGGCCGGATTTACCATTAGGCAAGCCTGGATACTCAACATTCATTTTTGAATAATTGGTCATTTTTAGTGGTTTTAAATTTCAAATGCTTGCTCCAGAATGACACCTGTTTAAAATTTTATAAAACTAATATATATTAGTTTTTAATTCGATAATTCTTGTCCCAAATATTTAACGTTTGAAAGGTTAAAATATTATATACGATCGAACGACTGGATTTGTCTGAATTTAAAAAGCTCTACCCCTTTAAAAATATGCTAATTCAATTAATTAAACAGTTTTACCCCAATAACGCCTTTATTTTTCGATGAGAAAAATTCAGTTATACCATTTGCTCTAAACAACAGCGAATCCAAAAATTAATATATTTGTTACTAATTTCGGATTTTTTTATTATACCCTTTTATTGAAAAAAAAAAAATGCATCATATTATGACGTCATAATGTACCTGTGTGACGGCATTATTAAAAGTGGGCCTCCCAAAAGTCTATGGCTTTTATTTTTATTTTTTCAATCCGACGCTGAGTGTATATCAATATATTGTATATTACAACCATACTAGAAAAGCCCCACATTGAAGTGTTTTAGAATATTGGTTTATTGGACACGTAGTGGACCTATGGATCGTTTTTGGACAAGTCAGTGGACATAACGATCGTTTTGCATTTTATGCTGGCACTCTTATTCTTCTTGTTTTTCTTTGACACGTTTTTCTCTTTGGTATAAAGAGAATAAATACCGATGTGGGGGACTGAAATAATCGACGATTCTAACAAAAATACAATCTCACGCGTTATCAGCAACTTTTTCAGTCAAATGCAGTCCTCACAGCTTTATTTTTACATACATGTCGTTTTGTATCCTGATCTTTATGTCGATTCGTTTTAGTACAATAGTGAGATTTGTTACTTTGTGTCACCTCATCAACCGTTATGAAAATATATAGCATATTTTTATCAGTCCAAATAGTTGTTGTATAAAACAGGAATATAAAATAAGTATCGACTCATTAAAAAGGGGAAAACTTGAATGAGTATGTGGCACCGAGTAAAATTTTATAAATCCTAAATAATAGCTACTGAAAATGACGCAAGAGAAGATAGTTACAAATGTTGGATTTCACAATTAACTAACGTTTCAAAAATATTCCAAAATTAAACACTCTCACGATCCTGAGTCATTCTCTGTTAAAATAAAGAAAGAGAAAATGTAATTTTGTTCAAGTTCGACGCTTACTCGCGCCTTCCACTCAAAACAATCTCATACATTAGCAGCCACTGACATCTAATAATATTTGAGTCGCTACTATTTATTTGGGATGACCTGAACCCTTTGGGTTCGGCAGTGCCTACCCAATTTATTACTTCCCCGAGTGGGGCAAGGCACATGGGATTTGCGATGCCATTTGCATCTTAAGACTTTAACCGCGAGGTTATTGCGTCGCCCGGCAATTGACAAAAAAGGCACTCGTTCCAAAAAAAAGGAAGCACCATATAAAAGGCGTTGGTACCTAAGTCAGGCCTTCATTATCGTAAATCAATACTCTTGTGCTGGTTCTCACTACAAAATGAGTTTGTTAACATCCATCATTCTTACGTTCCTATGCGTAGTTGAATGTTGCGCTCAAGAAGATCGAAGTAATATTCGCATTGTCACAATAAGTCCAGATACCGAACCTGGCTCGGGAAATTCTGATAACGACGTAAGCATATTCAGTGCAATTGAAAATGTAACTTCAACGAAAATCGATCAACACGATATCAGAATCGAATCGCTGGAACAGAAACTGGAAGAAATTGAGAGAGAAAAAAATAAGAAGTGCTCGCTAACGTCATGTGAGTTTAAAAAAATATATCCGTTTGTAGATTCTTATACTTGTTCTATTATTTTGCTTTACCTTTCCATGTTTATCAAATTTACAGACAAAATATTATCAGCATAGATTTAAGTCTTATTGATAAGCCGATGGTGATTGCTCTAATCTCAATCAGTAAATTACAAAAATAATTTTCGATTTAATTGCAAGATTGCAGCATTGCTTAATCGGGAAACCTGAGTCTAAAATATTGGTTTATATTTAATGCGATATTTCGTTATTACAATTTTCAATCTAAGTCAGATTATTGGGTTTTGAGAAAGTATATATTTTCAGTTTTAGACACTTGGGACATGGCACTTTTAATCATGGAAAAAGCTCGCGAAACAGCAATAAATGGTAAAATATTGGATTATTTTTAAAATATTACAGACATGAAACAAATAATTAATTGGAAATGATAATTTCATGAACACAAGAAACTCAATGTAGAGGATACATTTGAAATACAAATACAACTCTGCAACGTTCAACGTTCACGTGTAAGAATTTTGTAAACTAAAATAATTATTCTTTAGTTCCAAACGATTCTCAATGTCAAGCAACATGTCGACCAGGCAAGAAAGGCCCAGAAGGCGCAAAAGGTGACATCGGACCGACAGGACAAAATGGTATCATGGGACTTAAGGGAGCTAAAGGAGAAAGCGGAACACCATGTATTTGCTCACGATATGATGAGTTGGCACACAAAGTTCAAATCCTCGAAGAAAAAGGTTGATATCTCAAATTCATAGCCTTATTATACTTTATTTAATTACATTGTTTTATTCAAAAACCTAACGTTAATTGAATGTGTCGCAAGTGTTGCATATGTCGAAAAATGAGGATTTGCAAATTGCTCTCTTGATCTAAACGCCAATATGGAGCTTTGGCTTTGAAGATAAATCCCCATTTTAAGCAATTATAAAGTTTTTTATATGGTTCTATATTTGTTCTTATTTTACTTTTAGCTCGAGAATTACAACTCTTAGCAGATGGTTGGTATCGTGTTCACAGTTACCCATATTGGTACAAATTGGTCAAAGTATCGTCGGACTATCAAACAGCCAGAAAAAAATGCGAACTCATGGGTGGTCGATTAGCAGCAAATGGTATTCGGAATCCAACTATTCGCAGGTAATTAGTTCAACAATGTATATTACTATGCTTGTAGCTTTGTCATTTAGTTATCGGGCCAACAAATATTCAAACATCAATACTATCCACAAAAAAATTCGCGATCGCAAGTTTACCGTGGAAAACCTATGATGCCTCATTGTCAAACCCCCTCAAATATGTTTCTTCGTATAGGGTGTCAAAGTTATACAGTTTCAGACTTATTTGTCGCGAGAACCAGCTGAATTTCCGGTGAAACTTTGGCTCGATTGAAGACAAAACAATTGTAAATTAAGTTCAGTATGTTTCCACCGACTGCTTCAACCTTCAAATGATGAAATATTCAAATCGATTAATTTAGAATTTGCGGGAAAGCGACATTTCCCAACAACAAAGATGGGTGTTGCATTATATAAAAATATTTTTTTCGATTTAACTTCGTCTACGTCAATTTAAACGGAAAAGAGCAACAATGAATAGCTTGAATCTTCGTCTTTCACTTTTCACATTCAATAAAATAAAGAATGTTGGAAATCCAAATCTTTAGAAATAATTACGTTAAACTTTGATATTCAAATTTTTCAAAATTGTTAATTTTTTGACATTGCTGGTCCGAATTAAAAATAATATAATATTACTTTCAGCGATCTACACGACAAGTTCATCAGAAGTTCAGGAACTTCGATTTGGATAGGACTTGACGATCTTGAGAGACAGGACAACTGGAAATGGTCGGACGGAGTTTCATCAACTTATTCTAATACACCATGGAGTGGAGGAGAACCAAATGGCCGAAATGAAAGATGTGGGTGTATGTGGATTGACTATCAGTACAAAGTAGTAGATATCCATTGTAGTTTTCAAACATTCTATCTTTGTGAGAAGTAATCAAGAAATCCCTTCTGTTTTACTTATAATTAATGCTAATAATATTTGAAAATTTGTGTTTATGTTGATCTTGAGTTTTATGAGAATGGCACCGTTTGAATTTCGCACCTTCGTCGATTTTTATTGGATGATTTTTAAGTAAGTTCTATGGTTATTACATGAAATAAAATGCAAGTTGTTTTGTTCGGGCCGCCTTTTTAAGACTGCATTCCCTTCAGAAAAATTGTTATTAGCTTGGAACATCTAGTATTTGTATATCTTTTTTATAAATTGACTGTTATAGCTCATAAAAAATGGTGGCATACTTTGGCGGCTACATGTTGTCTATAAAACCTTCAGCCTGTCGACTGTACAGACATCTTGGTTTGTAGTTGCATAGTTTTGTATTCAGCAAAGTAAAATATTTTTATTGTTGATAAAGGACCTCATAAACTCACAAGATTCCATCTCTAATATTTGTTTTGCATTAATATTTATTCGATTTAAATAATTTTGCATTGTATATACGTATATGCTAGGTATTATAATAAATGAATACGAATAAATCATTTGCATATTTGCTTTGTATTTATTTTATTTAATCGAAAGTATCAAACAATCATCTCAAAGAAGTGTGTTTCTTATAATTGATTCACTAGTCACTCAGTGCAATGTTAGGAGCGCAATATCTCAGCAGGTTAGCAAATGTCCAATCATTATTTCGCCAGGCTATGAATACGTACCACAGCCTATTATTTATACTTCAATGAGTTCAATCAGGTATGGTCTTTGGCTATGCCACTCGTAAAAACCTTGCTTAAGTCGAGCACATAAAACTCGCTTTACGCATCCGGAAACAATCGCTAACTTGAATAAAATCGAGAGTATAGAAGGCAGACTCGGTCGTCAGGCCATCTCGATGAGATGTTTCACATTCCTGTTTGCTCAAGTTGTAGCAGTGTTTGCTCAATTTGCAATGTACAACTTGCAGTCACGAATATTTTAACTTAAATTAAAGTCACACAAAGAGTTGTTACACTTAGCAGATATTTGGTTAACTCTGATAGTGGTAAACAAATTTGTATTATTCAACTTATTTCAGTAGCAATCAATCGGTCTATTCTGTAGGTGACTTGCTGCATCCTGTTTACGTCCTACATGTATCTGATATTTTGTCGTAACTGTATCTTTCTGAGTGCCAGTAATGAATGACTAGGTTGTGTACATAAATAGTACACGGGAAAGGTCATATTTGGTCTATTTTTCAATATGACCTCTAGGACTGCGACGTCATTGAAAATGCAAGAACGTTCATGCAAAATCCCAACACAATAATAAGGAATTTGTTAATTTATTATCGTTGGCAGGAACTTGCAAGCATTCATTTTGATTATTGTGTTCCCATTAGCGATAGCAGCAGATAGAATTAGTTTTAAATGCTTGCCAGTTTATATATGTAAGGTGTGATTGAAAGGGAGTAAATGCATTATTGCTTCATTGCGACACATTTGATAAGTTATGATGATATTTCCAAACTAGCAGTCGGTGCAGATTTTTTATATGTTCTGTACGCAAAGAAATTTTATTTCAGCTGACATGAAAGCGTCACCGTATTACACAATATATTTATTCCACAAAATAAATGGTGTGGCCGGCTCAATTTGGCTAATCGTTTCGTCCGCTAGATAGGTATATAATAAGTGATGCCCATGAACTAATTACAGTAACAGCAATAATCAGAATATCGTTTTGTTCATACTTTCGTTTAATATTTGAATATTTCCATCTCATAAAGACCAAGATTTGTACAAATCGACCGTTTCTAAATTGTCAGTTTGTTTTCTTGTGTTATTCGTGTAGCGATTTGACGACGTAACAAATAATATCCAAAACAATTCGTCTCAGTAAAATAATGTTTGAAAGAATCTGACTGACAAAAAATGTAGAAAATGAAAAACTTAGTCAGTCAAACCACTGATTCAATGTTTAATTTATGGCCAAGCTTTAAAATTACCCTTTGACACCGAACCGCTTTCAATGTTGCCCTCTTTACATGGAAGTAGGTAGGCTACTACTATTTATATCGGCGCCCCGGAAGTATTTGTATCAAGATGACGCACAACCTGAACAATCCTTACCTGATACACATACTTCGGGAGCACCTTTATATCTATGTATATTGTAAAATATGGTATATTGGATCTTGATTCGTAGGCGAATTTTCATTCACACAGAAAGAGTTTCGTGGCCTTTAATAAAAAGATCATACGTAGAAGTTTTATGGTTTTATTAAATCGCAATGCATCCTGGAAATTGTGACTGGTTAGCAACGAACGAAATTTTACCATTAAAGCATTACTGTAACGATATTTCATGTAAGGAAAGCGTAGCCGGGAGAAATGAAGATAGTCTTCACTATTGAAACTAATAAAATGCGTGGCAGAGAGAAGCGACTGAAACAGCGATATTAGCCTCTGTGTTTCTATGGTAAATGAGCCGAAGAATAGCCACGTAAGACGCTTCTGGTTAATATGGTATTCATATCAAGCTACTCGTGATATGAACTATGAGAAATAGAGCATGGAAAAAAATATGGTAATAATACAACAAGTGGTATGTGGCAAATTCATCCACCTATCTGTATCAACCCACCACAGTATATATTAGTGATGACGAACTTTTTTAAATCATTGCGTCAAAAATCATAATAATATTATGAAATAAGGCCATGAGTAATTTTATCAATGTCTACATCAATAAGAAACTTGCTGTAGTCTTGTAGTTTAGTTAATGTTGCGTATTTTTCATCAAGCTTAATCTCATTTATAAGCCACGGCTCCACTGTTGTTTGAGATTTTCGTTGTCGTAATTTAACTACCGTAAGTCATAGATGTCGTAACAGCATTCTTACCAGCTGCATACCAGTACTGTATATAGGATAATAATATATAAATGACAACAGGCACAACACTCTACAAACTCTAAACAATAAAGAAATGTAAATATCCAAAATAATGCGGGCAAGATCAAATCTAATTTTTTTGTTTTTACTCATCTTCACGCCCCCCCCCCAAAATTTCTAGGCCCCCTCGTGGGGCGCGCCCCACCCCTGGGAACTACTGTTCTAGAAGAATGCAATTACAACGTTTATGACATAACTATACAATCGAGATATTCATTTCTCACATTTAGCTTAACGACAATTGGAATCTTGAATAACGTTGTAGTAGAATAGTAACATTTGCGTGTGCTTTCCCCGTGAAAGCAAAACTTATACCGGATGGCGTGGGCCTATGTGACTATTGGGCGAATGAACGAACAAAGTATGTGTTGACGCAATATATTTGTGATAGAAATGAGTGATTATTAGCAGATTGTTATAAAACAAATTGAGAAGAGATTTACCTAAGGGCGCAATTTTTCTCAGAGCAAAGCTAATCCGTATGACTCGAAAACAGGAAAACTGAACAATGAGTGACTTGAGAATCAACACACCAACTAATAAACCGCTGGCAGCTACACGACATTATGTGGACAAGCAGCCTTATGGATGCCGCATACTACATTTAGTTTTTTGTGTTATAGCCACATTCACTTGAAAATGCAAAGCCACAGACATTATTCAGCATACATGGTGGTTCTGCAGCATTTTGTTGGGAATTGAGAATGGCAAAACCATCCGATTCCAAATTCTGCATTGTAAACAATAATATTATTAAGTGTAGTAATATCGTAACTGGTGATCACCGCTATAACCACGCATTCTTATTTTTTATTCTTACGATGGCGAGCGCGCGATGCGTATCCATTAATTAATGGAATCAACATATATTACATGTTTCACAACCAGGGATTATAAGACCAGCCGAAAAGATGCAACAGCAGGTTTTTTATTGATGCAAACTTTGATTACATGCCTATATGACCCACAGTCTCGTTTTTCACAAGGAATTTATTTATAATCGATGTTGACCTATTCGATAAAAAAGGTTCGTCATTCATGCTACAGCAGTTCTATTATTGATAGATTGAATTTGAGGCTAGCCTATTGTAAATTTTTGTCACTAACATGTTATACCTGGGGGTTCACACTAAAACATGCTGGGCTACTTTGTGACCCATGGGTCAGTGGTTCACCACTTCTGGTATATACCAGGCAGAAATGTGATTGCGTTTTGATTTAATGAGATATTTAAGTCATTGAACCAATGTTTCAAAAATCTTGATTGCTTGAAGTCCGGATGGTAGGCAGTAAACATAACGACAGAAGAATGTAGTCGTTATATTTGATTGTTTTGAAATTGCAAATTTGCTTTATAACTCCTGGTCCCTAGAGTGCCATGCAATAAGATTTCAGTTGTCATTTCCCCGATTCACTGTACATATTATTAATCATGTAAGTTCATCTTCGTCTTCGCTTAACTCTTCTCCAGCTATTTTAGCCAAGAGTAAGTTGGCCACAGTCACATCTTGTGATCCCACTTCTGTGAATTCTTCAACCGTAATATTCCCTGCAAACAAAGAATGTATTGAAAAGTGAGTATATATAGGGAAAAAAACATAGTCTGGACCAAAATATGAGGTTGGATTTGAAAAAAATTGAATTGTTTGCGGAACACCAAACGAAAACAACGTTGGCAAGCAGCATAGTACTGACACAAATCTCATATTGACTAACTAAATTTCTGTTATAATGTGATACAACGTAACAATAAGAACTTCAGAGGTCTGACTTTGATTCTAAGCATCGTACCACCAAGAAAAAATATTTTATCATCATAAAATATATATATATATGTCAGTTATAAGAAAAATATTGCGAAACAACAATTTGTGCGGACACACTACTCTAACCAATCATAATCATAGCGTTATTTTTCGTAGTAATGAGTTTTGATCTGCCGACAAAAAAAACGATGTAAATCACGTCACTGCGTATATGTAATTCAGCAACAGAACTGTTGAATATTGGAAAGGTTTCACCCGACCCCAACACGTAAAAAACAACATCAGATCTAATCCTAGTTCAGAATGGGCTCAATATTTTGATAATCTCCCGACTCCAAGTAAAAAACACTTTGACAAACAAACAATCAGATTGTGTACAAGAAAACAACGTCCTAAATTCAAAAGTTTAAAATGGCGGCTAGATGTTGGTATGTAATGTGCATATTGCTTGAATGCCATCCTGTAATTTGTAGGAGGGATCCGCAATGTGGCGCAAGAGGTCAGTCAATAACGCTTTAACCTGTAATAAGCCCCAATCCGACGATAAACAACAATAATTATCTTCCGCAATAAGAAAATCAATATACGGCACTGAAAGAAAAAAATTTTACTACATAAACTGCTAATAACAGATGTTATTAAATCAAAATGTGTTGGTGTATACCAAATATTTGTAAAAAGACAATATCACGAAATTGGAATATATTCCATAAGCAAGAAGTTTTTTAAATAAAGAAATAAGATTCCTTCCAAACTTATTACAAATTTTTTATGATATTGATTTCTTTTACAACAAGTCATACCACAATATTCAACTTGAAAGGAATTACTATTGAAGTTGGCCGAAAAGATTTTTCTCACGCAATTGTAATAATTAAACGAATTTCCTAAAAATAGAATGTAAATAATTGCACTTAAATACACTACTTTATCAAAAGGATACGGGCGTTTAACGTTGGTGTCTTTTAAGGTGCTCGCAGAGAAGTATGCGCGCTCACAAATAGACGCATTAAACATATTTTATCAATTAATACAGAAAATATGAAAGTGCGTATTTTTATGTCATCATGAAGGCGATATCAAAAATCAAATGTATCTATAACGGCGTTTTTTAATAATAACTTTTTGGAAGTGAATTGGAAATCAGCAATGATTGATTTTTTATTAGTTGCTTTGAAGATTTAAACAATGAAATCATCCGGTATTGCGTCATAAATCACTCCTCCGAAATCCCGGATGCATAAGCGATAACGTAGGGGGAAATAAATTCTCAAACACGAAAAGAATTATTTTCAATAATTAGGATGGTGCTCAAAATTTACTGCTAAATTCCATGACAAATCACAGTATCACTATAGTAATGTAGGCGTGTCCATAAACATAAAATTGAGAATTCCCCTTTTCTCTATTATTCGATGGAAACAATGATTGAAAGTTGAACTTTTTCCACAACACAACATCAACCTTGATTACTATTTGATTTATAAATAAATAGTTCACGCGATAAAATTGAGTGCAATCTACTTTTCAAATTAAGTTGAGAAATTGGACTTTTATTGATTGCATCAACTCAGCGAATTGCATTTAATTCTATTTATCGGACTGGTTTTCAATTAATGTCTGTCATTTAAATTCTGATTTAATTTGACGTTATTTTGACTTGAAATGAAAATATTTCGGAGAAATTGAATTTTGGGAGGCACTTAATAAATGACCTCAAAAATTTCCAATTGGCTTAAAAGGAAAAATAATATAATAATGCACAATGTTGCTAATAGTCATATAAAGCAATCGGAATTATTCATGCGAAAAGTACGGGGGTTCATCACGCTATGAAACACGGCGAAACGTGATAGGGAGCACGTGCACATTTAAAGTGAAACTTTTTATTACCGTCATGATCTTTATCAAGTTCTGCAAAAAGTTTTTTTGCAAACAGCTCTGCTGGTGGCACGCCTTCAATTCCATTGGGATCTCCAGCCATGTTGTACATCGCCTGAAAAATATGCCAAATAGGCACAAACAGTTTTTCCACACAGACTTTAAATAAATCTAATTTATTTGTCACGGAAATGTATGGTTTTTCTATTCCCAAATGCCTTAATCTGTCAAAAAGAATTATATTTGAAAGGAAAAAACACGTTTATATGCTTTTCGTTTATTTTCGTGTTTTTCGACAAAAATCGTATGCAGTGTTGAGTTCTTATATTCAGACTATTTAGAGAAAAATCGTTGCATGCACGGTAGATAAAAAATGGAGATGACTCGAATGTGTCAAAATAGCATCCACCAAAAGCGTTTCTCGTTTTTGACCTTGGATCTGAATCTGATAACACTGTATTGTACATTCGGACTGTTTATAAACAATTCAAAATGCTTCAGTATGAATAAGCTTCATGATTTTAAATTTTGATCCATCACTTCTTAATTTTCTGCATCATTTTCATCAAAACATGTTCACAGATCTTATTGTTTTTATTTCATATTTCAAGGGATTTGAATAATTCATAAAATGGCGCATGCATCATCAACTTGCATTAATTCAATGTCCTTAAATTGTACGATACTTCAAAAATATTTTATTAATAAAATTTCTTTCATCGATAAAACGGAACGTGTGATGGGCGAGACGATATTTTGGGGACATTATTTTCAAAGAAGCATTCTTGCGTAAAACGAAATGTGACATATTACAAACCAGTATGCAATTAAATATCAAATTACATTTTTTTGAATGTGATTATTTGAAATTTAATGCATAATTGGAATATTATCTCAATAGCACAAAAATGAAATTTCTAAATAGCCTATTATCCACAGATATAGTTTAGTTGAGGTTTAAATGGACTCTACGTTTATTTAAATGACTGAATTTCGTGGCAAATATTTTAAAGGTATTGTTGTGACAAATATGAAGGTTGTATACAAACAGAAAACAGATATCTCCTATTATTTTCCTACTGGTGGAATCTGACATTTACAAATAAGAAAACATGAATATTTGTAGCTCTTTTACGGTCAGAAGTACTTAAAAAAATTCTTATTTTACTTAAAGCGAGTTTGTGAAGAAAAACCGAGAAAATTAGAATTTGCCAACATAGCCGCCGTAAGGAATATCCCACCAAATTTGATAAATTTATTTCACAGAACAACGCAAAAACACGGGAAAAATCAGCAAAAATCAGCATCAGCAATTTTAATGGGAAACTATTTTCGTTTAAACTTATTGACCGGCAGAGATGAAAAGATTAATACTGTAAAAATTTCGACCCTAGATTACAATCAACTGCCATATGTGGCCAATTAAATTATTCAATGATTAATTAACATAAAAATACCTTTACGACGTCCAATATTTCAGTGTACGTCAAGACTCCGTCGCCATTGGCGTCGTATAAGTCGAATGCAAGAGCCAACTTCTGCTTCACGGTTCCTTTTGAAATTAAGCTGAGAGCGATCATAAATTCCCGAAAATCGATTGTTCCTGCATTTAAAAACTTGATGTGAAAAATCGCACTGACAGGCACCGATGTCGTGAATAGGCTGAGAGCCAATTGTAAGTTAAAGAGCAAAACACTGGCAAGTCAAGTGAAATAAAGATTTTTCTAAGAGTTATGTTGGAACAGTAATACTATAATAACAGTAATATTACAACTGATTGAAACAATGCAGCAGTAGAATCTTTGTGACTGAAAGTTGATATAGACTTGGTTTTGAAAAATTGTTGTTCTTAGTAAATAAACATTTATTTTCGTTTGAACTACTGCATGAATAACTAAAATAGAAGTGTCTCTTGGTGTATTATTAATTTTATTACCCACTTTTGTAAAATTGCGACACCATGTGGGTTTGCCCCAGATCGGCTGGGGGAGAGTTTACCAGTGCTAATTAACTTGAATAAATGTTGTAACAAATGTAATACGCTTCTGAGAAAGAAAGTATTTATTACACTGTTTCATAATATTGAAGGCATTCTGAGGTATGCTTATACAAGCACAAAATTGTTCTTTTATTTTAAATTGCTCAAGAAATATCGTCACGCTAATAACCGAATTGCGTAAGTCATTTTTAGCAGTTTTGAGAAAAACGTAAAAAACTTCCTAATGATATTGTTATGCCATTGAGAGTCAATAATTTGCCATGGTTCAATTTTTTGACCGTATTCGGATTTAAGTTAATTTGTATGACGCAGTTAAGTGACGTCATCTTGGCGCACTGTGACTTAGACAGAAATGTGTCTATGACTCGGGGACATACGCAATTTTGCAACTTTACTATATGCACCAGTCCTGAAAACTAAACATTCCAAAAACGAATGTAATTCTCAGTATCTACAATGACTAATCCCCAAAATAGCTAATCAGTTTCAATTACATTATTTTTTATGTTTAAAAATATATATTTCATCAATATAACACGTTCTGCACACCCAACGAAATAAGACTAAGATTAAACATAAAGAATAAAACAGCAATGCACCCAATATAAAAGCCAACCAAGGTGAATTGGACTCGGACAGTGAATATCACAGGTGCACGTCTTCCTATACTGTAGTTATAAATTTAAATTAATACGCGCTAAGCTAGAATCCGAGATGCAAAAACTCGAAAATACTTCGCCGATGTTACGTCACAATAGTCCTGCGTTCACAATGATAATTCATTATGACGAAACAATTGCACAAATGTGCATGGCATACTAAATCTCTATTTTTATGGGTTTCGGAATTCTTAAAATGAAATCTGAGTTAACAGACAGGTGCACAGCATTACATAAATACCTATTTTATAAAAAACTCAAAATCGCCAAAAATGACTTACGCAATTCAGTTTTTAGCGTGACGACATGTGATTTCAGTTTTAAACTTTGATTGTGGCACAATGCAATATTATTGAAAAAATCTTGACGTTTGAACCCGAGACAGCCATTCTATTGTTTAGTCCAAGTCTGTCATCTTGAGACCACAGCGTAATGAAATTGACACACCACATCGCGATATGTTTGTAGTTTGAAATTAGACCCAAGGATTTGCTAAGTTGCTTGCTTTTGGAAATCGTCAATGTTGGTCGCTAAACATAATCTTTCAAATTGGCAAGGCGGACTCGTTTGGTTCAGTGCAAAAATTGTCATCTTCATAACACGGCATATTTATATTAATGAATTTATTGATTGAAAATTAATCCAGTTAATAAATATTTTAGGCATGGTTAAATGAACACGCAATTTGAAAAATTTGATTGATCTACATTGAAATTGAATTATTTCGCTTCGCTTAATTCTACAGACGCAATAAACATTCCGGATTATCTCCGTACACAAGTTGAAATTCAATAACTTCAAAATATCCCTACCTGCGATTGTAACAACTCAACGTCAGTTTCTTATATTTATTAGAGGTGTGCGTTAATATGATGATATTCATTTTCTCTCTGTGTGTTAATGGTCCACATTCGTAATCTTACAAGTCTCACTAAATGTCTTAGTACATTTGGAATTAGTCGAGCCCTTACTTTAATCCTTTTTTTCGTTATAGAGGTGGGTGGAGGGCCACACGGGACCCTTACTTTAATCTTTTAACTCAAACTGAATTCATGTGAAGTGCGACACCGAGCGGATAGTACTACCCACATGATGCACAATTACGTCATAATAAATTTTGAACTTCTATTGTTTTTGAAAGTTTCTTTGTTGTTCATAACAAAGAAACGAAAATGAAACAAAACAAATTATGTCAATCCTCAGAGGTATTAAATAAAGGGAAATGAACGACTGAATGAATTTTGTGGTCAGATTCCACATAAAAGATTACAATAAATGAGGAAGCACTGATATAAAAACCATTAAATTTACTGTAAATTCAAGGTAATTGTGATTGCTCCTCATCATGCAATCCTATACCTGATTGATAATATTTTAGATTCTGTACGTTCCGTTATTTATTAGGTTTTCGAAAAATATTAATTGCATTTGACATACCACGTGTGGGGTACTTTTAGTGGACACAGTTATCTCTAAATTATACTATTTTGGTCGCCAGTTATTGTGAGATCACAGTCAGATCAGAGGCAATTTAGCATTACTTGTATCTGAAAAAAATTATACAAGCGACAACAGGTTTTAAACAATTGTAAACTCTTGAGATAAGATAAGAAAAAATTGATATTTGGTGATTTTTTCATCTGATATTTCACATTGATAATGCACCTGTCGGGAACAAGGAATACAAATCATTTATTTGCGATTTAACTGTGCTTTTACTTCGAATCCAAAACTACAGACAACAAAACAGTAGTTTTTCTTCTTTTGACAGTAGCATACATACGAAATTACAGTTATTTTCAAAACTTGAAAACGGCTGATCTGACTATTAGTCATCATTAATAAACCTACAACTCATATTGTGTACCAATAGGGAGGTAGCTAATTTCTTTCGCCTACTTTACATCAAGTTGTGTACAGGGACGGAAGCCTATGGGCAGGGGGTATATTCACGTGGCTAACACAGACAATCCCTGAACTCGTAATAGAACTATAATAAGGAAAATCGGAATAAAATTATGGCTTAACCCTCACCTGGTACTGGAGTACCAAAATTGTAAATACCATAATTTCTTGAAAATCGCATTGCGAACTCATTTGTCGTTCTATTCCAAATACATTAAATCGATTTACTATGTCACGGGCTGAAAATCTATCTCAAATTCTATTAACTGAATTCGTTAAATGTACTAATTTTCATGCATAATTCATGGCATTTTATTGACAAATATTTATGAAAATGATTTTAATCTGCCATGTACGGTTCAGAAATGAGAAATGTCGGCACCATACTTTGGCACGAGGCTAATACATGTGTAAAATATAATGCCCTAAAATTAACTTCGACAGACTCTTTTAATCAACTTATCGTCATATATTTTGAAGCACGTGCAACTGTATTTAAAATATATGTAATGTGGCGTGAAGACTTTATTTTATTTATGAAAAAGTTTTTCCTCTGCACGAATAGCTTTTGAACCACATGCCACTATACGACAGCCCGAAGCGCTCTTATTAGCTACGAAGTACCGTATCGTTTACCGCCACCCACTGACGGTCTTTGTGGAGCACTAATCAGTAGAACGAGTGCATGTGCTTCAGAAATGGCCCAACAATTAAAGAATGTAGTCTACACGAAGCCACAAAAATATCTTCAACGAAAAACTATTTAATAAAGTGTATGTATCATAATAGAGCAATACATACCATCATTATTTTGGTCGTACGTCTGGAATAACTTTTCAGCAAAGTTTTTTCGTTTTGGGTCATCTGGAAAGAAATCTCTGTAAATTGCTTGGAATTGCTTTTTCGTCAAATGCCCACTCGGATAATCCTAAACGATAAAATATTTATCTATAAATCTTTAATTCTAGACGGCTCTCGGGAGCAATCATAATCTCTTTATGATGTGCTTAATCTTGGAATTTTAATGTCTTGATCAAATATGATAAAAAAGTAATACAAAATGTTATTTTATTGGGTATTCCACGCCGTCGCTGGAATAAGGCTTTATGTAAGCACTAAGCAGTCGTCTATATGCATTAAGGAGAGCCGAAATATTTTCCAATTATTACACTCTGATCTAGAATAGATGGTAGGTTATATAACATACTTATTGATCGAGGTTGAAATAAAAAATTAAATACCACACTAATATAGCCTTGTAGGCTATAATGCATTATGTAGTATCTTCCATTGCATTGGCACTGAAAAATAGCACAGCAACTCACTTTCAATGAGATATGTATATCCTTAGCATGCAAATTTCATTATGGCAAGAGTATTCATCTCTAAGTCAGAGTTTCGAAAATTAGATATACAAAGACATAAAACTTTAAAAAGTTCTGACGGAAATTCTATATTTTGAACGACAGCGAAGGATTGAAGTTCGTATTTGGGTCAGGAAAGTACGTTAATTTTACAAAAAGCTAATTACTTCTCCTGGTGTCACGACTCATGACTTCCGCGCTGTAATAAGCAAATTTAATCACTGGGAGTGCAATCAATCTATCATTGGCAAGTATCAACAAACGAAAAATACCACCCAGGAAACACATTCAAACTCATCTGCATCAGATTATATTGATCGTATTTGGCACATGCCTTTTACAACACTTTGAAGAAAAGAATAAATAATGACCTCTTCTAGTAAGTGAAACTCAAAAACCAATCGGGCAAGGATCTGAATGATTTTCAAGGAAGTATAATTTGGTGAAAAGTGAATTGTATCAACCAGTAAAAGCAAGAACTTTCATAATTTGAAGTGGTGAGCTGTAGCCGGAACGCACCGGAACGGCGTTCCGGTTGTTGGACATTTTATTGCTTTTGCGTTCCTGTTGTTGAAATAAAATTATGGCACAAAAGTCTAGTTTTTCTGGTAAACTTAGTTATTAATTTATGTTTTGTTACATCATAATTCGTTATTCTTTTTACCTAAACAATAATTAGTACAACAGTAACGTGTAATAGATGTTTCACCGACCTTTGACCTCGTCGGATATTATCCTATTCCTTTCTAATGATGACAGTTGTAATAATTGTTTGCTATGAATATTCTTGTTATTTTACACAGACGTATTTCAGAAAATATCTACATTTTTCATTGCGGTTCTTCTGCTCTATCTTAGAACAGACAAATCTTTTTGTCCGCGTCTTGTAAATATGTATATTATATTTTTGCGAATTTGGTGCGTTCCGGTTGTTACGATTTTTCCAGCTCATCACTGAATTTATGACCCCAAAACAGAACTTAGTTAATTAAGAAAATTAATTAACATACATCAACACAAACTTCTGTTCGTGTATGATTGTACCCAAAAGTTTCAGTAATCTAGGACTTATTACAACAATCACTGTATCAAAGCAAAAAAATGCATGCATGCCCAGAGACTTGTTTTGGTTGCATGTATGTAGAAACTAATATCTCGTTAAAAATGAAGATTTCATTTTGCTTTTTCACCGCACGTTACTAGTATTACAAAAGGGCCACACCAGTTCGTACCATGCGTAATTAGAAGTCCAATCATATCGGTAACTATAATAAACATAATTATGCCGTAGTGTGCAGTTAGAGAACATAGAGCAAGAAATTTGATAAGTTGCGGTCACGTCAAAAGGTCGTCAGTTGCAGCGTGAAAATTGCTTTCCAATTACTGCGACCATCGTGAAAATTTGTTTATCTGGTGCTTAAGTTCGCTATAGAGACAACTCAATTTAGCAATAAAACCGTACTGAACATTTGATAATTGGCATTTTAACCTGTATGCGTCAGCACAATTATTGACATCGATAATACAAAGCATTTTTTAAACTATCTTACTTGTTACCCTCGCGTGATGACTTATTTGTTAAAACTCCTTTATTGGACACGAAATAGACCTATGGGTTGTTTTGTTATTATTGTTCTTGTTGAAATTTTTTCTTTGTGTTGTTATGAAAAAATTCTCATTAACTATTGAATCAATTGCTTTGAAATTTTTAGGGGTTAAAGATTGTATATTTCTCTAGAAGGCCATTACTCTTTTTTATTTAAAAACTTTCTTGCTATGCCAAAGTCGGAAAAATTTTGACGGAATCGGTACGATGCTCTGTGTCAAATATGACATGTGCTAAAATGTACTGGGGCACATCAGACGGATAGACAGACACAATTAAGCAGTGGAAATACTACGACGGTATTATCTGGTATAATCCGTGGATTTAGTTCTAATCAATCAATTTTAATTGAGAGGTCGCAAGTTAAAAGCAAGTTACAAATCAACAATAGAGTATATTTTAAGCGGACAACATCAGACTTTGCCTTGAAATGCTCACGAAAACCACAAGAACGTCGAGAATTTTCAAAGACAATCAAATCTTTCATTCTTATATTTAACCGAGGAGGTTGAAGCGAATCAACTGGCCTACAATATAAAGAGACACAGGGCAGGTGTATTACTAATCCGATTAAAAATTTCTAAACATTGAAGATTCAAGTTGAAATTTCTGTTGCTGGGAAGTTTCTCATATATATGTTACGATATGTTAGGGCCATACATAATATCTGCTCAGAGTCTCTATGAGAATGATCTACATTTTGGTTACTATAAATTATGATGTGGAAATTTATAAATAAAAACGAAAATTACCTTTACAAATTCTCTGTAGTATTTGTTAAGCTCGCCGACATCCAGTCCCGTTGTTTTTGCCAATTCACTGACGTCCTTTTCGGGCAAAACCAACGTTTTCTTCTTAAAGGCTTTTTGGTCTGAACAACATTGACCCATGGTTTTTGTCTTACTCCCCGTATGTGTTAGATTCTTCAATGAAAAGTCTCCTTTTAATATTATTTTCCAAAAATATAGCTTGAAATTCCCACAGACAATAAACGATAAAAATATGACGTAGTTTCCCAAATAAATTTATAATGAGAGGAGAAAAACAAAGCTAGTCGTTAGTTGCCTTGAATTGCATTCGTTAGTACCGGTAGTTGAATACAGTCATTCAGTTACATAAATATTCTCAATACGGGAGCTTCAACAATTTTGTTTGCGTAAAATCGCGCTCTCCATAGGAAACGTCTTAATAAATTGAGCAGACCGAATGCAGTCTTTTTTTCTCGTATTCAGCATGTCAGTTATGACGAAAAAACAACTAATTAGTCCATTTTGAGGTTGTGCTTCGAATAAAATTAACATCGCGTTACATATATTTGCTTACGTATGGCTCATCTTTCTGATATATTATCTTGTTTATAACTCCTTCGTTTATAATTTACTGCTGACAGCGCAGTTCATTCGGATAGGACAGGACCCATCAAACGACTGCAGGCTCCAACTCTTTGACATAATAATAAAAAAGAATATTTTCCCCCTAGAGAAATATCCTCTACCGCACTCTTAAATATTTAATGAGGACCTAGGCTGTAAAGTCATAGCAGGCTATTTATCGAATCTCCTCAACTTCCGAAGCTTTTTGGGAAGTCGTCACCCTTGGGGTCACAAATTGTGCATTGTAGTTTGAAGTTTCAAGAATAATTTAGTATACCGAGTATTAAATATATGCTGCAACAACGAGTACCAAATTAATTAGGAATTTCTGTGACTAAATCTGACTCTATGAAAAATGATCTGACGTTCGACAACGTATTTTGTCTACGGGTGATCTCGCTTTTTCGCGCAACACAGGTGGTTCATATCGTTAAAATATTGAATAATATATACAATTCCACGGATATACATATACATATAAGTTCAACACTGATACTGGTTTGAAAACGTTTGATCGCTCGTCTTCACTGCCCTTGCTTTTCCGAGAGATGTAAAAAGAAACAAAATTTACAAGAATGCTTATCGGAATTTGTCGCTTTTGCATCACAAGTAATAAAATATCAAAATACGAGATTTTGCGACGTCATTTTATAGCAGTTTAATTTTTATCAAAGTGTAATTCAAAATATGATTCGAGTCCAGTTTTGTGGCCAGTTAGGTTTTTAGGTTTTTGATCAACCTGATCTGCCTGGTAAATCAATAACAACATCAAATATCAATTCATCATATTTGACGAAGAAAGTCTGTTTTACGAGTTCTCAATAACTGTTGAATGCCAACCAATTACCGTATTTTTTATTACAGTACATGCTTCTCAGACTTCCTCTATCATTTCTAATTAAATTCTTGTCATTTAAATACCAAGGGGGTAATTGGATAATATTTCCGAGGAAACCGATAATGGGTTCCTATGGTAAATCACAGCCGTAAAGAGATCGACAGAGAGAGAATTTCTCCCGGATGTATCTCATATTTTGAACTTGGCATTCTAAGAGCAAGACGTTTTTGGAAAAAGCATGTAAATGCATTTCCAAATATCCCTCTCTCAATCTAGCCCTGATATGGGCAAACTACGGCCCGAGGGCCAAATCTAGCCCGTTAGGTAATTCAATCTGGCCCGCCTGATGCTGCCACAATCAAACTAAAACCAAATTTTGATGTTTTAGCTGAAAAACAGCTCAAGGAATTTGTTGATTAAATTTTGTTTTGGCACGAGGCCTATCGTTTTCCACTTCTGCTTTTGTAACAAGGTAAATATTGTTCAAAAAATGTAATTTGTTACGTCACACTTACGTGGCCCGCCAGTCTATGTGAGATTGTTTACTGACCACGACGGCATCTGATTTGGCGGTAGTTCATTTGCATATTCCATCGAAAAATTATGATTACGAGATTGCATCCATCCAACTGTTATCACTGAATAATTATGAATGAAGTATGACGTAGTATGTAAAACGTATATGCATAATAAACGTATTTGAAATATAATTTTCTAATGCCGAAGTCTTACGATATTTCCATCACTTATTAATGCGATTCTTCCAAAATATCGACAAAATTGGGTTTCTTACAATTCGATCGGCTTTATATACAAATTACGCTTATTGGTCATTGAGCGTGAGCCTTGAATCGCTTCATCATTATTATTTATCGATTATTTATTCATAAACCCGAGCCTTTTGGGCTTAAAAAATTAGCACACAAAGTGCATATGCATTTCATAGTAATTTCAAAGGTATAGAAAACCAGGGTATATATTCTATTAAAATATCCCTGACCAAATGTGAACGAAGTGTCGTGTGTGTATAGCATTTTCAAATACAGTTCCTGTTGCACGAAAATTATGTTTAGTTCGATCGATCAATTGCGAACAGTAAGTATTATAGGTTAATCAAAAATTGAAATTCCACCCCGAACACTGATATTACATTAGTATAATGCGGTTTCATCGATTAAAGGCTTTCCTCTTGCATTCCAGACTGCACCTTATTGCTGTGTCGTATCCCTGTTACGCAAGTTATATCACAAAAAAATAAAGTGTTCCGTCATCGATGTAGCAACGTCAACTCTCATGATTAAATCAAAATCTGTTCTAAATAGCTACATTCAAGTGATCAAGATGACATAGTTGAGAAATTGCAGAAACAATGAAATAACCTCAATGTCTGATTAATTTTGTCGCAAAATATTCTTGATCACCTATATATATACCAACTACTACACATCAATTGTGTGAACTAAATAACATTGGCTTATGCTATTCTAACTCCACCTTGGATCAGACATCGCGACTAAAGATATGGGTCCGCAAATTCAGATGGAAACACTGACTGACAATCAATGTACTTCGCTAATAATTTTTGAATTCAATTTTTCGTTTCATTGCGTTGGTATGATGATATTGGATTTATAATTTATCAATTCGAAACAAGATTATAAGAGGTAAGTGAAATGCAAAAATTTTTAAACACAATATGGATTTATTGATCGTTTGAATTAACACTTGCTGTTTGTATTGCTGTTGTTCTTATTCCTCTAAACTACTGTACCGCTTGGTTTTTAATTTGCTTAATACATTTATCATTTCGTGCAAGATATAAATTGCACCGTTCATCGTATTTGAAATTACTCATTTTGTAATCAGATGTGAGAAACCAATGTACTACGTTGCATTAATATTGTTAAAATTACTGTAGATATAGGCTGAATGCCAGGTAACTTTCACTACTTTTTTAAATTGCCATTTTCGAGGTGTCACAACCTCCCGATTCATTAGAAGAAGCGTTATAAGATTGAATACTTGAGCAAAAAAAAATAGATCAAATAAAGAGTTGCGACCGTCTTCCAATTGATAATGGCTGATTATTTTCTTTTCACATAAAATACCCAGAGAAAACAATTTTAGGTTTGCTTGTTTTTAAGTTAAGTTTGTTTGCTAAAAGCAAAATTGAAAACGACATTACGCCCAAAATATGTTAAAAGCCCAACGGGATAGGTCTAGAGAGAACCAGAGATGGTCACGCCTACATGTTTTAAGCACGACCTTCAATCATGTTTGTAGACAAAAACACGCACTTTGATACATTAGTGGTGCCCAGTTTTTTTAGTACTTTTGGGGTTTTTTAAATTTAATGCACGCTGCCTGCATGATTATATCAGGCTAATTTATACAAAATTGCTCAGTTTCTGTTGATGCGCTTATTTATCATCGTGTTCATTGATTATTTCATTCCGGTAATATTCTTCTATTCTAGCTAATCTAACTCACCGCGCAATGATTTTAGAATGCTCAACATTACTATATATACAAATGCTTACTCTTTTCACTTTGCCCCGTGTATATTAACTTGCAATTATGTAAGCGTTTAGTTTTCTTACCTTATTTATATATATCTTACAGACTAAACATGTTCATTATCTCCGGAACAGTAGGCAAATTTTAGTCTCTTGAGTACAACGATACGAATGAAAAAGTCATCCATTAAAGTTATAGATTCTATCTATGTTCTACTATATTTGACATACTGTCGTTTGAATATTTCATAACCTAAACAAAACTTCGGAACAGCGAGTGATAGACGACGAGAACGATATGAAGAGAGAACTACTAAAATGAGCGATGCTTTTTAAGATAGCCATACTAACTTATGCTTAATCACCTCCGTATAATTTCGACTTGAGTAGGTAACTATTCACTTACGAGTACATAACATTGCCAATATCTGGATTACTTTTACATTTGGCCCATTTTAAGCGTGAAGTATAATTTTTGGACACGAAATATATATATGGATCGTTTTCTTATTATGTTGTTGTTGTTCTTGTTGGTATTTTGCTCCATATTGTTGTGAAGCAATCGCTTTTCTCTTCAACTACTGGACCAATTCCTTTGAAATTTTCAGAGGGTAAAGATTGTATTTTTGCTAGAAGACAATTACTTTTACCTATTTCAAAATTTCTGTGGACTCTATGGGATTCATTTTTTTGTGTGCGATGACGTCATCGAAATTGTGCACATTGTGGCGGTTCCTTTGACAACTGCTTCGCTTTGGTCTGTGTCCATATATTTGAGCATCGCTCTCTTGTTAATTTAAATTTTAAAATTTTTCTCTCTATGCAATACCCCCCATCGCGTTATTGATTACTAAAAACAATATAATTACCAGCAAGCTGACAAAAGCACGCACGTTTCTTATTGTAGTTACATAGTAACGACTGCTCATATCATCCTATTAAATCTGAACATGAAAACATATTGTACTTTTCTTTGCGTTTGTTTTTTACGTAAGGTTCGCCAATAACCGGCCTGAATGGTATTACACTTCAACCTTTTTTCAAAAGATCTTACTATTAAAATATGGCATCTACTCGAAGACACTTTCGGTGATGTAAGCTAGAAGATGTTTACCTTGCAGAGTCTGATAATGGTTGTAGATACTATTTATGAATAACATCCTTCGATACAATAGCTGAACATAATTAGTGAAAAAACATACAAATATATTCATATTTATTTCACGAAACTGAGTCGTATTTTACACATGACCTGATAAATATTAATAAAATAAATCGAAAAGTAAATTAAAAAATGTTTACAACCCCATAAAAAAACGCCAAACGTTGTTCCAAATCTTTGACAGCAAAAATAAAATGCTCATTTCAGAACAAAAAATCCTAGTTTCTCTCTTGCTGGATTATCCTGTCTCGGGTTGCATTCAAGTGACGGTATCATTTTCATGAAGTCGATATAATTTTCGCGCATTAATTCGAATATGATAAGAACCCTTTACAAAATTCTCATGTTGAAATCACTGTCGGTGCTATATTATTGTTAGTTTTATTGGTGATCATAAAAATGGTTATTAGTTTAGTTGTCAGTGACACGGACCGTTCTATACCACCAGCGAACAGTTTGAAAATAATCGGCAAACTTGACATGTTCAAGATATGTTTTACCATGCACCATAACGTAATGTAATGTATGCGCGATATTGTTTATATTATTCGTCCCCGAGATCGTGTCTGCCTCGTAATAACAGCACCGGTTAGGTAGTCATTGTTGTCAACTACATAGTTAATTCACGAATGAAGACGGAACTTTTGTGAATTCGAAATGCCGCCATTAGCACACAAGTGATCAGCCAACATTGATTCATCATGATGACATAAAATGAACAATTCAATTTTGAAAAAAAGCTGCCTCTCTTCGGAACCCTCGCCCTTCATTAACTTTTAATGAATTATTACGGCGAATAAGTTTAAACGGGGAAGAGTTATAGCTAGATGGCGTCTGTTGGAAAGATTTTCGAAGATCATCACTTTCACCAGACATTGCACTTGAATCGCCTTCTGGTGGCCGTCTGTCGTAGTTGTCTTTAGATCTGTGATGTGATTTGTTGTCTAAATTCAATAAACAATGTGTTAGTATCTGCGTATTTTATATATGCCGTGAAAATGATCGTATTTTTGGCACATTGTAGAATCATGGATAGTTTTGTTAAATTGTTATAGTTGCCAGGGGTCTTGTTTTTGTCGCGTTTTTTTCACAACTAAGAAACCAAAAGATTTCAAACTATTGGTACGCAAAGATGGAAGTAGTCCCCAGAAAGCTACATTTGTGACTTCTTTTTTTTTCAATTTTGTCCGAGTCCTATGGGCTCCATATTTCACCAGAATTTTTTGCGACTATTGCGCCACCACGTGGCATGACGTCACATCATCACGCCATCTTTTCGGGGCCTTACAACTACTAGTGCCGCAGTTGGGACTTGATTTAAAATTTTGATTTGACGCATTTGAATGATCAGATAACCAACTAAAATAATTAAGTTGCATAGGCTACTGATACTGCTGTAATCTGCATGTATTTTAGCATTTCTTTCCGTTTAACAGCATCCAAGCGATAGAGGTAAGTCGTCCCAAATGTGTTTTCAGATATTATCTGGAATGAATGGCTATTGGAATGGTGTATCGATCACGAATGAAAGTGTTGTCAATGATTTACTTACAAGTTTCTAATACATAGAAAAATTAAAAATTGTTGCTCGCACCAAACACGAGATGTATCTGAATTGTTGTTGCAATATCGAATGAACTGCCTCGCTTATTTTGTTACATAATAACTATAACGAGTGGAGTATTTCCATGATATATGGACATCGTAGCCGAAACTATGGGCAACGGTCTCATAGAAATTTCAAGTTCATAAGAGTTTCTCAATGTATTCTGGGTTGTTATAAAAATTGCTGACCTTTGACAGGTGTTCCCTTTCCTGAATCAATACTCTGACTTCTTCGTACAGGTTGCCTGGAACAAGATCCAAACATCATGAGAATTTTCAAGTTTGAAAATTGTAGGATATAACAATTGTATTCATATTTTTTAACGATAGCACGATCATAATAACATTGAAAAACAGTTTTCAACTAAATCCATGAATTAGTTCCAGACTACAAAAATTTTCAGGCAGTTACAGAGTAGTATTTTAACGACAATAAGAAAGCACAGCTGAATTGTTAGTTGAACCAAGTATTTGATATTATGTATCATTTTATAGTGTATTAATTAATATAAATGATAGATGTTTCTCCGAGGATCGACTTGTTTATTTTTGTAACAATGACCAATTACCAATAATTTAACGGTGATATAATATTAGGAAATCGCATAGCCACCCAGACACTGGAGTTTTTTCTACCCAGACAAACTTTTAAGCAGGGTAGTAATCAGCTCGTTATCAATAATTTTTTTAGTTGCTGTTAGTTAAATCAAATAACGCAATTATTTTGTTACCCGGGGAGTATTAGTTCAGTAATCAAATTCAGCCTCGAAAAAGCTGCGATAGACTTAGACTAAAATTAGCTATCATCCGTGCTTTCAGATGGCAGTCGGTTAAATATTTTGCGTCAAAATGATAGTTATAAACATGCAAACCAGTTTGTGAATGGAAACTCGCAAAAACAATAAGCATTAAAGCAAAAAAAATGGCAAAAAAGTTGGCAAGAGGAAAATAAATTCTTGGTTCAGGGGTCGGGAAACGTCCATTGACTCAAAATGTACTTTAGCTGTTTATAGTACCTGCGCTTTTCCGGTCGTTTTCTGTCGTCATCAGAATTTCTACGATGTAATCTAGAAAAAGTTTGTCAGTCAGTTTGTGATAATATGAGATGCTTTCCTACATATTATCATCTTGAACAAAATGAAAATGGATTTATACTTTTTATATTACATCAAAGTAAGTAACTTTGCATCGTCAGGAAGAGCGAAATGCTCAAAGATATGGACACAAATGCATGGTCAGTTTGCTGACTACCAGATCGCAGAAATCGCTTGCCGAAAAATCCATGAGGGTGCAACGATCCGATGGTCCATTTCGTGTTCGAATATTCTGTTTTTGTAATAATATATACGAACGACAGCAATAAAATGCTACTCAGTACTCACTTTGATTTGTTTGGAAAGAATCCGGTTTTCTCTCGTTCTATTGATGGATGAGGTTTGCCCTTTCGTTCTGAATTAGAAGATTCAAAAATTGCGAAATATCAAATATAGATACTCTATAAATTGTTCGAAAGAATTAATTACCTCGAGGTTTCTCTTTGTTTCGATTGTTTTTAGATAAATCTTTCGGCTCACAGAATGTAACAGAGCGTTTACGCTGAACTTGTTTCCTGTTTGATTGAAAAAAATTAAAAATAGTTTTATAGTTTAAATAGGTTTTGCGCCAATATACAGTACTATTACTATTAAGGACAATTTTGAGGTGAGAAAGCACGTGTCATTTATACTGCATCTATATAATCCCTGGGAGTCAAGTGTTACATGTTTCACCTTGCACATAGACACTGTTTTCATCCTGCATTTCGCTATTATAGATAAAGCTACGTGCATATTCTGCGTTTGTTATACCTCGGTTTATCTGTATTGTGTGGAAGATATCCATATTTCCCCCCATGATTCCTTCCCATGTTTGGATTGATGTAATTGCGCTGGTGTTCTTCTGGGACGTTTTTAAGCAGTTCGGTATCTCTGTCTTGCCAATGATCTTTATAATATAGAAATTGGAGGACTTCATAAATATGTGTTTCATAAAAAAATAAAACAAGGAAGAACTTGGCACACTCAGTAGGGTTGCGAGTATGACTAAAAGGTGGAAATTGGATTGCAAATATAAAGAGAAGGACAGTTATTAAATAAGTGGTAATATAAAGAAGCTAATCAGATTAATACTGTTCAGAAGAAGTATTAGTGAGATGGAGTTGAAAGTATTAGAGACAATACTATAAAAAGTAATCTAGAATTATATTAATTATTCGAAACATCAGAAAACAAAATTTCCAGTGCCCACCTGCAGGCAAATCAAATCGAACAGCTTTATCTTTGGTGACGGGATTTTGGCCTATAACTCTTTCTTTTATAAGGCCGTCGATATATTCATCTCTCACGAGAGGTGGGCCCATAATTTTTGATGTTTTCTCTTTAGGTGGAGACGTACTTTGACCATGCAGAGAACTTAAATCACTATTCAAAGATAACAACTGATCGTCATCTGTGACAAGAGTTAGTAAATGTAGTCAGTAAGAAAATTCTACTGTTATTCATACTACTACAACAATTTTTGTCAGAGAAGAAGTTATACTATATATATATATACTTTATATCATGATTCTGATACTTGTACTAAATACTTAGATTTACCGCGAAGGAATTACAAAGGGAATTTAGTCAGATATTCATAAATCTGCATGATTCTTCAAAGAGAGACAACTACTGAGAGAGGGGGAGAGAAAGACAGTGAAATAGTAATCTAGTTTATAGTATTTTGTTTATCAATTTTAATAGTGATTAGCTACATGTTATCCTATATATATATATATATATAAAGACAGATTAATGAAAGTTTGGTGTCAGTTAGGAAGAAATAAACCGTAATCATTGGCTACCAAGAACTTTACCTTTCCTCGAATTATATTCTGTGTAATCCTCAAGATCAATTTCACTGATTGTATCTTGAGAATCGCTTGCACTTTCAACAGATTCTGGTTTATGTTTTGGTTGTTTGTGTTTGTGGGATTTTCTGTTTATTAAATAAATGTTATATTCATGATATCGCAAATAAATAATCCTAAAAAATGATGAACTAATTCATACCTGCTATGTTGATTGCTTTTGTAAGGTGTTTTGTATTCTCTACCTGAATAGAATATTCCATGAAATTTCATTATTATTAAATACATTGAACATTGGCACACACTATATCATTACCATACGCCCTTTTTTGTGAACACTGTTACCTTTATCATGTCGGTTTATAGATTCCCTCCTCTCTTTGTCCCTGTAAGGCTCTGGTTCATGATTAACTTTTGGCTCTTCATAGTAGTTGTAACTAGAAGGAGTATCTTCATCATATTGATTAGGATTGTACGAGTTATAATTTTGAAAGTCTTCATAATGATGAGCTTGATTGGTTTGAGGATATTGGGGATAACGATTTTGAATGCCGTAAGGCAGTTGTGGATGGTTTGTTGGATATACCATTCCTACACCAGGTACAGAAGAATACTGGCTAGGGTTCAAGTGTCCTTCTGGTACCCCAGTCATAAGAGGATCACTTTGGGCTTTGTATTTCGTGGGATACTGATATTCATTTGTTAGATTTTGCATTTGAAACGTTTCTGCGTATGGCTCGACTGGATCATAGTCGATGATATTTGTTTTGTCTTTCTTCTGTTTTTTAGATGATCTTTCAGTTATTTTGAATGATCGATCTTTCTTTGGATCTGCAAATGTCAAAAACAAGCCTTAAATGCGCGCTTGCTTGGAAGACGAATTTGCCTCGATAAATGAGAATGGAGGTCTCAATTCTGAAGGCTACATGCAACGGATTATCAACATGAGGAACTCAACATATAATATATAATTTATGTACTTCCATTATTCGACAATCATATCATATTCACAGTTGGAAAACTGATAATAGTAATACTTTTTCACTTATGGGTTTGGAACATTGAATTATTGCATTCAATTTTATTACAATGTAATGCACTTTAGTAGAATATTATACCAAAGTCCCTTTTAAACGTACAATACCTGACTTCTTGTTCTTTTTTGGTTTGACGTTGATATTGTTCACTTTATTAGCAGCAGATCTTCTTTTACGCACCCAGAGCATAAACAAGGCAGCCAGAATACCAATGACAATTAAGAATAAAATGCTCGGAAGAAGAGCCGCGAGAAGATGAGAATCTTTCTGCCAATCTGCTTCTGAATCTGATAAAGAAAAGGTTTTTCGTACATTTTTTTTCAGCTAATATTACAATTGATGAAGGTTTTTATGAACGTTTACTCTGGACTCACCGTCTTGGCATTGCAGTCCTTTGAATCCATCTCGGCAAATACACCAATATTCATTTGCTCTATCCATGCAAGATCCACCGTTTTGACATGGCTCAGACTCACATTCATTTATATCTAAAAGTATTATATGTACATCATAGCCGTTCCTATACTGTTACAAAACAATAAATCTGTGTTGGATGTATGGATATTGATATATATACCTGTTTCGCAATACTTTCCAGTAAATCCTGGATTACACGAACAAGTGAAGTATCCATCATGTTGATCACAAACTCCATTGTTTAAGCAAGAGTACGGATGACATTCTTTGTCTTGAAAACAAATAAGTTTAAATTATATTTTTCTGGCCAATCAAAAGCTATGCTCAAAACAAATCATTATTACATTCATGCGTAACATTTAATAGAACACGACTTAATCGTCGAATCCTATATAAATAAACTCACCGTCTTTCCATTCAGCATCCGTTTTATTGTCATTTTCTTTTTCTGAAATAAAGATAATTGAATGTTATTATTTAAGAGAATGGGGATCCTTAAGGTCGATGTACATTGGCGATACCGATAGGATGTACTGCATCGATAGCATTCATTTACCTACATATTACTTGTTACTCTTTGTAATGAATTATTCTTAGTGGATAACTTTTCACTACATATAAACTTTACACTTACCTTTGTCGCACAAATCTCCGTCGTATTTTTCAGTGCAAATGCATCGGAAACCTTTACTATTATCTTCTTCACATGTTCCACCATTTTGACATGGATTTGAAAGACATGGGGATGCTAAACGAAATAGCTTATAATTATTTGCGCCAATAAATAGTTAAACATTGACTGTTTTCTTATGAGTGCAACAATGACCAATCAATCAATGCATAAGGTCTCGTACTACGAGACAGGGAAGACACTACTATCGTTATGGTAAAATGAGAGAAGATGCAGAATAAGTGCAATACCAATCTAGTATATTGAGCCCCATTAAGAAAATTGAAACTGTTCAAACTCAAGTACACCTGTCAGAAACGTTCAAATATGTAGTGAAGTTGGCACCCCGTGTTGATTGATTTTATGAATTGCACTGATGATATCGTAGCGTCATTAATTATATAATTTTTTAATGTTGAAATAAATGAGATATTCCAAAAAGGATTATGTGGTTTCCCACACCCGTGTTTTATGTCAATATCTATACTAACATGTTTACAACGATAACGTACTCTTCACAATAACTCAAATTTATATAATTACACTTCAAATAGTCATACGAGAGCCTCTTGTCATTTTATACTCGAATTAACTAATGAAGCACTTCCACATCGCTTATGTGATGAAATATATTTGTTAACTTTACAAGCGCAATTTATAACGAAGTACTTTTAAATGATTGTAACAAGACTTATAAATACCTTTTTATACTCATACGAAGTTTATCATGAACAATTTAAGGACATCATCATATTAGACAATATTAAATAACACTATGATCCACACTTTGATAGAATTAACTCTAATAATGTGCTTGCAAGCAAGGATAAAAAACTAGCTGATATAGGTGAATGATTTCACTTTGACAATTTGCTGATTTATTCAAATGCAGTAGAACGCACAAAACTATACTATATTTTTTGGAAGTTTGTTCCGCTGTACCTCTTATACATTGCTCACTTTTTTACTTCTAGTAATTATATTATATTTCCTTTAAATATTTATAGAAACAATTTCAACGTACTTTGATCGATTTCACACGTTTCCCCAGCATATCCCTTCTTGCAAATACATTCAAATTTGCTGGGATAGTCAATGCAGTTTCCATCATTTTTACAAGGATCGCTGTCACATTCGTCTAGTTCAATTTCACACATTACTCCACCGTATCCGGGTGTACACTCACAATCGAACCTGAACACAAGTGAAATATGGTTTATGTGCTACAGAAAGCCCCACTTGTGATCTCATTCAGAGATGGATGGATTACGTACCTATTTATACCATCTTTGCAAGTGCCTCCATTCGTGCACGGTCCCGAAGAACATTCGTCAACATCTGTAAAGAGTTGGAAGTAAGCATATATATAGTTTTTTTTTCTTGATAGGTATATTACCATTAGTAGCCTATGATAGGAAAATAAAGTTCTATTCTAAGACGCGGTTATACAATTGTTATACGTAACGTCAGAATTCTAAACGAGAAAATCTAACCACTAAAACAAGTATACTAAATTACAACTATAATGCTACAAGCTACAAATTCTGAAATTCAGACTACCAGTAGGCCTATATATAGGGTTACCAAATTTTTGTGACTTCAAAGCGGTACGCCTCCGAGACCAAATCCATTAGCTGTGATTTTTTTAACTTTACATTTCCCGATTTTACTACTTAGGCCTACATTTAAAGCCATCCCGACTGTCTTCATTAATTAACCATATTGTCATCGAGAGTTCATGCGCATATTCGCTGCCTAAATACCGGCTTCAGTTCAAAAAATATGGTGAGCCTAAGTTTATACCAAGAACTTGGTTAATGGTTGGAAAATGTGGTAAAGTCGCAGATTCGAAGTCAAAGGTGTAAGATGAAACAAAAGACAAAAGTGGTATATAGACTTATACAACGACCTAAAAAAAAATGCACTTTGTAGAAAGTTTTTACTTGCGAAGTACTACAATGAAAAACGCTTTATTTAGACTATCGAGCAAAAAAGAACATTTCATGTTTTCAAAAGCATGAACACATCCAGCAATACTAATATCTGGACCTGTTTCGCAGTGTTCGCCTTCGAAGCCTTCGAGACAGTGACAAGTGTATTCAGTTTTGGTTGAATTACATGTCGCTCCGTTTAAACATGGATTAGATTCACAGTGATTTGTTTCTGAAATACGAAATTGTTCAATCAAACTGATGTCTCTTCTTTACAAGCTTATGCGATGATGAAATATCGTACCGCTCTCACACAAAGTGCCGTAAAATCCTTCTTTACATTCACATTCGAAACTACCGATTTTATCGTGACATGTTCCTCCGTTTTGACAAGGATCAGAATCGCATTCGTTTATTTCGATTTCACATGTTTCTCCTTCGAAGCCAATTGCACATTGGCAATCATATCCGTTTGACTTGTCAACGCAGGTTGCGTTATTTAAACACGGTGAGGAAGAGCATTCATCATATTCTTTCAAAGTAAAAAATACCCGGTTGAGTGTTAAGTTGGCTGGATGATTTCATTTCCCAAGCAAGATTCTTACCAATATCACAATTTCTTCCAGTATATCCAGGTGCACAGGCGCAGAAATACTCATCTGGTTTTGGTTCAAAGCACCTTGCACCATTCTTGCAGGGGCTGCTTGAACATTCCGGAATGTCTGGTTTTTGAACATACATAAAACAATGTATATACATACGCTTATAAATTGAGCATCCACTTAGTTTGAATTATTATTTCATTTTAGGAACAAGTTAATGAATAAAAAAAATATATTTTAAAATTTTTATTCTGAATTTCAGAACGTGGGTGGTTATGTTTTCTATCCCGCCTTTCTAATACGTACAATGTGTCAATATCTTTATACAAATATATTAGTATCAAAATATCAGTAACAACACCAGTTATTTTCTATAGTAATAATTTATAGACAAGTCATTATTGTTGTCATAAGTGAACGATTGTGATAATTATTCGACTCATGACAAGATTTAATAATGATTCTACCAAACATAAGCTATAGTGACACAAATATGTACGAATAAACAGACCTATTTGACAATGATCACCGACGAAGCCATCTTCACAATCACAGGAATATTTGTCGATTCCATCAATGCAATCACCGTCATTTTGACATGGATCACTAGCACAATCATCTCTGTCTGTGGAAGGAATATATAATTGTGAGAGAATAAGGATGGATTATTGTTTATAAAACTTTGCAGCTTACTTATACTGCAATCATCTCCTTCATAACCCGCTACACATCTGCAAGCAAATCGAGCGACTTGATCAATACATCTTCCCCCGTTTTTACATGGATTTGATGCGCATTCATCAATGTCTGAAGAGAAAATGTAAAAAAGCATAAGATACCTTTTCACTCTGTAAGACATTCGAACATGAATGCAACCATAACCCGGTACTGGGGTTTTACTAGCAATCCTTCAGATTTTAGTCGTGTGTCTGAAATTTAGGTATGTATAAGTCAAATAACACATTGGCCACTTTGTCTTCCGAGGAGTTTCAGTTTGATGACAGCAATCGAACATTAGTCCGAAAAAGTTGGGATAGACTAGACTAAAATAACCCATCGGAATTTTTAATTGAAGGTAATTAAGTTTGTAAGCGCCAATTCGCAAAAACATTCTCAAAAAAGCATCAAAAGATCAGAACTCTTGAAGTGTAGAGAAAGAGTCTTCTTGGTGGTCAAAGGCCGGGGGAGGGTCTATTGTTTTTGTTTACTGAATCCATAACTAGAGGAGCTATTATAAAGAATTATAGCGTTGATAACTGACTCACCTGTTTCACAATTTGTTCCTACATATCCGTTTGCACAAATACATTCGTAAGAATTTGCCTCATCAGTACATTCGCCTCCATTTTGGCAAGGTGAAGATTCGCATTCGTTGATATCTGTGGAAATTTATAATAATGCAAATGTTCTTTGCATCAAACCTAAATGCAAATTCTAATTGCTGTTCATATTGTCGAAAAATTAGAACTTTAAATATTAGACTAATACAAGATTAAAGTACGAAAAATTAATTATATTATATATTGTTAGTTTTGTAATCGAAATGCATGGCAATATACCTGTCTCACAATTGTCCCCGGTATAACCAGGTACACAATCACATTTGTACATATCAAACTCTGGTGTTGTACAACTCCCTCCATTTTGACAGGGTTCCGGTGCACATTCGTCTTTATCTATCAAATGTAAGATGCCTATTACTTTAGCTATGAAAACGTAAACTGCAAGTTACACCGGGCACTATCTGTATGCGTGTCTCTTTTTATCACGACATACTGTTATAACATTCAAATTCAAACGTAAATCGAAAATTACACATATTTTGTACTATAAATTTTTATGGGAAGGAATAACAATATGGAGTCACTAGCTAACTAAGGCATTGGGTCATGAACCCGCTATTGAACTTTGACCCTGACCATACCTGTTTCACAAGTCTTTCCTTCCCATCCTCGTATACAAGCACAAACCCATCCTTCAGAATCTTGCTCTTCCAAAATACATCTTCCTTCGTTTTTACACGGTTCATCGAGACAGTAATCATATCGCGTGACTTGAAATTACAATATATATAGTATTTAAAAACGTACATGACATGTTTCCCCGAAAATAAGACCTACCCCGAAAATAAAGCCTAGCCTGAATTTTAAAAATGATTTTAATATAAGCCCTTCCATGACCTAGTCAATAACCCGTATTTTTTTTTGACCTTGTCGATAGCAAGAAATCTCTTCTACACGTTTTAAATGATTGATAATATTCTATATTTTGCAGTTATTTTGAATAAAAACGTGTTATTTATAAGTAAATGGATATCAGTTTTCATATTTTGTATATTTGAAAATCTCGAGTGTCTTCACTTTATAATTTTGTTTGTGATAAATGAAAATATAAGACATCTCCCGAAAATAAGCCCTAGCGTTATTTTTCGAAAGAAAATTGAAATAAAACCCAGTCCTATTTTCGGGGAAACGCGGTATACACATGTTTCCCTATCGTACCGAGTGAGGAGGGTATATAGGGAATGAGTATTATGACGTCGAAACTAATATGACGCCATAAACGAATTTTATCATTTGTATAAGCTGTACAAAATGTGGCAATATGTTACGGCGTCAGAAATTTACATTATTAAATGCTCCTCCTCAACGAAATCTGTTGTGCAACCCTGTACGCTTGTACAGTGTACAATGTACATAAGTAGGGTTGATACAAGTGCGCGAACAATTCTGATCGAGTTGATAAAAATTGTGCTGGAAACTATAATATTGCATACTTTCGTATCGTAGTTTGAATCCCTTGAATTCCATGCTGTCGTCAGTTATAAATCGTATGACAAGAGGACCTTTCCCTTCGGTTTGCATTTTTGCATCAGCGGTTCTTTGGCCTTCTATCCCACAAAACTTTTCCGGTCCATCTTTTGAACTAAATTTTATGCTGGTAAAGTAAAAGATAGTTAGTTAACCAGTTTTTCCCTTTTAAAAGAATAAGTAACAGCTGGATAGTATCATACAGAAACTTGCCAAATATATTAAAACACAAAATATATTACAACAACATAAAATATAAAAAGTGTTCAGCTTTAAATATTTGCATCTGTGCATTGATGAACATATTGAATGAAAAATTACCAATGCTTTAAATTCATGTTAATTATTTACCTCACGTAATCGTATGAACATCTTCCCTCTCGATCAGATTCCATATCAAGTAACTCAAATGATAATTTCACGTCATCTTTCTCTCGAGCTATTGTTGTCCACCTGCAATCTGCATCGGAGCCATATTTTTCCGGATACTCCGGATGTGTGACTTCGCCTTGCAATCCTTCAAGTTGCTTTCCACACTGCATTTGTGTCAAACCTGAAATAAATTTTAAAGTTCAGATGATTGGTTTATTATTTTTTAGCGAATAAATATCAATTATTTCAAAAATAAAACTTTTTCATGAGATGCTGTACATATATACAAAGAACTACCTACTAGTACGGAATGCGGGCTACGATATATATATCGATTCTGTCTGTATTTGTAGATGTGTTCAATTAGTTCAATGCCATCATCTGATGACGTGCTAATCTATGTAAACCAATCTTTCAAAACGTAATCTAAATACGACGAAGGAATATCATAATCTATAATTTGGCCATGACTTAAGGATAAAAATGTTTGACCCCGGCTAATGAAATTAATTTTACTATGAACCGCGATAAATGTACAAACAAATAAGGTGCCAGTCACGACTCCAAGTATCAATACCTGAAAATAATTTAACCTAGACAATGAATAATTTTTGCAGTTGCAGAATATAGCATTTACAACTCAACGAAAAAGAAATATCGTCGATCTGTTTGTTACCTCTTCCCTTGAGTAATATTAAGAAGATCAAGAATGTATACTCCATCTTTAATATTCCCGCTCGAACTTTCTCTGATTAGCAATATTTTTTGTTATCCGTTATGCACAATCTTATTATTAAAAAATTTCAAAATATCTTCCATAATAACGTAAATTAAACTAGAGATAGTTTGAGATAGGAAAGTAATTGGTTATGTGAAACTTGAATACGTATAATCTTTGTAGTACATGTTGAGCCCATATCATGTAGAAATATCGGTATATTCGCGCATTTTGTATGTATCTACTATCTCTCCATTATTGATTACTGACAACTCTAAATCTGTGCTGCTGATGTTGCTAAGAGCAACGTATAAACTTTCAAAGCGCCGCGAATGTTGCTTTCTATCGGCTAATTCACGGCAGGTAGCACTACTGATCTAAATACAAGTCACTACTGTCAACTTATTTGAAACAATGTAACGCAATATCATGACATTCTTGACCCTATCGGAAACACTGGTAACCAGGCTAATAAACATTTAGTTGCTAAGGATGGGTTTAGTTTATATTCTTCAAATTAAATTTATAAAATACTTGACTGTAAACGTCATCATACCAATGATGGTACTCATTATAAATATTCAATTGATGAAAAACAATTAGTTCAAGGACCATTGAACAGGTTACACCCACTGTACAATGAAATCATGTGGTTACAATTTTTTTGTTTGAAGTTTGATTTATTAAACATTATTTATCATGTTGTCAAAATTAGACAATAGTGCATAAACACACGATAACAATATCTCTGACAACCATTTTGCCCGTCAAAACCGAAACCCGTAGAAATGAGCTAATGTCCGAATGCAACAAACGGACCCATCTTGTATTGTTTGTCACGAAAAGGACGCTATCACCTATTACCATAGCTCATCTCCACGTTTCCAAGTCGAGCAGGAATTCCTTTTCGGGGTGGAATTTTGTCGGTCTCGTGGAAGAATTCTGCTTTGTATTTGTATTACTAATATTCTCTAGTTTTTTTTTTTATTATTACCATAATATTTAAAATATTTTTTATGCACATTATTATCAAAGATTGAATAAGTAAAGTGCTTTTTACTCATAGTGAGGAAAAAATAAAGAGTTCTAATAATAGACGAAGGGAGGAATGTAACGTTTTAGCTGATTAGTTTTCCAGTTATTCTCCTATTACCTTCTTTTTTACGCCGTATCAACATAAATTCTCATTTATATCCTTGAAAATTTCATTCCAATCTTACAACCCTGTCAGAATCATATATCAAGACTTGTGGGACACATGGGGGAAGTAGGACACGGGACAAGTGGTACACGACATTTTGGAGACACCGCAAGCACACTACGCCCATCTGCGAGGTTGAGGCCACTGGTTTGAAAATCAAATTATTTCTGAACCGTTGAACGCGTATAAATGGTTTTAAATAGACTAAAAGTAATAAAAATGGTCCAAACTAAGTTTGCATACCTCTGGCAAAATACTACCTTTACCGAGGCTATACTATTCGCGTACAATACCACTGGATAGATGGAAGCGCTTACTTGCCTATATGATCTCTTTTTTTGTAATGAGCGTAGTAAAAAAATTGGTATGTACGACTGCTTATGAGCTTGGAAGCTGCCAAGATTGTCTCCCAAGATTCTCAAATATAGAATATCTTCTTCATCACCTTGCATCGTAGTAAATGCCAAGGCGATTGTCGAATCCACAGTGTTTTCATACGATTTCTCAACGCAAGATGCCCAGCTCTCGATCAAAAGTGGAAAAGGTGCCGACATGAGAGTTAAAAGCAAACACCGATGCGCAGGTTTGTCCTTGCAACAGAGATGTAAGAGTAAATGGCGCTGTTTGATATGGGCAAAGAAATTGCGTCGGCTGTATAAAATAGTTGCTACTCGCGTAAACCATTTACCGCGTTTCTATGACCTAGCCTGAAAATAAGACCCACCATGAATTTTAAAATTAATTTTAATATAAGCCCTCTCCGTAAAATAAAACCTAGTCGATAGCAAGAAATCTCTTCTACACGTTTTAAATGATTGATAACACTGGTCAACAACAAATTTTCGGTCTGCGTTTTTTCAGTTAATTTAGGGTGAATCTGGTGTGCTGAATCCAGAAATCATATTAGTTTTGCACAATCAGGTCAAATTTTTGAGATATGGCCACATGTCGTTTTTTACGATTTTGTTCACATTTACGCATGTTAGAACATTTTAGAAGAAATTGGTAGGGGTAAAATTCTGTGTGGAATACGTTTTTTTGCTTATGGACCGGGTTAACTTTTAAAAGTGTTTGATCTTTAGTCATTGATTTATTTTTGTTATTTTACAATTCGTTTCGTGTCGAATCTTGCAATCTTGTTTGTTTTTTCATCGTGGCAACGTGTTTGTTGATCATTTTGCTTTCTTTGTTTATTCTATCTTCTGTGTAAGTTAATTGATGAATATCTTTACCTATTATTCTTTTGCGAGTGAATGAGATGGCTTCGTTTAGATTAGAATACCTCCATTAGCGACGAATATACCTCCGGTTTCAAAGGATATGAAGAAGGAGAAATGGATTTTGAAGATGATGCTCCACATCAATTTTCCCAAAACGAGTTGAATGATCTAGTTCGCGACCTCAGATTCCCAAAGGACTCTGCCAACCTGTTGGCTTCCAGATTTAAAAAAAAATCCGGAAAAAAAGGATTTGGTTTACTGTGCCAATCCGATATTGTGCAGCTTTTGCGCAAGCTTAGAGTGCCACAACACAGTGGAAGGAACTGGTTCATTGCAAAAAACGAAGGAGCGTTATCAATAACCCTTTGGTTGAATACTCTTCCCTCCATTGCTCATTAAGCTCGTAAGCTTAACTTACATATGCCAGGCTTTCAACTTTAAATTAGCGCATGACACTTATGTGTAATATAAATATGGCTCTAATACAGGGGTTCCCAAACCGCGGCCCGCGGGCCAATTACGGCCCGCGAGACGATTTCAAATGGCCCGCCGAACATTAGTGAAACTATAACCGTGAATAAATACTAACACGTTTAAAATTTAAATGTGTTCATTCTTTTACGTCGTAGATGCCGCCAATTGTTACGTCATTATCACAATTTAAGCACGTGTATATCGTAACAATTCAATTATACCGGTATCTTAACTTACGTACCGGTATTAGGATTGCGTACGGCGGTCTTTTAGGTATCACGTATCAGCCCAGCGATTTCCCTTCCCAGTAAGATGTGTGCCAATTTTACTTTTTTCATAATTTCGTTTGTTATTTTTACTGGATGGAAAAAATAAACTTGACTATGACATGAGTAGACGTTCATACGAAGGCGTACTCCAGATGAGCAAGTAACTTCATTAGTCGCTATCAGTTACAAATCCTTTTTGAAAGTCGTGCTTGGTATTCCTCGGGTATTCATTCTATCACCTAACTAATATACTTATGAATTTCATTACAGAACAAACTGCGATACTGGGTGTATCTAAAATCAATCTTGCAGCCTATTTTGGTGCCTATTTTTCAAAACCCCAGCCTTTACGCGATTTTTTGGTCATTCTGCTTTACTGGCCCGCGAGTATGCTCGCCTTGAAATTTTGGCCCGCGGCCAAATAAGTTTGGGAACCCCTGCTCTAATATGATTGGTCAGTAAGAGTTAATATTCTTTACGTATACGTCTTATCGTGGACGTATCTCAAAACCAAAGTGACTTGGTTTATAGCCACTTTGGTCAAAACAAAAGCAATAAGACATTTTTGCGTCGTTTTCAAGCATGATATATGCTTGTCCGAGCGTTTTTGACCCCGGTTGCGCTTTACTTTTCTTTAGCATATTTTAAATTCTACGAGTTCTATATCTGTAAGCTAAAAAATATACAATGAATCTGTTTTAAAGAAAGTAATTTGAGCGAGTTCACAATCGTTTTCGGTGCGTAAACAAGCTTGTAATCATTACAAAGATTGCGCTCGCTCGAAACAGCTCACGAAAACATTCGCACTTTGTATCTTGAATATTTTGCGTTGCGTTTCGCTCCGGACGGCCACTCTTATCTCGTTTGAAAGATGTCGCAATGCGCTTTTTCTGGAGTATTAGATGTTTATCCTAGTCCGGTGTTCTTCAACCTTTTTTATCGCGGTATAGCTTTTACAATTTTCCAAAACCTTTGTATACCTTACAAATACCAATGTTTATTTAAGACTTAAATGAATGTTAAATTTTATGCACATATTGTACTGCAATATCATCATGCAATCTAATAGGCTAGTGTCCGCAAGTTATAAATTTGACTGACGGCTTTAACGTCAACAGGAATAATGTTCAACGTAAAGCAAACGAAATGCAGGGCAGCCGAAATCACCAAACCAGACACGTGACCGCATTATCAGTGACATTTTATATTTCATGTGCTCCACGTTTGCATTGTTGCCTTCGCTTGAATATTTTATTAGAGTTTAGAATTCCTGACTTAGGCTGTACACTTGGGTATACTGTATATCCCGTTGAAGAGCACTGCTCTAGTCCATCTGGCTTGTATTTATCACTTCGATTTAAAATACATAACTTGTTGCAAATTTTTTTTACATTTTCCATTACTTTTCTTTATCAATGTCCACCATTCAGTTTTTATTAATCGATGTTTCCATCTCTTAATGAATATACATTGTTGAACAAAGAATTTTTTTCTTTTTTTAGTATGTGTGCTGACAAACTGACGTCATAATGACAACAAAAATGTAATCAATTTTGTCAATCGGGCTGATTTTTTGAAACGCACAAACTTGACCTGATGGAGAGATGTTATTTTCGGATTCAGCAGTGCAAAAATCTAAACAACATTCGAAAAGTAAAAAAATGTTGGCCAGTGTAATCTATGTTTTTTGAATAAAAACGTGTTATTTATAAGTAAATGAATATCGATTTTCATATTTTGTATATTCGAAAATCTCTACTTTGTAATTCTGTTTTTGATAAATAAGCATTGAACACCCACCCTTCATCCAACTCAAACTTCACAAATCTGTGACCTTGGCAATAATATATTTGATGAGAGTGTCGAAAAGTCGTACGATATCATGGCGTACATAATATAGCGATAAGAAAAAGAAATCATCCATAATATATATATTATGTATCCATACAAAGCAATATTTTAGTTTGAAACATCCACTCCCAATTCCGGTAGTTGTTGGTAAAAAAATAGATAGTACTTGAACCTTAAAATTAAGGTACTTGTCAATAGCACCAACGGGCGATTTTTAAAATACACTTGTGTGATACTCTCAAATCATGAGACTGCCCTCAAAAATAAAAATAAATTCAGTTTAATTTTGGTACTTTCAATCTAAAAAACAACAACACTACATCATTTGTATCTCCAAATATTCAACAGCTGAATACTAGAACTGGATCAAGTCTCAAATCTATGTGCACAACAAGATGAACACTGAAAATAACTATGACCAAACGTCTATCTATAACACAAGTATTGAGTAACAGTGCAACTGTATGAAAATATTACACACTTTTCAGCCTTCGAGAAACAATAAAATCTAACTTTTACTGAATGAATTTTATCATTTAGGTACGATATGTTTTATTTTATTGAATTCTGAGTTTTCACACATGGGACAAGTAAAAAAATATCCATTTTTGCTTATCAACCCAGGAATAGTGGGCTACAAGGATCCATGAACATTACACCGATAAAAAAAAAACTGAAAAATCACTATCTTCCCAAATGATAACATACTCTATCCTTAATCTTGAAAGAAAAAAAAATTACTATCTATCATCAATTTATCACATCTTGATATGTCTGATCGGATTGTAAGGTGTTAAAATATGTTTGATTATATAGTAACGTACATCAAGCTCGTTGGGCGGCAATACACAGGATAAATTCATTGACAATATAAGGAGTTGCAAACTCCCTCGATTTAAGCTTGTAAAAACTTAATAGAGAAAAAATTGTAAACAGTTCGCTAATTATTACTTTAGTACCACTTGATATTATAAACAAACAAAAAAATAATTTTTACAAGACGTGAAAAGTGGATTTATTGTACGGAATAATATAGAAAATATAAAATATGATGCTCGGAAAAACGAATTATTAACAACATTACGAAAAATAATAGTAATAATCAAGAAAAAATAAAAAAAAACTACACTGGAGAGCACATTGACATAGATATTATAATACAAGTCGACACAAAATATTTACAATCGTAAAAGAATAAAAGTTACCCAGGCAGAAATTGATTGACGCCAAGAATAAAAGAAATGATCATTTCTATTTGATTCAAATACTTTCTGCCCGGGGAGATATGAAGAATAGTAGTAGCACCATTATAAGCAGCATATTAACATACTTATTTGCTCTTTTATATTGTGAACAGGCCAGGTTAGTGTACAATTGAATCTGAGTGAAAAATGTTCAATGTCGCGATAGCCAATTCTAGATTATTTTTTTGGTGAAAGCCAGAGACCAACTCTAGATTTATTTTTGAGTTTTGAAGTGTTCGGTGCAATATTGCCTTCACTTTTCCGATGTGCCATGATGATAGGAGTGGAATGATTTTCTTTAATCCCAGGTGTAACTTGATAAGTAACAAGTTGGTCTGCAGATGAACTTCTCGTCTTTTTGTAGGAACGTTCTTGATTATTGTCTGATGAACTTGAAAGCATGCTGCCTGTCGTTAAAGACTGCATACTTCCTCCGTTTTCCTTTATATCTGGAAGCATGCAAAATCGTTCAAAGCAAACTAAAGGTAGGATTAGGAGCATTATAGTTGACTAACACAGTGAAGCATTCAGAACAATTTCTCTATCATATTGCTAATTTACCTTGCATAAACAAGTTTATATTTTGAAAGATGATAAACTAATTAAATATTGCCAAATATTCAAAATGATGTTACTGAATACTGCTGATAATGTAAAATAATGAGATGGCAATGTGTTAGAGTGTCAACTAAGCATCTAAGCACCATGACATATCACGTCAGTAAATTTTATAAATAACATTGGTTAATGACCACCAACACTCAATGATTTCTAAAAATGATTAAGCATTTATGGAATGGCAATGAAAATCATAGGAGCAAAAGACATATCATTAGAACATGAGTTGTCAGTTGGTACTTTAATCTCAATACTTTACTTCCATCCAATGCTGCAAGACACGAACTTTAGATTGACACACATTAAATAATTGTTTTACTTCAGTAAAACTTTAACATTCTTTATTTTCTAAGTGATGATAACGCTATGAAGTTGTGGACAAAATTGAGAGGTGGTCCGTTACTTTTGCATATTATCCAGTTCTGTTTATTCATACCAGAATGGATTAGTATCATAGTATCTGTCTCTATAATTACATGACATAGCAAATTCAAGATAAACTTGAAATTGAATCAAATATAGGAATAGGATTACCCTGTTTATTTCAAACAAAATTATTTGAATATCATCACACTAAAATACAATAACCAAACTTATAACTTCAAAACACACATCTGAGAAGGATATACAAATCACACCACAACATATTGTAGTGTTATTCTCTTATTCCATACAACTTTCTGCTTTACATTATTACATGAGTGCCGTATCAGTTGGCAGTTGCATTCGTATATTAAATCAGATAGAAAAAACATGCAAAACACCAATTCCATGTTGTACATAATCAAATTACCGTTTTAGGATATCACCACGAGCATGTAGACTGAGATGCAGGTAAGTGGGGTGACCCACCTTCATTATCATTGCCTATAAATAAATAAACAAAAATGCAATATTTTATGAAGCAATCAAATACTTGTTTTCAGGTTATTCATCGATGTAACTTCGCAACGTACCATTCACCATGACCACATTGAGTCAAAGAAAATTGACTACGAATCATATTTATTCTTTTGCTTTTGTTTGTTGGTATTTTTCCTATTTAAAGCAGCACTGAAATAACTGAGGAAAAAGCGTTCATAGCAAAACTAGGATTTTCTTATTTAAATTCAGCCCATCTTTAAAAAAAGTATTTTGAATATTAAATTAAAAATAAAATTGTATTTTTCGCATCTGTGTTTAAACTAAATTTCTGTCTGTCTTTCAGCATTTCTGCCTATACATTGATTTAACAACTTGATAACAAATCCTTGACAAAAATGCAATGTATGTTATGTTGCATATAATATCATAAGTTAAATAAGTTAGTAGGAATGTGCAAAACATATATGGCTTGGTCAAGTATCACTGGTATAAATATATAAAACTTGAGTTATATCTTATAAATTTAATATAACAAATATCCTCCACTATCTATGACTACAAAATTGCACAATTACAAGTAGGATTTGGACAATGAGCATATGTTATAAGTCCTTACATATAGAGATTACATATTCAGATTATACATATTATTATTATAAAGTTTATTGCATATTTTATTGTGAAACAGTCAAACAGGAAAGGCTTTGGGTATTCCATATACAAACACATTAAAATGCTTTTAAATATAATTACAGCTTTGAACATAATGCAATATGAAAGTTATGTTCATGAATTATGATACCTACGAAAAAGCATATGACAATGTGATATTACACTATATTGTATGTAGCAACTAATTCACCGATGACTTTGTTAATGATGTTAACCACCGTTAGAATAAAACGATACACGTTTGTCATTTACGTCCATAGGTAAATCATGTCTGCCCTATCTAGGTCACATTAATGAGACCATGAATCAAAAAAACTCACCAATTTCTGGTACAGTACCATTACCCTTTCGTATCGTAAGTCTTGCAACAGACCCACCATGTTTTATACATGTGATGGCTTCAGAATGTAGCATTCCATTTGTGTCATGACCATTGATTTGCACCAATATGTCACCAACCTTTCAAATATTGAATTGATAAATATTTAAATACTTCTACTAGGAATTGGATGACAATAACTCAAATTCGAAAATTGTTTTGAAAAATTGTCTTAAAAGCATTGAACGTATTCTGACCTGACAATTCGGAGTTGTCGAAAATGAATTGAGCACTTGAATACATTTAAAATTGGTATATTGGGCACAGTAAATTCCTAATTATAGGAATAGATCAAATTCGGAAATTTGTTATTTTGAGCATTCATTATCTGATGCTGAAGACAAAATTCCTTATTTTCTGACTGTGTGAAAATAACAAATCAATCAAAACAACTTTTTTGCATTGCGAAACTTATTTTCCATAAGTTAACATTAATTCGAGCAAGTTTATCCGATGAACATGTTCAAATTTAGGATAAATTTAGTAATCCACATTGAAAATATTATTATAAAATGGATTTGGGTACAGTAACTTACGCAGCTAAATATAGACTGAATTCTTTTCATACAAATACACATACATATATTTTCATATAATCACATATGAAAGGTTGCAACACTGATCGGGAAAAACTTAGAATGAATATTAAAGTTTGTAACAAAAAAAAATCATTCAAATTTACAGACAGCTTCTATGCAGTACGATATAATATTTCTCCACTGCACTGCAATCAACAAAAAACATTGAAGTATTAATATTGTGAACCATAGCACAATATAAATCTAATTTTCAAATAATAAAAGAAAAAAAATGTTCTTACTTGTATTTTTCCACTTTGAGCAGCAGGACCATCACCAGCCATTCTGAGTACATATAATGGCATGTTATATTCTCTACCTCCTCGAATTCCAAAACCAAAACCTTTCTTGGATCTGTGCAAGTCCACAATGAAGCAACTGTTTCGAGCACTAAAAATATGACATCGATAACAATTAGAAACTTTTACAAGATTTTGAAGCCACACAGGCAGATAAGATAACTGCAATAAACAATAGCATTTTAGTAGCTTCAATATACCTTGTTAGCTCATGAGTGTGTGTCAATTACTATTAAGCAAATATGGCTCGACGGTTGGTGGACCGTGCTAAGTGTTAGGAACTCATCGACATTGTAGGGCTGGCTACATAGATTATTGATAGTTGGAAATTCTGCCAACATCCCTAACCATGCTTCTCCTAGGTTGATTAGTTATGGAAAATATAAATAACCATACTGGCCATAAAGCTATTGTTTATGTATGATCGATTCTAAACCATCCAATCGATTCTAAACATCATCTTTTCCTACCATTGGAAATGGCACAGATAGGTATAAGTAATGCTATGCAGCCTGAACAATATCCAAATCTGCACTTACCTGTCTTCTTGACTAGGAATGTATGCTACTCTGAGCATGATAGACATCCCAGAATCTTTGATTAAATTAACAATTTGTCCATGATGTAAGTCAAAAATATCAACACCGTTAACTGCTAAGATACGATCCCCAACGTGTAGTTGTTTACAACGTGCAGCAGGTGAGCCATCTATGATTCTTCCTATTTTATGTGGAACATGATTTCCTACAAAACAAAAAGTTCCGGGTGAAGAACATACATATTATAAAGAACAGTATCTGTTACCTGCTGTTAGCACATAGTTTGCTGAAAGGTCAGTGCACAAATAAAAAGGAGGCGACTGAGCAATACAGAATAAAAAGTGTTCCCTTTTAATTAAAACTGCAATACTTCTAGTGGAACGTTGGGTACAACAGGATGATAGGAGTGAATTGGACCACAGATACTGGTGACAAAACTAAAGAAACAGCCTTCTAGTAACTTCTCCAGTCTTCAGGTTCTGAATTTTAAAATTGATTGGGGGCATTAGTTGCGAAGAAAAGCCAAACAAATGATCTGAAGGTCTGTTTCATGTCCAAATGGGCAATTACACACATATTATCAGGATTTCTGAAGGTCTTGAAGATTTGAAAGCAAACTGAAACCAGGGTATATTTAGGCTGCAAGCAATATAATAAGTTTTAAGTACATAAAACTATTTTTAAATTTTCAACAAATACAAACCTAACTCAATGATAACAATAAAATGTACGGTAAGCAAAATGTATTTCCAAAATATAAAGAGCAGGACTTCTGTGCCTTGTCAGCACATTAACTTATAAGTGTGTATTTATTCATTATTGAAAAGCTCAATAAAGGTATCAAAAATCATTCCCAGCAATTTTGATTAATGATAATGTAGAATATGGATTATTCAAAGACAAAGAAAACGATTACATGATGTACCAAAATTAAACCACATTGACAAAGACATTAAAATAAGTGCTTGGTAATAATTTATAAATTAAATGAAATTCAATAATATGTTATATAACACTCAAGATTATATCATATATGCTTATAAAACAACGAGATTACCTGGAACAGCTTCTGGACCTTTTGCAACAGATGATATAATGACAAATCCAAAACCTTCATGTTTTCTTCTATGAATAACAACATCATAGTATGACATACTGGGATGACCTGCACTGCCCATCTGCTGCTGTTGTTGTTGCTGCTGTCTTCCAAGATTTGATCGCGATGGCATTTCTATAATACCATTTAGATTTCAGATTTAGATTTAGACCATTTAGATTTCATTGCCTATTATTTGGTATATAAATAGCAAATCATGTAAAATGCCTGGGGTAGAAGTGAGATCAATGTAATAACAAACCGCTTAGTTATGACAGGCCAAACTAGGGCTGTGTGGAGTTGGGGTGTTCGGCGTGTTTTCATTGGTTTCTGTGTCGTATTTTCAAACTCTCTAACACAAGAGTCAAAATTCTGAATTACCCAGTGTCAGGGTTTCAGTCGAAAACTTTCTATATTAACTTAAAAAAATCATTGAGTTTATTACTTATCGATCGATCTTAAGGTAAGTATGATGATAGGTATTTGTCCGTTTGTTTGTTTGTCAGTCTGTTAGATGCACGCAATATCTCACAAAAAATTTTCTAACAAGGGGTCAAAGCCAAAATTTTATACATCTTGGAGTTGATTGTAAATTTTCTACAACTCTACAGGCCTCGACCCAAGCATCAAGACAACAAAAAAATCCTTACGTGCTCCGCCGACTCTTCTTCTGATACAAAGTTGAACAATTCCGTTTCGAGCAGCATTTCCCATCAGCGATACAACTTGACTATGTCCAATACCAACAACACTTTCACCATCAACAGATAACAATTCATCTCCCATCCTTAATGAGCCTTCTTGTTCAGCTGCACCACCTGCAACTATTGCACCAATTGTAACCTGGAATATACCAAAGAGGTGTATGATAAAGTTGAAGTAAGCATTTCAGCACAGTGATGCATGAAAAAAAGTGTAACATTATAATCTACAAGCAATGCAAAATGGCGCTTATTACTGGTTGACTAACCCCATAAATCAGTGGTTCACAAGGTTGATTGGCCGGGGGCCAAAATTAGAAGAGGAAGAATATTCGCAAGCCAGGAGATAGGAGCGCACACAAGGGGATGATACCGTACCGGTAACTGTATGTGTAATTGAGATACCGGTATGTTTGAATTGTTATGAATATACATATGCTTAAACTGTGATAATGACGTAATAATTGGCGGTATCTAAAACGCAAAATAAAAAAAACCTAAGGTGGTAAACTATTTCACTCAAGTTGGGAAGGCCTTATCAAATCGCTACGTCGGCCGCAATTGGCCTGGGGGCCGCGTTTTGGGAATCACTGCCATAAATAAGCGGGACTGACAACTGAACGAGAGTGCTTATGAGAATTCTTATTAACCCATGTTGAGTTTCTAACACAATCCTGTACAATTGAACACAACACTGACAACTTCAAAAATGATACAAAAACATACTTTTTCATCAGTGTAGTCTCCCCCAAGTATTCGGAATCCAAATCCAGATTCTAATCTTTGCAACACAACTGTTATATCAATGTAGTTATCCATTGAACCTGGGTGTATCATCCTGAGTAGAAAAAGTCAATAAAGCTATTGTGATGTCACACAAGAGGCAATATAGAATAAAAATCATTTTATTGAATTCTGCTTTATTGTTTTTTGAGACATGTTCAACAAGTTTGCTCACAACAAGGCTTCAGGAAAGAAAAGAAATATACGAAGATAGCTACTCTGTTTTTTATGTATTCTGGTTTATTATTTTTCAAGACATGTTCCACAATTTTGCCCAAAGTATGGCTTCAGACAATAACATCCCTGTAAGTAGGTATGTAGCTACTGTTTTTTTTTATAAAGAAGGAAATTTTTGACACTTTAGCAATCTTGTACAAATTCCTAATTCAAAGTTGTAAAACAAATATACAGGAAAATTTTTCTGTGAAAAAGCACCAAAGACATTGCTTCAGTTTTACAAATTAAATACGAGTAAAATTTTGAATACAAAGACGAAAACGTACCCCATATGGTTCATTGGAGCTCCATGTTCATAGTTGTGATTCATTCCATTCTCCATGTAGTTCATTGAAGATGTCATTGCTGAAAAAATAAGAGATATATATCATGCAATACCAATTGTTTATATTTTATTTGTTAGATAATACAATAAACATGAGAATACAAGCTATATATAGCGAAATAATGTGAGAATGAGCATTTTTGCAATGAGGGCTGAGAGAAACTCTAAATTACATATAATTCCAATAGAAGAATCCAGTCAGTAGAAAGAGAAATAATGCAGATTTGATGAAAGGTTGTGAGCCATTAATTAACAATAGAAATAATGCTAATTAGAGACTTTTCAATTTCCTGCCAATGCATACATATGTATACACTCATAACAAAGATGTCATTGAATTTAACAAAAGGTATGATAGCTGAAACATCAATCCAATCCAAATATAAAAAAACATTCTGAAAAAAAAAATATATAGATATGTGAAAGCATTTCTAATAGTACATAATACAAACCTTGGTGTTTTGCTTTAAATTCGGATAGCAACGGTCCCATGGGATGATATACATTGACAGATGTGGGTGGGGCAGAAACTACCGATCCATTTTCATGTGCTGGCATATCCAAAGTATGCGGCCTCTGAGAAATAATAACAGTAAAAAATATATCAACATGAAATTAGTATGAAGCTATAGTAAAGAATTGAAAGATTTCACACATCCTGACCTAGTGTTGGTCTGACTGATTATGTCTTGCAAAAATAAAACCACATTCCCAAGAATAAAAAATTTGAAGCATAGAAAATTCGGTACCCCGCAGTATTTGTACCGGGTTAGGGTTAGGCCATGATTTTTCCTCATTTTAGTTTAATTACGAGTTCGGGGACTGCTTGTGTCAGACAAGTGAATATACCCCTGCCCATAGGCTCTCGTCCCTTTACACAACTTGATGTGAAGTAGGCGAACAAAATTAGTTACCTCCATATTGGTACACATATTTCTGGAGACGAAAATTCATATTAATCCCGGGAGGTGAAAGTTAATCAGATGGCTTAATCATAAGGCCTTCTTGTCCTTTTGCCACGTCAGGCACAGGATAATTAATTACTTACCCAGTTATTTGTTTTAGATTTATGAACTTGATCATGGGGAACCCGTAACCAGAAAACATCCTACAATGGCATGAGATCCTGCAATCCTTTCACATATAATCATCGCCATGGATTTCAAATCAGAGCAGGGTAATCAGGGGTGCGATATCAAGCGTGTTTTTAAACAATCATTACCCTACTTATTTGCATCAAACAAGTAAAAATAAATAAAGCTTGTTAAGCAAACAATTATCCATACTCTGAATGGTGCTCCTTGTTGCCCATACGATGCTGGATGATACATTCGGGTTTGTTGCTGAGGAGACATTTCCATTTGTTGAGGGTAGATTTTGTTCGGGCTAATTCTTTGAATGATGAAAATTGCTTCTGCATTTTTCGGACAATCTTTCAATATTTCAACGACATTATTGTGTGGCATGTTTTGCACTGCAATTCCGTTGATTTCTAACATGATGTCACCTTCCTATGAAACGAAAATATTTATCCAATATAGTTTCATTTGTTTGATGCATATTCGTTTTTTTAACGCTTCCAATTCAATTCGTTTGGGAAGCTTTTTGTTCAAATTTTTGTCTACTTAAAATGAATACTTTCTAATTAGATAGTACAAAAAAAAACACATTGCTAACATATACCAATTACTTTTATCACTGTTTTCAACTCATTCTATCTATATTTTGAAAAGTGGAAAATTGGTCACAAGAGGTTCACATTTCACTAAATGAGGTTGTATCGTAAACCGCTCATAGGTAATCATAAAGACAAGATTAAGTAAGCTATTGGGAAATTAAGTGCAGCACTACCAAGTTCAAATTAATTTATATATTTATGATACACAGATAAAATAGTCTCAAAAAATTTAAACAGAATTTTGTGGGCAACGTATTCAAGCTGGAAATACGTCAGAATTTTCTTTAAACTGGTTTAATTATATTATTAAAAATTAATATTTATATGAAAAAAATAGACCGTATTCAAATTATTCATATCTTTTCAGAGAACAGGACTATTTTAGATAGATCCAGAAGCAGATAATCTTCGGATTTTAATTTAGTGGTGACCATGCATAAAACATGATTAAAAATGACTCATTTATACATGATCGGAGATAAATTTTGGGTTGAAATTTCAGACTGAAAAGTCAAATTCTGTTATGGCGAAGAAAATGAAAAATACATTATTGATGAATTAAAGACAGCATCGTGACATAAATTCAACTTAAATCGTGTTAAACAAAAAGTCAAGTTCGATAATCACCGGAAGTAGAAAGATCTAAATTTTCCTAAATTATAAACTACTTTTATAAATTGTAGGCTACATCTCGACCCTGGAAATATTACTTGTAGAAAACAGTGAAAAATACATGTTTTTATCAAAATATTTTATTTTGGTCACATGCGTAGACTACTAAATTATGAATATCGTAGAGCTACCATATTTCCAGAAGTTCAATTTCATAATCTATTAATCCACTTTTGATCAAAATCTATAAATGCAGCGTTAATGCAACAGGCCTTCCAAACAATCCAGTGACAAATGAGAGATGTGAAATTGCGCTGCCAATGCATTGTTGTCTTAAAGTTTTAACCGCTTGGCGATTGTTGATCGAGATACAGGCACCACCAAATTATTCATATTAATAACAATTTACGCCCAAATAATTATACTTACCCTAATGCTTTGGCATCTTTCTTCATCAAGAATTTGTTTTACTCTTTGTCCCTGTGGACTGTCAGTAACAGTGAATCCAAAACCTCTGTCTCCTTTCTTCAGAATAATCTGAATAACTTGTGATGTTGAAGCATGAAGTGAATTGACACTCCCTGTCCTATGAATGATAAAAATAGAATGAAGGGTAGGATTACAAATAAAAAGGATAATTGGGAGTACATTAAAATTTAGAAATCAAGAAAATTAATAAGAAACACTGTCTCTTTCCTGATTCATTTTTGTGTTCAAGTAGAGTTTGGTATACCTTGTAGTAGGTAGTATGGTAAATACGACTCATTGCACCTTGCAAATGCAGTTTACCTCTACGGGAATCCATTCTGCTTGAAATGTAATTACTGGTCACCATTTCCTCAAATATTTACAATAAATATAGAAATAAAAAATTTATATCCACGACCACATCCTGATATCATGAAGGAAAGGAAGGTCTAGTAGAGAAAACTGATCAATGATCAATCTCTAACTTTCCAGGGTCATAGGTCATAGCTCTTGGAGTTATGAGATACGTCATGTATCAGGAAAGTATTCTTTCCGTATGTATATACACATAAAGAGATTTCTAGTATATTGCAAAACCATTAAGCTATGAAAAATATTAACATCATCAACTTTTTTCATAACACAAGTGCTTACTGGTATTGTCTTGTTTGAACTGTAAACAATTGCAGTATCTTTTTTTTTTAATTTCATTCTTAATACTTAAAGCTGCTTAACGCTGAGCCGATCTTTCACACCGAGTTAACCATAATCATGTCAATTTCACTTAATCTACTCAATAATAACTGCATATTAAATATAGCTTGATGATATGAATTATTAAAATCCTATTCACTGAACTTGAGTGTAATAATTTATTGAAGTTGACAACACAAAATAGACTAAACTACTTAACAATAAATATCTAGATCATGGTTTTCTTAAACTGGACACTTTGCCTCTCAAGGAACAGTCGGTTATATGGGAGCCAAGAACAAATCCCTTTACTGAGTACCATTCTTCATGACTATATTAATTTAAAGTGAATTGCTAGCGATTTGTTTAACTCTTTCTCTGTAATGCATCTTGTTCTCTGGGTTTCATTTGTTGGCTTTTTTCATTATTAATCATGGCCTAAAGCGATGTTCTTTAAACGTTTTGCTTTGTGACCAACTTGAATTGACATATTATAAAAAATTTTCTGCGATCCTCGGGAACATTAATGGGACCGATGTGCATATTCTTGCACAAAACATCGAATCATGGCTATATTTCGGTGATGGTGAGTTTCAGTACTGGTTCCGAATTAAATAAATATTTTGTTTTAACATTAGTTAGTGTCAAAAGGGAATCTTCACACAGATTAGTGGAGGTAAAAGGAAGAAGAGTAAGTATGGCTAGTTCTGACAATAATGGGTACCATGACCCCATGGAGCACTTTCGTGACCCGCTGTGGGGATGAGGAGCACCAATTTGAAGAGCCTCGGTGTATAGAATATCAGATGAAAACATGTTTAAAGCAAAACTAGATATGTTTTAGAGAAGAGCAGAGGGCCACAAGACAAGTGTTCAGCCTATTTTCAACAATCAGAGGCTTAAATTGATTAAAATTCGGCAAATTTTAGGCTTCGACAGGCAATATACTGGTTTGCCTGAACATTTGAGCAATCTGATTACAATCCCATGGATAAAAATGAAGTTCTATCTTTGCACAATAGTAAAATTGAAATGTTCAAACAATATGCTCAAATCCAATATTTGTGTATTAAATTCACAAGTGTTTCCAAGATATAACTCTACAATGGATTTAGGCTCAGTCGACATACTTTAATTACAAACATTCTCACCAATTGACAGATTAAAGTTGCGTACCACCTGAACAAATATGTTTTCATGGCAGAAAAAAAAACTGATAATACAGCAATTTCAAATATTTGGCGAATAAAACAACTTTAAAATTTATAGCCAATTTCAGAATTGTTATTCCATCTTTACCAAACAAGAGATTGAGACAATTCACTCACAGCAACACAAAATCACACCCCATTCATACAAATCAAAATGTTTCATGTCTTGTTTCAAAATTTCATGTCTCGTTTCCTGTACCAAGTCAATTAAAAAAATGTAATACCTCATAACATGGTTTTCGTTTGGAGAACCAGTTGGTATCCCATTGAATCCACCATCATGAAAAAATCCAGGAGGAGCATAATTCTTGTTATCTGCAATATCAGGCATTGATTTGGACGCATAATATGCTCCAGGTTGTGAATTAAAATTAGGAACAGATTCCAATTGTTGATTAAGTTCTCTCAATTGTCGTTCAAATTCTTCCATGGGTCGATCTTCGGGTCTTATTGCCGTTGTTGTCACAATGCTTGTACTGGGGTCATCAGGGTCAAAAGGAAGTGGGTAGCCCCTGTTAAATTTAAATCAATTATTTTTCAGAAAATTTACTCAAAGCAACTTTATGAGCACTCACTGAGAATTAAAAAAGTTTGACTTTGGAAAAGCTACTGAAAGTATGAGGAATTTATAGATATTAATGCGAGACTGAATGAAACAGTTCACGTCAATACATTAATGAAGCTATAGGAACGTGATTTCCATATACAGTAACTCAAAAGTTAAAAGACGGCAGCTGAATTTTTTTTTAATAGCCTAGTCAATAATACTGACAAAAGATCATTCCGTTATTTGAAAATTTCATGTAAAAGTTACTAATGAAATCTAGCAATTTTTTTTCAATAAATATCCTTAATCCTCATTTCAATTTTTATAAGACTGCAATAATGAAATATGAAACAAATTAAAAGAAGATTTATTTAAATATCTGTTTACGTATCATCAAATGATTTAGATATGAAATGATCATGCAACCTGTCAGAGCATGATTAAAAAAAATGATGTAATGACAAACTCCAATTTCAACATATGAAATCATATTGAGACAATATATCATTTATATGATCATATTCATTGAACGAAAGCAATGCCAATATTTGACATTCATAACTTGCAGTAAATTGCATAACTTATTTAGTAAATAACAGTTTTGGTATACAATAGTTCCTACAAAGATTTCCAAAACTTTTTTATGATTGCTCAATGCAATCCATCAGCAACTCACTCCCAAATGTAACCTTAATTAAGTTATAACAAATATTCAGATACCATTACCACCAATGAAGATACTAAATTAATGTGTAAACCTATTTATATATATATATATATATGTATGTATGCTTGTAGTATTGAAATATGTCAGTGATGACATCTGTACTGAATTTTCCCAGTAGCATTATGGTTTCCTCTTGTGAACAAATATAATAATATTATAATTTGATATTCAACTCCCTGTTTCTACGAATATGTGCACCATAGGTAAGAATATGTCTAATTGAGCTGACAATTTTATTTTTAATACTGAAATGAAACTTCATGAGATGTGGGCTAATTGCGAAATGAAAATGTTTACCAAATACAATAAAAATATATAACGTTATGATTTAAATAAACAATTCTCATGCACACAGTAGTGAAAACTGTAATAAATGATATGTGTAGTATACTGATTGTGAATCTGATAAATAAATTTTATGATATGTAATTTTTGGGATTTTAAATTTGATGACTGTGCCTGTGATGTTTTGACAAAATGTAATCGTTTAATGTCAGAATTACCTGTTTGTATGTTTGTACAACCTGTTTAATGAAATATTAAAATTATTGTGTGAAATGCAAAAAGGGCGGTCGATACTGGCTAAAATAACTGCCTTATCAAAAAGTTGTAGATCCAATATATATATATATAGACACTGTACAGTTTCATACCAAAAAGAAGGATAGGAGTATTCAGGATTATTATTATTTATTATTGCAAAAAATAGATGCTTGTGGTTATTACATTCTAACATTGAACAGAGAAATAACAAAAATACCTCATACATCATACAGTATTATTAAATAAGTATGAATTTATAATATATATAGACTCCTCAAATATTTGAAAACACTAATAAATGTTAAGATCTATATTCATATCCTGATCAGTCAGTCAAATCAATTATTTGAAAAATGGAATAGAATTCAAATTGCTTGTACCATCTGTAACCATATCAAGCTGGGTATGGGAGTGAGAGAATACAACTAAATAATCACTCCAAATGCATTAAATAACTATGGCAGATAAAGCCGTAACCACCAGTTATGAGAACCCCCTGAACAGGTGAAGACAAGAGTAGCCGTCTAGCACCAAAATTATCTCCCACACTCCAACTGGCAACCAACAAACAAACGTTAATCAGTGGTAATATGGGACGACGAAATTTCAGAATTTCTCAAAACTTAAATTTCCCTGAAGACAATTTTATTAAATTCTCTGGCATTACATATTGGTAAAAATCAAAAGTATAACTCATCGATCTTCCATTAGCGCAAAATTGAATAAATAATAGATATGTCCTACCTACAGACTTGTAAAGTTACAATGTGGTTGATCGGAAATGATTGAAATAGTTGAACAACTTGAGGATGAGTCCACCCCAACACACAAATATCATTTACTTGTACAATTATATCACCTGAGAAAGATAGAACAACTATAAGTAATGATTTATACAAATTAAATATGTAATAGGAATATGCCAAAATTTACTTCATAAAATTACATTAATCACATTTCCAATCAAAAATTGAAAGAATAATAAAAATAGGCATTATTTCAAAAATCAGAATTCAAACACAGTATAATTCTGAATTTCGTTAAAACAGATTTTCCCAACATGATGGTGTAAATAAAATTAGAAAGCTCGGCTATCAAAACTTACTTCTGTGAAAAAGACAAAGCAGATGTTCGAAGTTTAATCCCAAGCTTAATTAAAGAATAATCTTGACTAATCAAATATTATGTACATGAAGAAAATGATTATAACAGCAAATGTGAAGAATGTCATTCACTAAGCATCTAAATTTGATAATCGCTTGTTATTATAAAGTATACTAATGAGTTTTGAAAATGCTAACTATTCACATTTGTTGAGGAATAAATATTTTCCATCTGTTTGTGCATGAGAGATTGTGTTAATTCATTAATTGTTAGACATTTAATGGTATATCACCCATTTAGTTTAAATACAGTTCAGAATATTGTATAGAAAACTCATATGCCATGCTTTTCTCACACAATGGAGAAAATGAAATTTCAATAACCAAATACAAATGCAAAGTATTATTGAATAAAAGGCTTCAAAATCAATTGGTGACCGGGTTATATGATACTAAAGTATTGAACAAGCTCATTAAAATCAACTATTTCCCGATTTAGCATCAATTTGCTTCCTGAACGAGAGCAATCAAATGAAATTTGATAGAAGTTTACCAACTAGGTATAACAACGAACAGCAGTGAACCACTTAAACAGCCATTTGTGTGAGTTTGAACAAAATCCATATCAGGCTCGATCACAAGATGACGATAAATTCTGAACTAGTATGTGGTCATAATCCATAATCCACGATGAAATTGCTTACAGATACAATATTTCAAGCTAGTATTACATTCGAGGATTATTATGACACAACACCAAGCTTGAAAATTCGTAGTCCAAAATGATAAAAAAAAATCAGTTGTTCAGATCAAATGCTGCAGAAACACATTTGTACTAAAGTTCAGCAAGTTAAGTCACTAGAATAGTTGGCTTCACTCTTGATAAAGCGTCGTTGCATTATATGAAACCCCAATAACAGTATAAGTAGTTGGACACATTTGTACTAAAGTGCAGCAAGTTAAGTCACCTAGAATAGTTGGCTTCACTCTTGATAAAGCGTCGTTGCATTATATGAAACCCCAGTAACAGTATAAGTAGTTGGACCTGCAGAAACCCAGTCGAACAATTTTTCGTTTAAGTTTCCAAGCGGTTAAGAAAATATAAATATAGGCTATATACAAACCTTGCTGAATATTTCCAGTCCTGTCGGCAGGTCCTCCCGGTACAACACTTTTTATTTGCAAGTATTCTTCTGGTTCATCTCCCCCGACAATCGTAAAACCAAAACCTTGAGATCCTTTCTCAATCGGTACATTGTATAAATCACCCTCCAACTTTGAAGGGTCACTTGTAAAATGAAGCTGCTGAGGTGATTTTTCTGAAAATGAAAATTTTGTTTAACGATGGAATCGTTTGGATTGCGTTCGTGTGAATAAGATAAGACTGTATAACATTTCAGAAATGGATATTTATGATAGAAGCACATCATTTTCATAAATGTTGCCAATTTGCACCATGAAAAGCATTTGTCAATGCTGTGAAAGATGTTGCTTATGTGTGAGAAGATCGGTGGACTCCTTGCCACCAGAGGGTGGTTTATGGCTGTGAGTCAGTTACGAATTTTTCTACCGTCTAAGTCTGGAATCTGGATCCAAAATGAGCAACTTGTTGGCTTATTATAATGGACTGTGATTAGCAATATGAATTAGACATAAAAAGACGTTTCTCCCCGTCCCAATATAAAAAACCTATTCTATCTTCCCAGCTTAATTCACGGTGTGAGAAAAGAAACTAGTCAAGTTAGGCCAATCATGGATCTATAAAGCACCACCAGTAAATGAGGCTTCTATATGCCTGGTCTGATTTTCTTAAAGCTTACTCCTAGGAAAAAAACGCTTCAGAAACAAATCAGAATCAATCTAAATGTCTAGTTTGTAAACAATTTACAAGTGATAATTTACAGGTAGTAGTTTCCAATATTAGATGAGTCTCATCTCATGCAAGTAATTCAATCTCTTCTGTTTTTTAAATTTATTCATCTCAAGATCAGTGCAATAATAATCAATTGAATACAAATAATACACCAGGAATTTCTTGACGTCAAAAAATGTTGATTTCCTAATTGCACTATTTATATAACACTATATTGAATGGAAAATTAAGATCTTCTAAACACCTACCTGGTTGATAATTAGGAAGTTGATTTATGATTTCTCCCTGCGATCGATTTAGTTGATTTTTCAATCTTTCTTTCGCTTGTATCACTGGATTATCGAACTGTGTTTTCTTTTCAACATGACTATAAACAAAATAAAAGTAACTTAGGTTAATTTGATAAATAAAACCATATGAGAAAGCTAGACAGTATTCATTGCCCTCTACTTATTCTGAATATGCTGGCTTAGATCACCAAGATTTCGATGATAGAAAACAGTCATTCTTGATTACGAAAATTAGATATCTAAAATACGGAAATCGTCACATGGCGGATCGAAGACTGTGATAACAGGATTCAAACACTTCCGGATAAAATTCACCGAATTCATCATTCTGAATTTCTGATCGCAAAGAACTCTTACATAAATATAAAATATGAGATGCACATCAGAGATATCATAAATTGTTAAATTTCAAAGAAATCCAGCATTCGTATTTGTTAGGCCATCCATAATACGGTAGATGAGGGAGGAGGTGAAAATAAGAATGACAATATCACAATTAATATAAACTCTAGTAAGGTTCATAGATAAATTAAATATAACAACACCCTTCATCTTTTTCCTCATGCATGGTTGATTCCTAATAAAATAATTAATTTTCACTGGCAAATAAATGTCCCTAATTCCCAATTAAAAATCTCTCATAATAATACAACCATGGAATTAATTAAAGGGTTTAATTTGGCGGAATAAGCCGGTTATTAAGACCGGTGACAATACTCACTCTACATAATATACTCCATATTGAGCATCTTCCACTCTTTCCCAACCATGTGGTAACTCTGCAATATAATATCCATATAAGAAATTGAAGACATAGGATCACACTTTGGAAACCTCAAGGGAGAAATTATATCCTTCCCTTCCATCACTTTGTATTTATTTGATAGAAGCAATGGAAGAGAAATCAATAAAAGCAATTCAGATGAGAAGATTTTATAACATATGAGCAATACATCTCACTAATTCATATTAAAGTATGCAAATGAATTAGTTTGAACAGAACAAAATAAATTAATAAACTTTTTCTTTGTAATATTCGTTTTCTACAATGCAAGGTTAAATAGTATTATATCAACCTTTGCCAAGTAAAAAACATTTCGACTTAGTATAAACATCCATCCAGATTATTTCAAATTAAAATCAATTGCAAAAGGTATTATACAAGAGGACCCAAAATATAAATATTTGGAACATTTCCATGAAACATAACTTTTGTGCAAAGCGTTAAAAAGGTGTTATATGAATTTTCTTTCTCTTCATGAAAGTAATTAATTAATAAATTGATGGGTTCTACTTTTTAAGTCCCCCTGCAGATTTTCCCTTTTTTTATCCCAGAAATGTACAGACGTATTTGGATTTCACACTAAATATATTCATCAGATCTATAATAAAGTAACAGGATTGCATCTAGAATGTTTAATTAAACCTGGTATTCTGACAACAAAATTTTGATAAGAAAGATCAATAAAACCATGATATGGAAATCCAGCTTGAAAAGAATATTTTAAATATATTAGTAAGTACAATATCAGTCGGTGTTACTGAAATTCCAAATGATACTGAAGGCAAATACTTGAATAAAAATAATTTTCATTTTCAAATCATTTTATCAAAATAAGTATTAACTTTTAACTTTACATTGAGATGACAATATTATTTTGCATAGAAATCATAGGTGGATAAAGAAATGAGTAAAAACGAATCATACCATCATCAGCACATTGTTCCAAAGGTTTTCTAGCAGCAGAATTTAATCTCGGATCTAGCCATGATGTCTTCTGACCAATGTGACTTGTAAAAAAAAGAGGGAATTCACAAATTATTAATAACATAATATACAAAACATGACCATCCATGAAATTTAAATTACAATTTACCTTGAAAACATTGTTCATGTCCACAAATGTACACCCATACTCTTTTAACAATTTCAAACATTGGAAATATCATACTTGAAAAACCAAATAAAGATGGATGAACCGGCGAAGATATTCAAATTTTTTCAAAAAATTTCCCCCAAGAAAGTCATGCATACTCACTCAGAAACAAAGTATACTACGAAATACCAAAAGTTAAAAAGTTTATTATGATATTATGGTGAGTGTCATTGTCATACATATTTGAAGAATAGGTCCAATGTATCAAATTAGAATAATAGGGTAACAATAGAAATTCTTTAGAAAAAATTCACAGAATTCCTAATTCAATATTCTAATTCCTGAAGAAGAATTTGTAGATTTGATCAGAAAATAAGTAGAAACTGTTACTAAATTATAAATAATGTTTTATGTGCATTATTCTTACTCAATATAATACTTGTCTCCAGATTCAGTGGCTGCTTCTTCCCATCCATCAGGTAAAGGACCAAGTGAATGCTGTCTCTCATCATGAGGTGGGGGAGATGAAAAAGTTGGTTCTGGCAAATCTATAGCTAAAAAACACAAAAACATAAAATTCAAAACTCTAATATGTAAGGTCAGATTTTCTTTAAAAAAATTTATGAATAGGATTTAAGAGGAATATCAGGAGTTTTTGCTGTTGCATATACAAAGATCTATGCTATACAGAAGCATAATATGAAAAACTATGATGTCCAAATTTGCGTACTTCTGGTATTATGCATAATATTAATTTTAATAAATAATATAGTAGAATCTTGGGGAGAGGAAAGGCGATAAAACGGCTCAATCAATTGGCGAACCACTGCGTCTCGTTCTTCAGCATAATGCGCCACACCGCCAAAAAACCTATGCATTGTTGAAACTATACTCTTGAAAATATATTCCATTAATGAAAATATCCAAAATTGAGATATCCAAAATGTAAAAGAGTTCGAATTAAAATACATTACAAATTGTATTAATTTGTTTTGTATCTTATACATTTATCAGAAGTTCTGAAGTCGTTTCAGTTATTCCACCATGATATTATACTCAAGAATTCGTTATATTGGGTTGAACTAATTTCTATGTGTTCAAATATTCGGTTTGTCTACGTGATATCGGCTAATCGGAAAAATTTCACTGCTAAAATTGCAAATTTTTTAAATATAAATATGGATTACTATAATGGCAATTGAATTTTTCAAAAACCTTTTTTTATCAAAATATCATTAATTCAAAATTTCGTTAATACCAATAGCTAAAAAAGTACAGAGACTACAACTCAAGTATTCTGAACTTTTCAAATAAAAACAAAAAATTAGGACAACAGGCCCAAATTCCTACAACTAAAATTACTTCAGGTTTAACATGCCAGAATACCAAAACATCACTTTTGATATAATCTCCGACTTTCCCTCCATAAATAACAAACAATAACTACTGAAGGTAATATCAGGTTGAGTAATAGTGTATTCAAGATTATTTGTAGCAGGCGAAATATCAGTCAAACCATACACAGCATGTCTAAACGAATAGCTGTGGTTTAAAAGGAAACAGATCAATATTACCTCTTGAAGTGAGAAAAGTGCTTCATGCGAAAGCAAGATTTTTCGAATGGAAAATATTCCTTTGCTAATATAGAGCTTAGCAAGACTGAATGCAACACATATGGAATAAATATACATAATAAAATAATACAATTTACTGCCATTGCATAGAAGATAATAGATTATATTAGCTTATGTTAGAACTGGCATGTACTACATTTGAACAGAGAAGTATGAAATGAAATTAATTGTATTAGATTTCATAAATTCTTAGGAATGATTTAGAATAGTTACATTTTGGACAATCAACATATAGTAGGTCTAATCATGTCTTGATTTAATAATATCGGAAAGCTATAAAAATATATAACCAATGAAATTATTGTTTATTATACCTTCCCAGCATTTCCAAAACAACTTCATTGAATACACATACATATGCATTTCGTAAGCATTACTCAATGTAGTACATATCATATGTTTCATATTTGAAAATATTATGTCAAAATGTATATGAAAAAGTCAATTACCGGTACTCGATTTTGGCCATCCCCACGTTTCAACTTTTTAAAATAGTATGTTGGTTTTCAAATTGTATATCCTTATTATTCTTATATTAGAATAGAGAAAAAAATGTTAAAGATTTGAACAATATAACGAATTTGTATCTTCTATACAAATTTCGCATGATTGTTGTGAAAACTATAACACTACCATAAATTTACAAATTTTTTTCTGTATTCAGTCAAAACCCAAAAGTGTAGATATTCAGATGAAAGCAATACTTGTTCTTCAGGTGAAATATGCATTACACACAACAATATGAAAAATTAAAATCCTCATTTAAAATATGCTATATACGTATTATTTATCATAATTTTGATGCAAATAAACAGAGAAGATTAATAATGCAGTAGTGAATTATTTCAATTGTATCATAGAAAATCATAGAGCAGTATATATTTTTAAAAATTAATTTGTTATTGAGAAATACTGAAAAATATTTTATAATGGTGTGTATCAACTATCAACAATAGTTCAGGAAACTGAAAATGGGATAAACAGGATAGATATCATAGATTACATTCAATATTCCATATTCATAGTCAACAGAGTGATATAATAAGAAGTAATCAAGTTATAATATGTCATACCAGATTTTTCTGTATCATTGATTTGATTATCCTGTGTTTGTGGTTGTGAATTTGATTTCTCAGAGCTGGGACTGTTTATGACTGAGCCTTTGCCATTTGGGCTTGACGCTGTAAACAGACAAAAATTAATAAAAAATGCATGCAAACTCAGTGACAAAGATGAAATGCAGATAGCAATAATAAAAAAATACATAAAAAAAATTAAAAAAAAATAGTAAAATCACTGTTATTTTGTTGAAATCAAATTGTTCCACAATGAATAGCTGGAAATGAAGAAAACAATTAAATGAACACAAAGAGTTTCAGCATAAAGAAATCTTATTAGATTAAAGATTGAAAACATTTACATGTATTCTGAGAAAAACAATTTCAAAATGAGGCCCGAAAGCCTCATCTACTTAGTAAAAGTGTGGAAAGAACAAAAGCAGAGAAAAGTAGTAAATAAAGTAATTCGTAGACAAGTAAAGGTTTAATTTTCCCTCAAAAAATAACTATCGAAACATGAACCATGATATAGCCGGAAGAACAGCAAGATCAATTTCATTAAATCCAGAGTTAGGACCTAGTAACATAATGAATAATGATCAACATAAAGTTGATATCAAGATATGAGTCTGCATAAATATGTTTAATCATAATAAATTTAAATTTCCCAAAGTTTAAGCACAACATATCAACACACACTAACTGCATGATAAAATTTTGATAGCCACGATTCATGGGAAAAAATAAATTCAAGAAACCTGAAAGAGGCTGCATTTCTACGCTTGATCTGTTTCTTTTTCTCTTTCCTTCCGATGAAGGCTTTTGTCCAGGCATAATATCATTAGAAGGTGAATTTGGAGATTGTGACCCATGAGGTGGAGATGATAATGGAACTGGAGGAGGCTTCGGTGTTCCATAATAATTTCCTGATAGAAATTTATCAGTCATTTATAAAAGAATTTAGAATTCTTTATGTAGGTACTGATTTATATATTTGAAATAATTAGAAATACTTATCAACCTGAAATACTTTTCTTCCTAAATTTATGAATAAATTATCCTTGTATGAGAGTACTCTCTGTAGTATAAAAATCTGGAATGAACTAAAAGTGAGAATGGACTGCTAAATGAGGTAAGTTGTGATGTACAACAGTGTACAAAACATGCTAATGGATCTTAGACATCGTACATTTTGCCAGGTATTGATTGATTCAAACTTAATGACAAACAGGTAGTCCATCAGTTCTGAGAAAGTATACAAATTCAGTAACAAAATTTCAAATAATATCACAGTATTTAAAAAAGTGGTATCATTTGGAACAGAATTGCAATTTTAGGTCATCCTGAAAAATTAAAAAACATTTCAATATGGATATCCAGTAAACAATACCTTCATAAAGTCCACTCTCCAAAAGTGAACCTGATTTTTCCAGTTCTTGAAATTGTTCTACATTTAGAAAAGTATAATCCACACCATCTACTTCTCCATCTCTTGGCTGTCGTGTAGTACCTATAATAACAGAACACATTGAAGCAAATAATTCTTATTTTTGTCCCATACTGACATATCATAAAATCAGTTATCACATAAATTCACATATGAAATAACTAACGTAAATGACATTTCACAACTTCTGAAATAACTAACGTAAATGATAGATGAACATGATCTGAAGAATCAAGCTGTTCAAATGAAACAGGAAATTATTCAATTTCACCAAAATAACAAAAATCAAAATTGAATAATTACAAATAATTCGAGAAATAAATATTCATATTTAAATGTTTGTAGACTCCATAATACGCAATGTGCATCAATACCTCATTTGCACTGATGAAAAAGAAAATTACAATTTAAATTCATAGAAGTAAATCTAAGACTTCCTATGCACAACTTTCTCCCAACATTACCAAATAAAACACAGATACAAGGAAATCATATTAGAGATTAGTTTCATGACAGATTAAAATCCTACTTACATGGAAGTGTCCTTAGATACAGATTATCTCTGATTGCAGCTTGTAAATCATGATCAACCGCTCCAAGTGGAAACCTTTCACTCAAATACAACTTGAGATCTTTTGTTAAAGTTTGACCTGAATAGGGTAGTAGAAGTTGAGAAATGAAAGGAAGAGTCGGAAGAGTCATACATTGATAAATATATTTATTGTATGACTTAATGTGCTTTCCATAAACTAAGACTGTTAGATTAGTAACATGCCAATATCATTTGGTTTCCTTGTGATCATAGACGTGTAAAGAGAATGGTTATGGCTGGTTGAAATCTCTTTTATAAGTTGTTCAAGCATGGGCTCTAATGGTTCAATAGCTCAGTGACATTTTTATCCTATTATTATAGTAGTAAATAATCTGAAATGTCCTTGATTCTCTTTTATTTTTTAACTTTGGATTTGCGGTACATACCATATTAACTAGATTACACAACAACAATATAATCAATAGCAATCAAAAATCCAATTACTTTTTAAATGCGTGTAATATATACTTCCTAGTTCCTATAATAAAAATTGATTCAAGAGTTACAGTATGCTAAAGATTTATCCATGTTGAGGATGTGTATGAAAAGAGTGTACAAGTCAAATCTGATTTCAACAAATAGGCTATGAAATCAACTTTGTATAGCCAGCTTATCAAAACAGTAAAACATATGCAAAACATTCTTCATGCTCAATTAAGCCTAGTAGTGACAATCTGAATATTGGTTTCAGTTAGACATATGCATATCCTATGTCAAAATAGGGTACTTGTACTACTTTGAAAAAAAACATGGATAATATGTCCTACTTAGTTTCACAGAATTCTACATAAAATAAGTCGATGCATGAGTCTTAATATAGAACCTTATTGAATTATAATTTCAAAATTTAAATTTATTTCGAACATTTTTTTTGACATTCTCCAAATTCCATTTACAATAGTTTATGAATCAATATTTCATATTCATTAAAGCAATTGTATTTTAGTCAGAAGGGTTCAAGATAAATTACCAGTAAGTGCTTTAATACATTTGAAATTATATTCATATTTATTAAAACTCTTGTTTTTAGGAATATCCGAAAATATTCTCCTTTAAAACTTTTCACTTTAAAAAATAAAATATTGTACAATCAAAACATAGATTTTATTCAATTGCAGACAAAATGAAGATTTATACAAAACAATAACTAGTCTTACTTGTAATTTATTATTTTTCAATTCATAATCATAAATGTAGAAAAATATTAAATATATTCAGATTCAAAAAAGATAACTGATTTTTTTTCAAAATATTTCCTCCAAAAAATCTAATGTACCGTAATTCAATTAGTAAAAGTTTTTTTTGAATTATTTAAATTTTTTCTAATTAAATACACTGATAACCCAGAGTTGAATTTGTTGACAGGCGTCCTTAATTACAAAACCTCTATATTTCCAGTTCAGAGTGAAAGTGTACTCTGCTGGGGGTACCAAAATGCACAATGCACCGCACAATATATGGTAAAATACCTTCTTTCACTGTTTTAAATCTGACAGGATCCTTGGCTTGTTTAATTAAGTTGTTGAGATCATATAGCGTAAGACCTGCTACGGACTGATCGTTGACTTCAAGTAGGACTTCACCATCTTGAATTTTTCCGCTGAAGAAAAGAAGCAAGTCGTTAACATGTCAGCGAGACATGCGTATTCATAGTATAACGTTTCACAAATACCATTGACTCTATTTAATAAACAGGTTACACCACACCATTACACATATTAATACAAATACTTGATATAAAATAAGGCTAATACCAAGTACCTATTTAAGTATTTACTAAATTTTCAATAAAAAAAACGGATAAAGTGCTTGAAGAAGGTAAAATTTACAAGAGAAAACCACTGGTATTTGCCAAAAATAACCTTCTCATTATTCTATTTTAACATTTATAAACTACAACAGCTGGTTGTTAAAGATTACATACAATATCAACCGGAAAGAACTTGTGCCAATAACAAAATACCTGTTGTAGTATTTGGCAACATAAGCCTTCATGTATTCCTAGTAAATCTTATAGCGATCATAATATTTAGAAATTTAACACAAATCTATTTATATACCAAAATCCGAGACGAACATTGATTATGCTCAAACATACCAGTACTAAAAAAAAGTAATAATATAGCCGAGTACGAGTGTGAGCATAACATAAACACGAGAAGATCAATCGTCGCCATTAAATATGATTATAAATAGCGCTTAACTAAAATGTATAAGCTTTTGAATACAAAACTTCATTTTACCATTGAATAATGTTAAATATAAATAAATTTGATAAAAAATCAGTGAGAGCAATGCTTACAGCTCAATAATTCCAATAGTCGACTTTTTAATTCTGTTTAAGTGGATGTTTTCAGAAACTTCAAATCAATGCTTCGGCAAAAGAGAATCATGAAGCTATGATTATAACACTCGTAATCGAGTAATGTAAAAATAGATAACGAGATAGTAGGAAATATTAACAAGAAATAACACGATACTTACTATACTGTTAGTGTTGAAATATTGAGTATTTCAAATATGAATTCATGCATAGTTTAGGAACAATTTAAAAAAAAACAGTGTATAAAAAACCTAGTTCCATTATTGCATTAGCGAACAATTCAAAATAGCGATAATTAAGTGTACCTGTGATAAATAACTTTGTCTTGTTTTACAGTCCCAAAAAAAGGAAATTTAACTTCTTCTGCACCTCCTTTTATAACCAAGTTTAATTGTCCGTTCTTATTCCTTGAAACAACACTTTCATGAACTCTGTCAGACCAGTGTTTGTGTCTTTTACCAGAAGCCATCTTGGCTTCCTATAATAGTTAAAATTAGAAGCATATACTGAAAAATATTAGCATCAAATAAATTGGTTAAAAACAATTCGCTCTCTGATTATGTAATTGTCCCGGAAGTAAATGTTTCGTTTATTTAAGATTTAATCAAATATTACAATTCAGATGTACGGCCTGCATAATTTTAATTCGTAAGTGTTGAAAATCCCTCAAAAACACTTGTCGATTATGTATTATATATATTATCTAAACAGCGAAATATAAATATTCTTACACCATAAATGTTACATGACTGACCAAACTTGGGCATTCTGATGTCACTGCTACCGCAGTGAATAAAAGATATTACACTACACTTGGAGTGAGACAATAATAAACTTGCATTTGTTACATAATAATATGATCTATCGAACTTGCACAGCAGCACAGACTGAAATAATGTATGTGTACCGGTTTATCGTATTTTGCGCATGTTACAGTACTGTTTTTTTCCTGTTTCAAAACACACAACAGGCGCTGTTGCATGGAATTGATTCAAGCCAATTTTTTGAGGTCTGACGCGATCGACTACTTGAGACATGGCGATCGACGTGATGGCCACCCCTGACTTATAATAATAGAAAGTTCTGAATCATATTTGTAAAATTACTCAATGTATGGAAAAGATTATTTGTTTATACAAATAATCAAATAACAGCATCTCATGCTAAATAAGAAGGGTCTTACTACTTACTGAATAGAGCGCGAAACACCGCAAAAGAGCGCGAAACAGCGCAAAACAGAGAAAAACCAGAGGGAAACAGCGCAAAACAGGAGACGCAGTCATTACCACCTCTTGCCACGAAAGAACCACGGCACCTCTCGCCATGGTTTTATGGCGCCATTTCCGGTAGCCTATATTTACAAGGTTATGTACCGGATTATAGGTCATCATGCGAAATTTTATCTACCTTTTTGGTGCGCCAGAAGTATGTGCAGCAATATGTCGCACAACCTGAATCCGCTACACACACCACACACATACTATTTTCAGGTTGTGCGCCATCTTGGTGCACATACTTCTGGAGGTCCCTTTTAACCTAACCCTAACCCTAAAGCCAACCATATCCATATGGAAAATGTTCCAAATTATGGTACCCAAAATGTGTCACCAGCAGGGGCAGACCTGCCATTACAGCATTACCTACTACATACGTTGGTTTGTGTTTTTAATTTGCTGCCGTGGTACTCCCAACTCAAAACAAGGTGCCCCGAACTCATTGCAAAATTTTTTTCTGCTTCTCACTGTTTCCCTGTTTTGCGCCGTTTCCCTCTGTTTTGCGCTCTTTGCCGTGTTTCGCACTGTATTCAGTAAGTAGTAAGACCTTAAATAAGAAAGAACAGCATTACCGTAAAACCGGCTAACTTCGGATGCCTTGTAACTTCGGATGAAATTTTCAATCATTCATATCTCAATTAAATTTCGTCGTATTGCGCTTCTGTCGGTTTCTATAGTAAGGCCTTACATATCTGAATCTGCCGTAGCCTCCAATCGCTCGATTTGATTTTTTATCATTCAAAAAATCATAATTTACCAAAAAAATGACACCGTTTTTTCGAGCGGCTCAAATCGTGACTTCTACAGACGCTACCTTCGTCAAATCACCGCCAAGCGCTAGAGAGCGTACACAATGTATACAAAAAAATACAGTGATCACAAGGTGTCGTACGAGATTCGAGTGAAATCGATTATTTTGATTTAAAAATTACATCAAAATATCGACGTTTTGATGATTACGTACAGCGTGACGTCAACGACGCAAATCCCGTTCTCTCTCTTCGTAGCCGACGTCACTTTGCGTAGCTCGTGCGTTACTCGCTGCGACATTTGAACGCCAGACATCGCGGCGCCCAGTTTTGTGAAATTTAAAAATTATGCTTATCCATGATCCTAGTCACTAAATCCTACAAAAACATCACTATCGTCTCAGTCATATGTTGTTTATTTAAAAATATGGGTATGCATACGCTTAATGCATATGAAATTTGTCGATTTTTGTTTTTGCATACTTCCTCCGACACCGATAGATACCGTAGCAATTGGTAATACGTTAGGCCTGAAACCTGTATCTATACGATCATAATGATTAGATATGTCTGTTTACGATCGGCAGATGATAATAATATCTTTAACAGGTGAGCGTAGAACTCTACATACATGCACACAGCAGGAGGTTGGACCACATACAGGTGAGGCGCAAAATGAAAAAAAGTGGCAAAGTTTCTTTTTGCCGTTTTTATCCGTTTATTGTCATTTGACTTTATTAAGTGAAACGAAAGCGAGGATCGAAAGTCACACCGGGCAGGAACCTCTGCCGAGCCGATCAACGGGGAGCTCTGAGAAAATCAGAAAATATGAAAAGTGATAATCAAGACGAAACCTGCTCTGCTTGTGGATTATGGAATGATCCAAATGGAAGTGCGGAAATTGAGGGTGAATGGGTCGGTTGCGAAAGCTGCAGCGAAACACATTGGTTCCACAAGAACTGTTGCAAAGACCCGTCTAACCCATGTGGAAATGATTACAATTCTTGATTTTGCCAGCGTTTCCTTCAATTCATCTGTTTATTTTTAACTGTCGAATTTTTGTTCATACCTTACTTGTTCCATATTGCTTTTTGATTTCAATTTTTACTTTTGCCAGTGTTTCATTCGATTCATCCGTTTATTTTTAATTGTCTAATTTTTGTTCATTCTTTACTTGTTCCATATTGCATTTCAATTTCAACCTACACCAGTGTTAGGTACTTTCAATTCTTTCGTTTTTTTTTTGTTAATCCTTTTCTTGCATTGAAAATAAACGATCATAAAAGATCGAACTAGCATTTTGCAATAAATTAGGAGTAGTTAGTGAAATATATACGAGTTATAATAAAGGACACAAGAATAAATAGTTAAGCTTCGCGAAGCGGCAAGAGTAACGTCACGTAGTAACGTTACGTACAAACGTCAGTATTCAACACGCAAGACAGGTCGTGGCGGCGTAAGGTCTATTCAGCGACGTTGTCACGCGTCATTGCTTACGCAGACATTTCTCTCTCACGACGAGTTAACGCAAAGAGAAAAGTGGCCATCCGAAGTTAGATAATTTTAGAATAGACGAATAAAGACAATAATTTCAATGAAAGAAGGCTTTGATGGATATGGAACCGACTTTATCAAGACGAGAATAGCCACAATGTATTATATTCCAAATTTGGCTTCAGTTGAACAACAGGCGGCGGAGATATTGTTCAAAATATAGTGAAATCATCCAAAGTTAGCGGGTTTTACGGTATTCATCCAAACCCGGTATATTTTGACATTCAAGTAGCTTCCTACAGAGCCTTGTTAAGAGCATTTATGAGTGTAAAAAACTCATAATAAGTTGGTATTGCTGAATAAAATAAAGCCGGGATTATCAACTGACAGTTGACATTCACAATTTTTTTCAACCATAACACTGAATAACAGGCGAAATGAAGACTACTGACAAACGTACTGATAAAAAACAAATTTAAGAATAAACAAAACTAATAGTAAAAAATAAATCTGATAAAGAATAAGAAATCACATAACACTGTAACAGCATTACTGAAATGCCTAATTCCTTAATATCCACATAAAGATAATTAAAACAGGTATTTATCACAAAAACATAAAGCTCTTAAAATCTCAACCCACAAAAAATTTCGCTGTTGCCATGTCTTTTCTAGCCGAATAAATATAAAAATTCTATCCTAAATCAGTAAATTCGGAAATTGGATCCTCTCAGTCTAAGATCCTGACCTTTGTAGTTTCTATATTTCTGCTCAGTGCTATATTACAGTATTACGAAGTAGGTACCGGTACAGAACCATAACCTATTAATATTCTGACATTATAGAGTCGCTAGTACTGGTACCGGTATTCCAGTATTCAGAACATCCGTCAGTCGAAAAGAAAAGAACTGTTTTAGGGTTACAGATAACAGGACGGTATCCATATTTTATGATTAGTCACAATAGTACATTCATAACATGACATATTTTTTGTAGTCTACATAAATATTGGGCAATAAATACATCAGAACAATGCCGGTACGCTATAGTCAGATAGTCGAACCTCGACGATCACACGACATAAGTCGACAATAAATTCTATCGTCACCCACAGCCAGTTTGAAGCCTGTATTTAATTTTGGGCCAGCCCAGTATATTGGCGCCTCTAGTGATAAGATTCGAGTTATTTTGACAAATTGGACAAACCCGGTATGTTAGTCGTTGGACAAACCAAACCTATGAAACTGGTTGTTTTCAATGGCAGAATGTAAAGTAGCACATGGGTATTCCTAATATCGTCTTGCGAAAGTATATAAAGAAATTTCAGGACATTTTAAATTATTTCAGTAAACTCGATAAAGCAGATAAATCATATAGCAAAGTACGCCCTATCACCCGGTTACCGGTCCAACGGAGTATTCGAGACACTCTTATCTTATAAACGCGTTACTATATCATCAAAATTTTCCGCAAAAATTATTAAACATTAAAAAAACTTTACACTAGACTGAGCATTGAAAAATTGTATGCGTCAAATCATTTTTTTCTAACTCATTATTCGGGGCTCCCGAAGTATGCGAACCAAGATGGCGGACATCGGAATGTAATATGTGAACTAGGTTAGGGTTAGGCAGTGGCGGCGCGTGAGCATTTTGACAACCGGGGCAAGCTACTGCGGGACCAAGTCACCCCCATCTACGGGGACAGGATGAGCGCTGTAAGTTCTCCCATCATTTTATGAGTATAAAAACCCTTCCATCGGTAACAACCAATCGGCAAAAGCGACAATTTTTAACGATAAGAAAGTGTCTTTAAAACCGGTCCAAGTCAAGGGATTAATAAATATAGACATAGTTTATTTTGAAACCTCTTTCAAAAGGAAAGGCAATATTTACCCAGATAAATACAATGACATATTAACAGAAACTTCGGGAAAGCAGACAAAACCTAAAATAAGGTTTAAAACGTTACTATGAAGAAAGGAAAGGTAATGCAAA